ACTAGGTTTCCCCTTGAGTCATTTTTGAATGAGCCCCATGTGTAGTTATGTGCATTGAAGTCACCTAGAACTATCCTTGGGGAAGGTATTTGTTGCAAAAGTGATTCTAGTTCTTGGTCATCTATGTGGTAATTCGGAGGAATGTATACGTTACAGATAGTTAGCTTTTCAGGAGCATCCAAAGTTACTGCAATCGCTTCCAGATTGGTGGTAAGATTAAGTGGGTTAGCAGGAGTGTCGCAACTTACGTAAATAGCTACTCCTCTACTGGCTGTTGAACTATTGCGATTTTTGAAAAATCCATTATATCCTTTAGGTGAATTTGTTTTAGATTCATGGAAGTGAGTTTCCTGAAGACATATGATATCAGGTGCAAGGTCAGATATAAGTTTACGTAGCATGTTTAAGCGTGGGTAGTAACCATTTAGATTCCACTGCAATATGGATTTGAACGCCATTGTAAATTATTAAAAGAAACTAGAACCTACAGAAGAGGTTTCGCTGTCGATATTGTCATTTTCGATGTGCCGTTCTAGTTTTTTGCGCAACCTGGTTAACCTGTTCTTCAGGGCTCGGTCCGATAAATGAGGGTATATGAGCAGTATTGTTTCAATGAAGCTTTTTATATCTACGGTGTATTCGTTTACTACTGATATAACGGTCTGGGTTCCGTGCACATTTTCTAAGAGACTTTTCATCTGGATAGAATTTAATACTAAAAGGTCTTGGTTTGTGTCTATAAAACGTTTGGCTGGTTCGTAGGCTTGATCTGAAATAACTGCTTGCTGGAAGTCTATTTTTGGTTTTTTCACTGATGCTTTAGCTGGCTTTATAAAGGTCGGTCCGGAGGTTGGAGTTGATGAGGTTTCAACATCTGATGTTGGGGTAACAGTTGTTGAAAAACTTCTTTTGCCTGTGTTGCTGGCATCGTCGGTGGTCGCTACGGATGGAGTAGGTGGCATTTCTATGTTAAGTTCTTTGCTTTGACTCAATATTGGTTGTGGAGTGGATATGGTCTGTCTGTTAGGAGATTCTTCAGTTAAGATTGGCAGTTGTGTCTGTCGAACTTCGGCTGCCTGTGTGATAGTGGGTTCCAGTTGAATACTGCTAGACATGTTATTATTGGGTTTTACTGAGGATGAGGGAAGGACGGTATCATCCATGTTTGAGGTCGATGGTTGGGATGTAGATCTGCAATTGTTGGCTATGTGTCCTGATTGGTTGCACTTGAAACATTTTTGGCTGTCCAATGATAAGAATATGCATTATGACAACCCTTCATGACTAATCACCAAGGATTCTGGTATGGTACTTTCGGTGGGAGCTATGTATACTTGACGTCTGAAGCTGAGTATATGACTATACTCTGGAATAGTGGCCCCAATCCTTAGGAATGGCATGGGAGATTGTAACTGGAGACCTAACTGCTCCAAGCAGTTTTGAATAATATTGTGTGGAATAGTAGGGGACACATTTGATATGACCAAACGATCCGATGGTGTGACTAATCTCCTCGCCTTAATAGTTTCACCATGAACAACGATTTTCCCATGGTTGTCCAAAAATGCATCGACTGCGTTTTTGCTGGATAAGTAAACACATATTCTGTTATTTGCTACTCTAGAACAGAATATGATATTTTTTGGCTCAACTAGAGGACCTAATTCGATGATATAATCTTGTATTCGGGCTCCATCTATTGTATTAAATATTATAGCCTGCTCCTTGTTAGGGTATTTGGATATCTGGCGGTTGAGAGCTCGGGAGTAATTTAGTGGTGAGTTGCTGTTTTGAGTTTCTGTAGGAATATTAACGCCTTCCATATTGTTAGTATACGTATTCTTCTGACTCAAACCTTCCTTGCACCATTTCCAGTATGGACCTGTCCCCGACTGTGAACAGACGTGGAATTCCTTGGAATTTCGTAGCAAACGGATGGTTCTAGTTTGTAGCGATTTGTTTATGCACGTACTTTATGTTGAAAACAAATTATTTCAGGATTCTGTAATGCAGTACTTACAGTCTGATGCTAGCTGTTAATGTCTACGTAGAAATCGAAACGAAAAATTAACTAAATTCACTATAAAATCCTATAGATTTATGGAGCACAGATCAGTAGCTGCTGAGCTAAACTGGGCAGGTACGGACTCCCCCAGGTCAAACTTGTTTAACCAATTTTTTCAAATAAATTATAATTTTTTTGATTTGTAATTTGTCGGACCTTCTGTCGAAGGTCACGATATCCTTCCAGTCTGTTTCGCTAGAAAACTTAATTTTGGTTAACCAAACATCAGCCGAAGTTTGTGACGCCAAAAACTTCAATGGTTTGACAAAATTTCGATTTTGATGCTAAAGGTTAATTTCTACGTGTACTAGTTTTTGTGATCTGTGGACAGTTTTTGCAATTAAAATCATCATCATCATCACTATTAACCTGAGAAATCGCCATTATTTACCGCATTCCTTCCTAGGTCAATAACGATAATGAAAAAATCCCTAGGTGAATAGTGAATCTGTGCATGCTTTTTTGGCTTTTTCGTATTGTAATTGTCACTGCTATTAAATCCTTTATCCATTTTCATATATTGATAATAATTATTCAACAAATTCGTCACGTAGACGTTCGCCCAGCAGTGGCTACTGCACCTTATATTTCTATTAATAGTCCTTGGATAAATATACGGTGAAAAATATGTGTGAAATGTGCCTAATAAGCACGTCGAAATACTGGGGCTAGAAGTTTACAAATCTATTGCAGTCAAACAATTGCGATACACCCTCTCCCACCCCTACAAGCCCCCAACCCTACATTTTTGACCCCAGGAGTGAATGAAATCTCAAACAATGAAGTTTGACAAATCTTTATTTTTTCGTTTTTCGCCTTTAGCTTCACCGCCACTGGTCCGACTTAAAAAAGCCTTTTTGTCGTTGGCATAGCAGTAACCTTGTGTGAAAATTTTATAAAAATCCGAACAGTACTTTCCAAGTTATAGACAAGCCAAGGACTAGCGGACCGACAGACATGGTTTTTCGTGATGTAAATCTTATACAGGGTGTTCAATTGAAAAGTTTTTAAAATTTTTAAGGGAATGACCCTGGGGGCCCAGGGTGAAAGGGAGTGAAGTAGTTTTTGGTTAAAAAGTTGTCCCGCTTGACAAATCTTTTGACATGTCTCGGCGTTTTTTCTTTTAATTAGTGGTTTTCGTTAAATCTGTAGTGGGAAGTTTTCAAATGAACACTCTGTGTAACATTCAAAAAGTATATCTCATTTTTGAAATTGTTCGCGATTACAATACTTCCTCGCCAGTGGCGTAGGTAGTAGAAGGTTATTTTACGGATTGTTTTTTCGCAGGAATAGTCTCATGGGGAGTCGGTTGTGGCAGACCAGGATATCCAGGAGTATACACACGAGTTGCGAAGTACCTTAACTGGCTGAAGTTCAACTTGGATGAATCGTGTCTATGTACATGAACCATATTGTGCTAAATGTTTTACGCTATTTTGTCTTTGTAAATATAAATCTTAGGTATATATTGACTTTTCTTTCTATACACGGTGTTTTTCAAGTTGGGTCTTCGTACAGGGTATAGTTATTCTAAAAATAAGCAAAACACCGTAACAGGTATCAACCATGAAGACTAGAGATAGGAGGTTAAAAAATGTCGACGATGAAGTGAGCTGCCACACTGCGCAGCAAATAAATTTCAGGTGCTGCGCAAAGGGCATCTCTCTCGTCTGTACACTGAACAGAAAATGCATTTCAGCTTCTGAAGAAATCCATTTTTAGTAGTTCGCGGACCAGTGGCAAGTAGAAATATAGGATCATATTAATAAACCACGAAGTCATAAACCTACAAAGCATGACAAAATGTGTGCGAAATGCACATAAAATCGCGGCAGTTTATGTTGTTTCACAATGCGCAGACGCTCTTCTTCATGTGCTACGCCCACTAGATTTCCAAGAGTCACACTATCCTTGGCGACAGGATTGGCTTCATACGAAAACATTTATCCCTTACGTAGCTTAACCTCCTATCTCTTTTTATTAAATCTGACAGACAGGTTAAAAATGCTGCCAAACTGTCAAAGATATTCCATGGCTACTGCTATTCATCATAAAACGCTACACCGCTGGACTGCTTTACATTGACTGAATGGGCTCCCGAAAAAACATCGAATCCTGTCGATTTGCAGTTTATTCTCGCTTACGTTCCCATTGTTCGACAATCTGATAGCAGCATCCCTATCTATGCTAGTGTGCTAGTCAATCATTTGGTAATGTAATACCGTACACAGTAATGGAATGTAGATTGGCTGACGAAATTTTAGACTGGAATACTGTGTAACTTTGTTTTTAGATTTTTAATTTATAAATTCTTGAGATTCGGTCAACTCAAAATATTTATTTAAAATACGACGTTTCTGCGACTTCAAACGTTATGTTCAGGTAAATCTGAGTTTATAAAATCGTTAGCACCGTATAAATGTTATTGTCAAGTCTGTCAGTTTTGTGCCTGTCAGCATTACGTCTGAAACACAATATGGAGAGACGCAAAGGTTTGTACACTTTTACTTATTGAAACACGAGGAAGGTAACAGACATGGTTTTATCCGCGACAAAATACGTTTCCTAGACAAAAACGTTGAACAAAGTTGTAAAATTCGAAGCGACCCATCTAATGGTAATCTTGAACGTGACCTTGCCTATGTTAATCAAGGTCATTTGAAAGTCAATACAGATTGGTGACACAGGATATGTAAAGAGCGGAAATTTTACGTTAAAATATGCCTCTGCTCATGACCTTGACCATGATCGTCTATCTACCGCACCAGAATCGGCGGCATCAAGGGGCCACAGTGGTGACACAACTCACAATGTGAACCTGCACTTTGTGCTGTCTTATTTCGATAGATCAAGCCTGTATTACTAGTATGTTAGTTCATTTATCACAACGTATGGGGTCTGCAGTTTGATAGGAACTTTTGGAATGAAACTAATTCACGTATTAGTTACATTTATTTAAATATGCTTATTGTCTTCAGTTATTGGAAATCCATCTTCATAACATGTAAGTAAATGATTTAAGGCATTTTTTCAATTATACAACATAACTAACACAATCCTTACAGAATATCTCTTTACAGGTGACTGTAGAAAAAGGCAATTTTATTAGACGAATAAGGGAAGCTTAGAACGTAAAACATAATAATTTTTGAACTAATAATCTACAGATATTTCGAGCAATAGTAACTAAAACATTGAAACTTGGTCTCAGAATCATTAAAGATAACACAATTATCCAGTTGATATCGAGAAATATTATTTTCTAAATACAAATGCTACCAACGCTCAATTTCATATTTCAAAATTGATGCAGACTATAAATGCCAAAAAGGGATAATAACTTGAACAGTTTCGTGAACCTTAAATATTATGTATCGATGAATTGTTCTAGTGTCATATATTCATTTACAAGCAAGTAGCTAGTGAAATTGAGCTCCGGTAATTTCTAAGCTTCCACTTCAATTTATACAATATTTTTATGTAACATTCATAATAGTTAACTATACAGCTGAAACTTAAGCGTTTTTATAAAATATTCTTTATAATATCTATACCTATAAGTACTGTTAATAATCACCGTTTGCTGATACGTTTCGTGTTATGACATCACACATGGTATACTTACTTTTTTCATTATTAAAACTAATTTTCTCCAGTCGAACCAAATCATACTGAAACTACTCTTCAAAGAATATTCATTTTGATCTTTAAACATAGTCTATTGGGCTGGTTAACAAAATTCTATAGTCGAACGTTGTTTGAGTGTACTAAATTTTGTAAGTTGGGGTTCGTGACACGTTTGTAGTTATAAACAAAACCATTTTTTCAAACTATGCTCATTTTAAAGGATCTCATAAAAACATTGTTGATAAAATCACTTTATGGCATTTGAAAACAAAACTTGGCAACATAGCAATTGTTTACGTACTACTTTTTGTTGAAATATTGATTCAACTGGAGTTATTATCATAAGTACTAATGTGACATTACAACTGAGAATAAAAATACAAATATTACTGCGATAGCACCATACATTTAACGTTTCAAAAATATAAAATTGGAAATTATACAGTTACGTCCAGGAACATTAAGGCAAACTTTTCCGACACAATGTACTGCAGTATGACTAACTGTGAGTATACATTTTTAAAGTCAATAAATACAAGAATTCAGATTGAAAGGATTTGAAATATTCTTTTATATTTGATACGTGAAATATTATGTCAAAATACTTAAAAAGCTTCAATGTTTGATGGCCGCAGAATCGAATAATCCAATGGAGTGACAATTATGTGGTTTACTTCAAATTAAATGTCACCAGATAATATGCCTCAATTTTCTGGACAACAATATTTATGCTGAAATATCTAAAATTAAAATGGCACACTTACCTAAACGAAAAATACACGATAACAAAAATAACATTACAGAAAAACTCGGATGACCAGAAATTGGCAGTATAAAGTAGATCGTACAAAATGAAGAAACGCGGAAGTAAAGACACGGATATCAAAAAAGAAATTGCGCATAAAAAATGAACACATAGTCGCACGGAGATAGAAACTAAGTGAAATTATAATTTAAAACTATGTATCATCTTCTTCTAGCGAATCAATTCACCAGTTCATGGTTGTAGGGATCTGGATAACTGAAAAAAGTAAAAGTAATAATATGATTGTACCTAAATAGATTTCAGAGTTTTTGAGGTCGCTGAATTTTGGGAATTTGTTTTCCTTTCCTTCTATAGAAAACTAGACGTTAAAATAGTTGTTAGTGTATTTAGGCAGTTAAGTGCTAACTGCATAGAACGAACTCAAGATGTGAACTTTAACAAGCCAAATGACATAAACGCTCATTATGCCCGAAGTACTAACATAATTTTATCTACTACGAGCTAATATGGATAGAACTAATTGCTTAGACTGAATTTAAAATAATTTCTCTCTACATAGTTAAAGAAATGTTGAATAATGCGTATTTTGCTAAAATCCTTACCTTTCGCAAAATCCATCGATATGCAAGTAAAAAAGCGTCAGTCTATTATATGAGAGTAATAAAATATTATCAATATCAGCTAATCGTTATTTACATGGACTGTGGGTAGTTATCTAAATATACAAAATTAACATGATACCGATAACCAAAAGACAACAAAGCAAAACGAAACTGTACAATACCCACTTAGGTAACTCAAAGAATAATATATTCAACAAATTATATTGTCTAGCACGTAAAAAAAAATCGATCATATTATTCGATTGACCTTACACCTTACAGTTTAGCAATCCAATCGTTGATGTTCAGAGGTCCATTGCATAAATCTTTGAACAAGTAGATTTATTATGATCATCCCAATGCCAGTTAAGCAGTATGACAAAATATTATTTAGCAACCACCCGTTAAAATTGCTTCCAAAAGATGTACCACAGTTTCTTTAACAGTAACATTGTTCAACAAAGTTTTGAGTTTGAAGCCTAAAAAAGCGTTGAGACGTGTGGGTTCTCTAAAAAAGGCAGTAATTGACCCAATCGCCTGGTTAGGGTCAATGATGGGCGTTTACGTTAATTGTCTACGTTTCGATATAGACAATACGTAGACAATGTAAGCAATACGAAAACAGTGTATGCAATAGGTATACACAATGTTAGCAATATATATATATATATATATATATATATATATATATATATATTGTATACAATGTATACAATGTATACAATGTATACAATGTACACAATGTATAAAATGTCATATCGAACTTGTATTTGGTCTTTTATGACTCATATAATGACGTCAATTGGGTGTGACATTAGACCGACATAATGACGTCACTTTTGGCCGGCGTACGTCAGTAGTGTCAAAAAAATGCCGACATTATGACACTATGTTCACTGGGGTAGTACTACTATTAGGTATTAAGTATGCGGTAAAAGGTAACAGATTGGAATGAGCACCAGTCCTCTGAAACACCACAAAGATGCTAGGGTTATTATGTTATCGACTGTCGACATTTTGTTGACTAGAAGTTAACGACGTCTCATTGAACTGAAAATCAAATAATCTGACATTATCTCGAAAATGCCTATAGAGCTTCATTTACAAGGTAGGTAGATTCCTTTTTGAGAACATTTAAATAAAATGTAGATGGAAGTTTGTATTACTGTATTATAACTTATTTTGGAAGTCCCACAATATAAAAGACTGATATGTCTTAGTCTTCCATCATGTTAACATTGCTCTTTAAACCCAAATTGCTGTAATAGGTTGTCGACTGCCGATCGATATGAGTTGGTACTTACATAATAACCCTGCTGACCACAATCTAATTTACTAAATCAGTCCTCACGCATCCTAGTTCTGATAATCTTACTCGACATCGAATCGTCACAAAACCAGAACCAAATTAATACAGATGATTATTGCGAGAGCTATGGATACATGAAAGGCTTCTGGCGACGAAGCCCGATTTGACGGTTTAGGATGAATGATGTTGACAGGTGGGGGTTCGACGTATTCGTCGAACTGATCCACATCAGAAAAAACCAGTGATGAAGGGATCCATCGAGCACTAATATTAATGTAGGATAGCATGAAACAGATAGGTTAGTAATGTTAGTGAGATCATCTGAAAATGCGTCAAGCTATAGTGCATTCATGTTAGTGTGCTAATACTCCTGCATCTAAAGGTGCACGCACCTTGAGGAGAAGCGACGCGAAGAGAACTGCGGCGACATTTGTCTTTGGCATACGTCAAACGTTACGCGTCTCTTCCTTTCGCGTCGCAAAAGTGAGAGGGCTGCTATTTGATTATCCGTAACGGAACCCAGCGGAAGAGTTTAGCTTTCATTCTCTTCGTTACCTGTCTCTTCAAAGAGCATGCATCTAAAGGTGCACGCACACTGAGGAGATGCGACGCGAAGGGAACTACGCGACATTTGTCATTTGCACACGTCAAACCTAACGAGTATCTTCCTCTCGCGTCGCTCAAGTGAGTGGGCTGCAATTTCATTATGTTTAATGTAACCTAGCGGAGAAATTTCACTTTCATTCTCTTCGATTCCCTCCCTTTCTAACTGTGCATCTAAAGTTGCACGCACACTGAGAAGTGGCGCGAAGGGAACCGCGATGACATTTGTCTTTTGTACGCGTCAAACGTTACGCGACTCTTCCTTTCGTGTCGCTCAAATCTGAGTGATGCCATTTGATTATGTTGAATGGCACCCAGCGGAAAAAATCACTTTCCTTTTCGTCGATTACTTTTTTTTTAATGAGCATCCATCTAAAGGTGCACGCACATTGAGGAGAAGTGACGCGAAGGAGACAGCGGTGATATTTGTCATTTGCACACGTCAAATGTTACGTAACTCGTCCTTTCGCGTCGCTCAAGTCTGCGGGCAGTCATTTGATTAAGTTTAACGGGACCCAGTGGAAGACTTTTCATTGTTTTCCCTTGAATTAGCGTGTATCTGAAGTGCACGCACACTGGGAAGATGCGACGCGAATGGAATCATGCATGAGACGTTACGCGTCTCTTCCCTTCGCATCCCTCAAGTGAGCGGGCTGGTGTTTGATTATATTATCAGTAAGAGAAGAGTTTCGCGTTCATTCTCTTCGATGCCCTTCCCTTCAATGAGCGTGCATCTAAAGGTGCACGTACACTGAGGTGAAGCGACGCGAGGGGAACTGCGCGACATTTGTCATTTGCATGCGTCTCTTCTCTTCTCAAGTCTGCGGGCTGTCATTTGATTATGTGTAACGGAATAGTTCCCCTTCCCTATTCTCCACTTCCCTGCCAGTCTATGAGCGAAGCCCTTAAATGTGCTGTTCCATGCTGCGAAGGCGGCTAAGCCTGAGACAGATTTGTGACACTAGTGACATGATATAGTACTTATATAGAAAGTCTGTCACTGTCACACTTAGACTGTAAAATATTCAATATAAGATTTTGATTGAGTTTTTAAAAAGGCGTGTTTTGCAGTGGGGCGTTGTTCCTCTCGCTATTTTTTTCATAAATTTATAAATTGTTTGAGTAAACATGTAGCTCTCTTCCGCCCGACCAGAGGCAGCCAACAGCTGTTTGTGCTTTTTAGGCAACTTATCAGCATGGTCTAGGCCTGGTATCTGGGTAAACGAACGAAAACAGAGGAACTATCTCTTCCCAAGGCATGGGTTGCCAAAAAGCACGAATCAGCTGTCCATGTTTGGCTGTCTGTTGTCGAACAGACGAAAGCAGCGTGTTTAGTTGTTCAATGGGGAGTAGATCACGTCAACTATACCGCTATGTCAGTCTCCAGCGGTCATAGTGGCGATTGGGCTGTCAAGCACGAACTGAGATCCTTACAGTTCCAACCGATAGCTGCTATACCCTGCCGGAGTGGTCGACTCTGGTAATAGACGGAGCTTTGCGCTGATTTATTTCGATTTTGAGTACTTGACAGTGACATTTCCTGCATCAGTACTATGTCACTAAACTCACGAATCGGTCTGCAGCTTGGACGCTTTCGATGTCTCTTGAAGCTGTCATTTTTCTGCTACACCTCCTACTAGTATTAATTGCAGACAGTACAGTAGCCTCAACTTATTATTAGTTATTGATTAGTCAGTTAATCTTCAAACATATAAGTTTTGTAATGTTTACCTGGAGCATGGTTTGACATTCAACCCATTTATTGCTTTCATTCCTAAGTCTAATCTCTGCGAGTTCTGAAGTTCGAAGGCGTGTATACATCCAACGAAACCTTGAGTCACCCTAAAAAATAAATAAAAACAGATAGATAGAAAGCGACAGTCTGTGTTGGAGAATGAAGCTTCATTTTTTGCTGCGGCATGAATGTTTATTATTTTGTTCGTCTTGCATTTTAAAAGAAATAATAGTCTTAGAATCATTTACTGAATGTTTGACTCATGTTTCTGTGTCTGTACCATATCCAAGTCCAAGACAAAGTAAAATGCAATAAACATGTCCACGAGCGATTATTGGCGAACTTGGTACTATTATCGAGATGGATATGGGTGTGCCACGAGTCTTTGTTTTGGGACCTGTTTCTTTTCATTATATGTGAACTCTGTAGTGCAAACAACGTTATCATATGTTCACGATTGGTTTTCGGTGAATCAGCATCATTTAATTTCGGACAAAATTCAATTTTGCGATTTCGTGACAGACAACAAAAAACGTACCGGCATCTTTGGAATTAACACTAAAAGACACTCTTATGCAGATCAGCAGTAATAAAACATTTCTGGGATTATATACTGACGAACACCTTCAACTCAAAAACCATTGTGACTATTTATCGACGAAGCTATATAGTCATCCATATTTAATTAAAAACTTACAGACTGTTCTTAAGCGACTTCAATTCCGCACATTATATTACGCCCAGCTAGAGTTGCGGCTTAGGTATGGAGTGTGTTTCTGGGGATATTCTACAGACGCATAGAAGGTATTTTTGTGTCAGAAAAGAAGAATGCAGTGGATGACCGAAGTAACCCTTCGGTCTAGCTGTAAGGACATTTTTAGGGAATATCTGCCATTACTTTTTATTTTTGAACTGTGTGTGTGTGTACATATTTAAATAGAGAGCGTTTTCTGCTTAACAGTGATATAGATGCCATTAATACCTGCCAAAAAAAATGAGATCCATGTCCGATATTCCAAATTTGATATTAGTAGTAGATCGCCGAATGGTTTAAAGCAAAACATGTCTTTCAAAGCAGAGTTGCAGCGATTTCTATTGAATGAATGTTTTTATACAGTGTCGGAATATGTTTGTAAATAGCTGTTTGTTTGCCTGTTTATCTATTTATTCACTTTCAGTATATATGTTAGTATTTTGTTTGTAACTATTGCATTTTATGTATATTTTTCATGTGTCAAAAGGAAAATAATGAATTTGAATGCACCGTGCAATACTGCAAAAATCCAATGTAAATCTTACAATGCACATATTAGCTGCATTTTTTACCAGACTGTTATACTAATTCATTTCATTCATAATTATGATTCACTAAATAATTGCATTTGCAGGACGGTTCTGAATACGACCCTGTCGGGCTTTTGACTATCACGTGCACAGGGCGTGACTATGTTGCTGAGTTACATTCACTCTTGGACTGGGATGCGGCTTACCTCTATCAAATCTACATTCTACAAAAGTGTAAACAAACCTGGAGCTCGTCATGAGAGGAATATTTGGTGTTCCTCCAATGTAGATATTTCCTTTGCAGTCCATGTCTGCGGTGTATCCTTCCGCATCGCCTTCTTCCATCCAAGTATTATCCAAATCCATGGTTCCTCGTCTTCCTCTCCTCTTCAGAATTACATTGTGCCTCTCTCCATTATCCACTCGAACTTGACGATTCTGTATTATCGCTGCTCCTTGGCCTAGGTCGAAGCTGTACTGCAGATAGCCGTTTTGCACTGAAAAAATAAAACGTATGCTAAAGGTATATCCAGATCTTGCTATATAAATAGGTATTTTAGAATTGGGCCAAACAGGACGGAAGTCTCCGGTCATTAAATACAATTAATCAAACTAGCATCTTTTCTAAAATACAAAAAGCTTGACTCCAGTAACTAAAGAAAATGATATTTAAATTGGGCTAACATGACGAGTCTAGGGACAACTCAAATGCCAAAATCCATCAAGTTGTTTGTAGTCAGTGATGATCATTTACGCGTATACATTAACTGTCTACGTCTCGATGTATACAATGCGTATACAATGTATACATTGCGTATACAATGAATACAATGTATACAATGATGAAGACAATGTATAGAATAGCATAAGTGAGGTTAGGTTTATTCGTAAACGTCAGAAAGTTGGTGAACAGTGAACCGGCAACTTAATGAAAATATGGTTGGACGCCCTAAGAACAAATAAATCGATGAACTAGAGTTTATTTTATTTAAAAATGGAAAGACATTCCGTAGAGTGTAGTGTCTGCAAAAAAAAGTTTTCCAATTCCGCTGAGTGAAATCAGTCCTTTGGCTGACTTCACTCAGGGTGGATTTTGTTTCCAGAAAATATTTTATATTTATTTTACTTGATAAATGTTCCTAATTTATTTAACACTGTATCTTTGTATACGTATACAAATAAACCTTATATAGATATTTATAACCTTTCTCATTATTTATAAACTGCTTTCACAGTCAAACCAATAATGCAATGTCGCAAAATTTGTAGCGAACCTGAACCTTCAGTTCCACCTAAAATCGGAGCACCATTAGGATCATGTAGAAAACCTACAAAACGTCAAAAAAAATCTATAGGATGTCAACTTGCGGACTAGGTAGTTTTTTAGGGCGCAAGCAGTCATTCCACGTTTGCTCACTAGGATCGTTGTGAACGTCCATCTATGGAGGAATCACTCAACTAAGCTACACGCATTATTGGTTGCATAGTTTTGTGAGGCTAAATGGTCCTTGCTTGTAGTTTTTATCTCTGAGAAGAAAGTTGGTTGGATAGCAAGATCGCATCTGAATGATTATGTGTATTGGTCAGCATGTGTATAAAAACAGTTATATTTGCTGTGTGAGAAAATCATTACTGAATATGCTTCCAATGAAGTATATCTATCGGCTGTGCCCGAAGGGTTATTTTTATGTTGTGCTTCCTGGAGAGAGGTTATGTTCAAAGTTATAAATTACGAGAAAATGAGTTGAATTACGGGAAATGATCATCGCGCCCGCGTTGTGTGTAATTACTGTTGGCACGTATATGGCTTGTAATTCAACGGTGTACAGTGAATATACCTGTAATTATTTCTTATCTCTCTCATTTTTGAAATTCAGCAAATTTGTATATGTAATTTCCAGAATAGATAAGAAAAAGTGGATGCGCAACTAATTTTCTCACTCTTCCTACACAAGTGATGCCCTCTTTTCCTCGTCTCTCGCTTTCTCGTACAGATGGAAATCTAAAGGGGAAAAGGACTTTCGGCAGCAAGTAGTTTAACTATAATTTGCTATTGTATACATTATATACATGGTATACGTGCATATCGAGACGTATATATTCACCATTGTATACGCGTATACAATGCGCCCATCACTGTTTGTAGTCCGTGTAATAGAAATTTCAAAGTAGAAATTTTAGTGTATGGTACACAGTGTTACTCGCACTGTCAAGACGAATCTAAACACAACTCGAAATCCATCCAGTTGTTTAAGCTGTGGACCGTGAAATAGGAATTTCAGGCTTGACTTTTTCTATTGAAATCCGGTTATTCGTTTTTATAAAATTTTAATATAACCAGTATCACTCACACTGTTAAGACGTATTTCATACGTCAAAAACCTTCAAGCTGTTTAATCTGTAGCCTGTGAAATAGGTATTGTAAGGTTGATTTTTTATAAAAGTCGGCCATTTTTTTTATAGAATTTCAATATAATCACTGTTACTCGCGCTGTTAAGATGAATCCAGCGACACTTCGTATGTCAAAATCCATCAAGCTGATTCGCCTGTAGCCCGTGAAATAGAATTTTTTGGATACATGTATACGTGAAAAACATAACGCTCCGTCTGAGGCAGTAGGATTAACTGGGAATAGCTCAGAGATCTTACAGTAAGAAGTGGTGTTGATCTGACAATTTCCTTTGCAGTTGTACTTAACCTCGTTTACGTTTGCCAGTGGAGGTTGTCATTCAATTGTTTTATGTCAAGCACGCTTAAATCAGGCTTCACTCGCTTGTATAGCAAATCTAGTGAAGACTGACAGACAGGCATAATGGACGTCCTTAGAAAATGACTCTGTCAAGAGAAGTCAAACTCATATCGAATTTGTAATTCGTTAGGTAGAAGGTGAGGACAATGTGCAACAGCAGTCGATCAATCTAGATGCCATCCAAGCAGATTGAAGGAAGCATCTTAACTGAAGCCACCGTAAACATTCCTGAATAGAAAGACCATGGCAGATTACACTATTATTCGCAAAGATCTTTACGACAACACCACTATGATAAGACATAAGATCTCCTCTAACAACTCGCGATTGTCAAGCATCTAGATTTTGTTTTCGCAGTTCCTTGAGCATAAACATTTCTTCTTTGACAAAAAGCGAATAAGAATACCAATCAGTACCGGGGAAAGGGGGATATTAAAACCAATTTTATTAGTCATTAGAAAATCTTTCCTCAAGAGATGTTATTGATACTTACGTGTAAGGGAGATGTAATCTTGTCCTTGTCCATCTTCATTAGGTGTCTGTCCATGCCAAAATATAAGCCCATTAGTCGCATTGGTCGAGAACTCTAGAGCAATCACCTCCTCATTTTCACCTTGGTGGTCGAGAAGGTCTCTGCTGAACTCCAGATATCCATCGCCCTCGAAGTGAGCATCGTTTTGCAATTCAGTTACTGGATACAAACATAAACAATCAGCAAATAAGTTCCACAAGGATTAGTACTTAGCCCCACGATTGGCCTTTGTTTTCCATCTAAGTTTCCGTAAGACTACTTTTTTTTTTAGTAAACTAGATATCAGCAAAAGAAAGCTATGAGACCCATCCCACAGCTTAAGGTATGTGTCCCCAGATCATCATCGTTCGTTTTTTACTGTTCGCCATAAGCATATTAATTCAAGGTAGTCTACCAATGCGTCAACCATTTGCAATCTTATTTGCAGTACATCATTTGGATTTTCGTCTACTGAAAATGAGCCTACGCGGTCGATGTCGTCGATCGTAACGCGTCCAGTGACCGCCAATCCATAACGACGTCGTACGCAATCGGATTGTTATTATTATTTTGAAGAACTCAGTTTTCGTTCGTCGGATCTCAGACGGCCAACCACGGCCGTGTGCTTTCTGGCAACTCATCAGCATGGTACCGCCAGAATCGACGCCATCTAGTAGGCATAGTGGTAACCTGGCTATCAAATGCGAACTGAAATACATTTTCAACACGCAGCTTGCTATTTCACTCTCACAGTGGTCGATTCTGGTAGTAGATGGCACTTTCTGCTGTCAGAACAGTTGCTCTTTCCAAAAATCCATTTCGGACATTATCCGATGTGGAACAACAACAACAAGAACAACCTAAACTCCGTTTAGTGCATCAGTCTGATGGACGCATACCTTTACCTTTGTAGATGATATAGTCGAATGTCAGCTGTTTTAAGGCAACGAAGTATTTTACACATGTACATCGGGAATTGATCATAAATTGCAATATATTATATTTGGCGACTCCGAGTGTACCAACATGCAATTATCGAACCCTTCCATTGTCTTTTTTCCAATAAAAACCGATAATTATCGATTTTATTCAAAAACCAATTTCTTGAGTATAATACATGGAAAGCACTTCTATTTACTACCTAAAGTAAACCACTATTATATTAATAATAATGATAATCATCGTCTTTATTACTATTATCTACAAAAGGCGAGATTTACACTCTTATTCCCAACCTTACGTGACGTAGTACACTGGAAGATTTTAAAACGAAAAAAATTAAATATACAAATGAAATAAGCAAGCCTATCTTTACACTACAAACTTACTTATCGTACTTGTTAACTTGTTATAATGCGCTAATAATTTATGTCTCTGTCGTACAAATATTGCTCAAGTGCTACCTAAAACTTTCGTGCCGGTAGTTGTTTAACTTCTAAAGGAAGTGAATTGTACGAAAATCTTGATGTCATGTTTGGAATCTTACTGGAATTTATAACCAGTTCAAGTCTTCAATTTTTTCATATACAGGGTGGCCCATTCATGTGTGGACGGAATATTACTCATAAACAAATACATTGTCTGAAAATCTATTTATGGCATGTTATACATGACATTTGAGGGCACAAGTCTAAAATATTGGCAATTATACAGGGTGGCCCAATTTTTGACCTATATATCAAAGTTGTGATTTTCTAAATGGAATGCCTCAAATTTTATCGCACATTTGGATAAACCAGTTCAAAAGAAGAAGATTGAGATAACATACTATGGGTTTTGGAAATTAGCTACTGAGATGTAAGGTATTTTGTCTAGAAAAACCCCCCACTTCGGCAACCCTTCAGTCTGCCATTTTGAAATTTGGAGTATATCTCAGTAGCTAATTATCAAAACCCCATAGTATGTTATATCAATTCTTTTGAATTAGTTTATCCAAATATGCAATAAAATTTGAGGCATTCCATTTGAAAAATCACAACTTTGATATGTACTCGTAGGTCAAAATTGGTACACCCTGTATAATGGCCAATATTTAACAAATGTGCCCTCAAATGTCATGTATAACATCCCATAAATAGATTTTCTCAAAATGTATTTGTTTATGAGTAATATTCCGTCCACACATGGATGGGCCACCCTGTATATGAGTCCATATTTCAGTCCATTAAAATATTCAGTTTGATACTATACTAAAATCCTCTTTAATCTGATTTTTGTCATTTTCTGAGCACAAAAGTGGTGTACCTTTATTTCGATTCAACTTCCAGATCACTGTTGATTTGTATCAAAACCGTTTCGTAAATTTTCTGGTTTGAAATTATGAATTACTTTGGCTCTCATCGACATAAATTTGTACATACGAATCACTTATACATTTATGCATATCTGAAGTGTGTATTTAAAATGAAATTGGGCCAACAATGAGCCTTGTGGAGCTCCGGATATCACGTTTGCAATAGAAGAAACGGCGTTATTCAACTAGAACTGCAATCTTGTAAATACGATTTGAAAAATGGAGCAGAATCATTATCAGAGCATAATGTCATAATTTACCAAATAAAACGTCATGATCAATACATTCCAACCCTTTTTGAGTAATCAAGAGGAACAAAACGGTCGACGCTAATTTTGTAGAAATATGTATTGCATTCATTATGCATTTCGTAATAAAATTGAAACCAAACCAACTTTAAATCAAATGTAATTGAATCACTGTAATTCTTATTCCTCTCCCAATTTTAAATGAAATAAAATCTTTTACACAAATCATATCAAAACTTGAAAACTTTTTGCTATTTTTAGACTCATCAATATAATTCTAAGACACAGTAACGTAATGCAATGAACAAATGACACCTGAAAGACAGATAGTACGGCGCGGAGTGTTTTGTATCGTACAGAAATTTCAAAATTCCGATACATAACAGCTGCCGTTGTAAAAAGTACTTATATGATGTTTTTATCGATTATCGATACCTATCGTTTTCCAAAATGAATCGATAATAGATGAATAACCGATTATCGGTTATTGTTTTGCATGCCCTACAAAACTCTATACCCTATTTCACGAGTATCCATGACGATTTGATGTCTACCGAGGTCAACAGCTGCTCAGCAAATTTTATAATAATATAAATCTAATAAGATTTGTTTGTGGCGTTTTGTTTTCTGTATGAAAATGCACTTTTCTAAATAAAAGTACAAAATGAATCTGTAGCGTACAAAAAAAAACAGAAAAATACGCCTCTGTCTACCTGACGTTGACGAAGCCGTCAGACTTACATGTCCTGTGCGATCTGGGGAATTTTGAAGTATTACTAGATAACCAGCTGTCATTCTACCGTGATGGATACTCTTGAAATAGGGTATACTCCACACTCTTATCCTTCAGAGCTGATTGACTGTCAGAACATATAACATAAATACGAGTATGCTCCGCTCAAATATATTATAAATATCGAGTCACACGTTTGACATTTTATTCTTACCTTGCTCGCAATTGTACCCAGTATAGCCCAGGGGACAATCACAGCTATAGTGAGTATTATTTCCTTTACAAACACCTTGGTTCTGGCAAGGTCTTTGGTCACAGATGAACAATTCAGTCTCACAGTTTTGACCAGTGTATCCAATAAGGCAGGAACATCTGTAAAACGTACATGCCTGTCAGAAAATCCAGCTTGCTTAAGCATACAATGAAACTCTTCGTCATTGGTTAGAGTCTTGCCAGTTCAATTAGTCCGCCAGGAATGGTTCACCAGACACCAGATAAAGCGAGAGAAAAGGAGGGAATAAGACATAAAGTAGGAAAGCAAAGAGGGGGAAGTGCTTCAGCCAAACGGGAGGGCTGGCATTGTGACTAGGGTACAAGGATTTAAAAGAGTTCCAAATGATTAATTTCGATGTTTACAGGTCCTGGAAAATTCAAATTTGGTCAGAAAATTTGAACGATTAGATTTTGTTCACAATGCGAGTCACGCTCTTGTATGCAACAGAAGATTCCTGTGTTATGGCGGCCTGAATAAGATCCAGCACTCTTTATCTGGAAAAGTTAGTTGACAGGATTGGCTACCTAAGCCACATTTTTCCGAAAAAACATTTTCAATCCAGAAGCATTCGTGGCGTAGGTATATATGACGGAAGTTGATTTTCTGACAATTTACTGGAAGACATTTTTTAAAAAACCCACACATTATTACGCCAAGAAGGCTATAAGCTACTTAAACTCCCAGATGGCCGCCAAACAAAAATTCATCGATAGTCAAAACAATGATGCAGGGAATAAAGATGGTTCTGGATTTAGTTCAGATGACACGATGGCAGTGTGAAGGAGATTCACTATCATCCGACTGGCAGCAGTACTGATAGTGACTCTGAGCGAGTAACTCAGGCAAATAAATACACTTATGGCTTATGACTCGACTGCCGTTAAAGATGTGGCATATGCTTTTGATATATAGGAAAACCTTTTTTGGATTATTTTCAAAATATCATTATATAAGGATTTAAAATCATCTTTTTATCAGATTATATAATATGTTAATTATAAATGTCAATGATATGTATTTTTGAAAATAAGAGTAGTTAAAGCCCTTATTGACTAAATAAATGTATGTCTATGGCTTGCAGACTTCAGTAATATTCATATTTTTCCAGAATAGAGAACGCATGTGACACAATCCTAATGGAAAAACAGATCTTTGATGCATTTGGCTTCATATCTGTCACGAAAAAGAACTTTAACGTAAATTATATATATATATTATATATCGAAGCAGCCGCGCAGGCAGAAGCCTAAATGCCGGAACACCGCGGCTGCTAAGATGATCCCAAAGAAATTTTGTTAATACGATTTTTGAACTGCCCAAGGTTAATAGAACTGGGAAAAGCTTCCTCTTGTAGACTGTTCCACAATCTCGACACCCTCCGGCACCAATCCAAGTGTTTTTAAAAATGAATTTATGTTACGAAAATGCGTTATATTATTTCGATTCTCCTGTTTACCAAATCGTTGTTTCTGAAAATATAAATCTATTGCAGAATTTCAATCCAAATTGAGATTTAAGCGTGATTTCAAGAATTACATAATATTTATAAGTTTAGATCTCTCGAAATAGTCACTGCCGCTTAGGTACCTTATTGCCCCAAATATTATATAACTTACTTATATTCCATGGGGCTCAGGGGATAACACTGTGCCCCATTTTTGCACGGACTTCCTGAGCAGCCAGTACGATGCATATCAAAGGTCTTGGGTTGGGTGTTGTCAAACTCTGAAGAGTAGATATTGTTGTCTACGTCCGCCTCTTCTGGACTGAACTCGCTGCAATCGCCGACATTTGAAGCATCTGTTGCATTGGAGATAACGTTCATATCGGTACCAGCGACGTTGATCTAGAAAATTAGAAGAAACGGTATTTCATTCCACCTCATGCCTGACGTAACTATATCCAAAAACGATTCACGAATGTAGGGACTGAAATTGCTCGTAGAACGTTAAAATGCACGAGTGAATATAGAGTTGCAAATAAATTTGCCGCGCCGCTCCATTTGGAGTAAGTGTCGATGGTGGTATAGAAATAGTGGATCTAACAAATGAAGACATGATAAAATTCTATTCATTGAATATAAACAGATGATACGCTGATATCCATGCCACGTATTTTGATTGCTGGAATACCCGCTGCAAACTTTCCAGGTTATGCCACTGTTTTTCTTTACCTCCTAGATTAATGCGCGTCAATGCTGCATATTTAGCTGTCATTGACTTACCGAATCTACGATTGGTTTTAATAATCACATGTCTCCAATCTGGATTCTGATTCGTGTAATTTGCGTAGGCAACCACTCCTTTGTCCTAGCAGTAGCTTGCCACAGTGATGTCGAACCGATTTTTTAGTAGATATGTCTACCGATATAAGACCTTATTTACCGAAATACCGAAAACGTACGTACTCATGTTCCACGAATTTTTAGAATAATCCAGATATTTCCAGATTTTTTACGGAAAAAGAGCTGGAACCAAAAATTATGTTAAAAAATACTTAAATGTAGTTATATTTCCCATATCATCAATCATACATATGCGTACACTTAAGCAGTCGGGCTTTTGAGTAACGTGGACTTGGGTTATCTATAATTATGTACGCATATTCCTTCCTCCGCTTTCCCTGTATTGGTTTTTGTGCGTAAAACAGGTGCAGACTGGTAGATCACAGCGATTGCCTATTTTAAAGTAATCACTATATACTAAATAAAGATGTTCGATGACGAGGCTTCAAGTTCAGGGTAAAACAGAAAATATTATATATAAATAGTCTTGTGAACAAGAATGAGGAAAGGGCTTTCCAGGGTGGTTGCAAAGGAGTTGGAAGAGCAACCAGTATTGTCACTGTATCCAGTTGCAGTAAAAAAGTCGATTTCTTTTAGGAAAGGATGCTCTCAAAAAAATTTGCTCCTTCCGGATTTGTTCTTGAATCTATCGAATTTCGTCCATACCATCTACCGATTTCGTTTTTTTTGGTTCGGCAACACTGGCTCGTCAGTCCAGAGGAGTTTTGGAAAAAATTGACGTGAGCAGCTCTTTTTTGGTGCTCAACGCCATTGGCATTGGGGTCAAACATGGAAGAAGCTATGGACTACCTTTCGGCGCTGCGGCGCCTATTAATGCAGATCATTATACGTATTACTGATTTCTATGTTTAATTGGTGAGTAACACCATCTCCGATTTTCCGACATCTAGACGATATAGCTGTAGCTTTTATTCTCTCGTTGTTAGGTAAATAATACTTTGTTCGTACCCATAGCACCGATATAAACTTTTTCGTTTTGTCTATATACAGTTTTGCGAACAGCTTGAGCACCTGTCATCGTGAAACCTGTTGCTTTATTTATAAAGATGAGTATACGGATACGGTGAGGAAATATGGCTGACGTCGTAACTGCGTTCGTGGCCTTTCTAACACGTATTGCACGTTTCTCACGCTTTCGTCTCATACACATTACGACGTCAGTGACATATGGATATCACTGTATAGCGTATTTAGTCTGATCATATTAGCAAATTTTTCCGAAATAATTGTATAGTCTGGTTTCATTGATGCAAGTTGTTCTAGCGGGTATTAAAAAAACAGGGACACATAAAATGGGTATACTAATTTTTGTGTGAAAGCTTTTTATTCGACAACAAAGAATGAAAAAACATGTTTTTTGAGATTCAATCGAAAGTGTGGGTAGGAACGAAACACTCTTCAAATAAAATATTTAGGTATTTATGAGACCTACAAAATGAGACCACTCGTAAAAAAATCTCACTAATAGCAAAAACGTTATGGCCAAAAACAAGGCAAAATGCAGGTTTTGGCACTTGTTGGTAATGTGACGATGATTTCACGCAACTATTTGAAATTCTTCAAATCCGTAGGAATCATACTTCTAAATAACCACAACAAAATTGGAGTAGATTGGTTGAGCAGTTTTTGAAATGCCTAATTGTTTATCCCAAAACACCTGTTTTCCGGCGATCACTACTAGTTTATTCAAAGGGTATTTAATAGCACGAGTTCACTTTGTCGATATGAATCACACACCATTCGGAAAGAGATTATATTTTTATGCGAAAACCCAAAAGTTTTTGTCTTCTAAACAAATTCAAAGATTTCGTATTTGTGAGTAATTAAATATGCTACGATATTCGAAAACATACGTAGGTAATTATACACATTTTAAAACAAAGTGGATGAGTCTATCACCGTTGGTTATGAAGAAACAATTTTTTTCCAAGATTCTTCACGCTCTTAGGTATAAATATTCAGAGCTGAAATTCTTATACGGTCACAGATGAACCTTAAGGTTTATAAAAAAATATTTCACACAGACATTACTCACAAGTACATAATGTTTGACTTCGTTTAGAAGAAAATACCCTTTCTTTTTCGCATAAAAATAAAATTTATCTTCCGGAATGGTTTGTGATTTATATCGGCAAGGTAAACTCGTGTATAAAACGCCCTTCGAACGAACCCTGTATATTGCCTCGGTTTTCAGCCGCAACTTACTTGCTATTAGTCGGATCTTTTTACTTTCGATTGGATCCCAAAAAATACGTTTTCTCATTCTTTGTTGTGGAATAAAAGGTTTTGCAATAAAAATGAGTTACCCATTTTATGCGTCTATGTTTTAAACTTGAACAACTTGTAGCAATAAAACCACACGTTACGATTGTTGCGCAAACCAGGGGTATTTTCGTCTAATATGACTAATTCATGTATTTGTATAGGTAGTTTGCCAGTTACTTTTTCTTAACTTTTGTGATAACGGCTATTTTGTTGACATGGTTGTAGCCATGTATTTTTGACATTTAATGATCGTAGCTTTGCATGTTTTGAGGGCCCTCTCGATTACTTAGATAATTCCTAGATGTTCGGTTGCAGCTTGAACGTTGACGCAGTGCACATTTGGTACATATTTTTCACATATGTTTTTGGATTGACAGATTCACGTATCTGAATGCTAATTATTTCTCTTACAGCATAATATTTAATAAATATCATATAAATATTATTATAAATATTTAATAAATGCGTGCGCCACACAAACAGATACGTGATATCAGTAACAGCTAATTATAATATTTGAGAATATTAGGACTTTGCCTTTGCTGGTGATAGCTTTCCTAGGCTGGAATTGTCACCTCTAACACAGCCAAGTATCGCCCCTACATTCTTCTAACTTCTATTTGTACTACCCACAACCCATTTGCTCTCCAAATTATAGCTGCCGTGGTAACGCTCGTTTGAGTTGAACACTTCAATTTTGATTCTAACATCAACTCAGCTTTCATTTAAACCAGAAGCACGGTGCAACACGTAATATTAAACGCTTGGGGTGGCACTGGATGTCGACCTCCACAGCGTTTACTCGGTTGCCGTTAATAACAAATTACTTATTATTCAGGACTTACATTGGCTATACATCCATCAAATCCTTTGTAGACTTGCACACCGTTGTTCAGCTTGATATGATGTTTGTCATAACCTCCAACATACAATGGTGTCTGCAAATTTAAAGTCTTGTGATTTCCCGAAAGCCGTTCTACCACCGGAGTCGTGCCATCTACTAGCAGTCTGCCATCACTCAAGGATCTGCTAGCTGTTAATACATGCCACTTGCCTGGTTGAAGTTCCTCTCTATATCTTATCACAACTGGACCTACAATGAAAGAAAACAGCGTTAGTTGAAACCATATATTTTACGAAGTCTCTCAAAGGAAGGTGACATTATCCTATGTGGAAACAGCAATTTGAGTCTACATAATGGTTGGAGATCGATTGCAGGATCGCAGTGCAATTTACGGCTTTAACACTCAGGCACAAATTCTCTAGCTTTCTCAGACTTTTCTTGTCAATACCATGCTCTAAGAATCATGTATCTCCTTTGAAGCCGTCGTAGTGGAATCTTATCAGATAGCTGTCAGAAGTATTTATTCACTTGATGTTAATGGTTATTAGAGATATTTCTTACCATTTCCTGCATCAAATCTGAACTCTGGTCGACCGTCCTTGATCGCTAAGCTGACAAAGTCACCATGGCCTTCTTCAGTTTCAGCACAATACAGCAACAAACCATCTTCATGACCATTGGGCTTCACCTACAACATAAAGTAGAAGAATTATATTTCGATGAGCATCTTTATAGGGTGTTATTAAAGATGGGCTTTCCCGTTTCACAGCGTATAGTTTTTCTAGTAAGAAATGTATCAAATGTAATTCATTAAACTTATCCTGTGGTTTTCATGTCCATAGGACTATTTACTGTCTGGTCCGATCATATATATATATGTGTGTGTTTAGATTTCTGTTTATTTTACGATTTTTTATTTTTTTACTCAAAAATGGCGCATCGAAAGAAAACAACTTGAGAGATCATTTGTTTTAAATTGAACGGGGAATTTAAAAATAATTTTTATTTGGCAAAAAACCATTGGCGTAATATTTTTTTCTTAAAAAATATCAAAGTCAATACCCGCACGCACGCCACTGTTAAAGCTAAAAATTATTTTTGCATTGAAAAATATGCAATTTTATTAACTTTTACTACGTACTAAATATCAGTGAAATATCTGAAGCGGTTCGGAAAATATTAATTAATTTCCATTTTTTTCCTAAAATTTCAACACCCCGAGTTTTTGTAAGAAAACATTTTTGGACCATAGTTTATAAAGCAAACTAACATTGATTTTTCATGTAGATTCATACCCTTAAATATTCGCATATCATTAAGGAACACCCTGTATATACAGGGTGACTTCGAAGTTGAGTCATTTATTTTAACAGTAAAATTAAAGTAACAAAGTTATAGCCCTTTAGAAATTTGATTACCGCCCTGTCTCAATAATAATATTATGTGCTCGTGTTTGACAACAACGGATATAATCCGCCTTATCGGTTCATCGCATCGGACACAAAAAAGCGAAAGAATTTGAAACGCTTATTCAGTTGTATTCATTCAATGTGTCAGTCGGTAACGCGTCAGTGAATAGTGGTTTTTGTTGCGTGGCTCAAACGAAATAAAAAATGGCACATGTTTGCGAAAATGCTGAACTTGTGGACATGATTCTTATTTACGGAGGGGGGAGTCTTTACAAATGCTGCCGCGGCATCACGAATTTATGCGGATCGGTTTCCCAATCGAGTGCAACCAACCCCTCGTGCCTTTGTTAATGTAGTACAAAGGGCTCGTGAATCAGGTGACTTAAGACCTCACAGGGGAGGGCATGCCGGTGCTCCAACACCGCACGATCAAATAGAGGTTCGCACTGAAATACTTGTCGGGAGGATACTTTATAAAACAAGGCAACATTTATTTTTTATTTTTTTTTTATTTTTACACACATATTTTGGTTTATCTTCCTTCTACAATCATTATCTGAAAATTAATGACTCAACTTCAAAGTCACCCTTTATAAGCATATAGGTGGCTTCAGCGCCTTCTATGAGAAACTAACCCTTTCAAAGAGATTCACTATCATCCGACTGGCAGCAGTACTGATAGTGACTCTGAGCGAGTAACTCAGGCAAATAAATACACTTATGGCTTATGACTCGACTGCCGTTAAAGATGTGGCGTATGCTTTTGATATGTATATAGGAAAACCTTTTTTGCATTATTTTCAAAATATCATTATATAAGGATTTAAAATCATCTATTCATAAGATTATATATGTTAATTATAAATGTCAATGATATGTATTTTTGAAATAAGAGTAGTTTAAGCCCTTCTTGACTGAATAAATGTATGTCTATGGCTTGCAGACTTCAGTCATATTCATATTTTTTTCAGAATAGAGAACTCATGTGACACAGTCCTAACGGAAAAACAGATCTTTAATGCATTTGGCTTCATATGTGTCACGAGAAAGAACTTTAACGTAAAATATATCTTTATAAAGCAAACCATTTCTAAATTATCCTTTGAGTACAATATACAGGGTGACTTCGAAGTTGAGTCATTTATTTTAACAGTGAGTAGATCTGATCAAAAGAAATGTTTTTTCCTTTAACATTTTTCTGGTAAAATTAAAGTAACAAAGTAGCCCTTTAGAAGTTTGAGTACCGCCCTGTCTCAATAATAATATTATGTGCTCGTGTTTGGCAACAACGGATATAATCCGCCTTATCGGTTCATCGCATCGGAAACAAAAAATCGAAAGAATTTGAAACGCTTAACACGATGTTTTTACTACAATTTTATTCAGTTGTATTCAGTCAATGTGTCAGTCGGTAACGCGTGAGTGAATAGTGGTGTGTGTTGCGTGGATCAAACGAAATAAAAAATGGCACACGTTTACGAAAATGCTGAACTTGTGGACATGATTCTTATTTACGGGGGGGGGGTCTTTACAAAATGCTGAATGCTGCCCCGGCATCGCGGATTTATGCGGATCGGTTTCCCAATCGAGTGCAACCAACCCCACCAACCCCTCGTGCCTTTGTAAATGTAGTACAAAGGGCTCGTGACACAGGGGAGGGCATGCCGGTGCTCCAAGACCGCACGATCAAATACAGGTGCGCACTGAAATAAAATGTCGGGAGGATACTTTATAGAACAAGGTACCATTTTTTTTTATCTTTTTTTTATTTTTACACACATATTTTGGTTTATCTTCCTTCTACAATCATTATCTGAAAATTAATGACTCAACTTCAAAGTCACCCTGTATAAGCATATAGGTGGCTTCAGCGCCTTCTATGAGAAACTAACCCTTTCAAAGTACGTATATATACATAGTAAATAGATAAACAGTTGACCCAAATTCTCATATATGGCGCTACGGCATCTCATTTTATCTTGGATAATTTTTAGGACGCCTGAATATAGCATTATATTGGCTATATTGAGGTAGGATAGGCTAATCAATCTGCTTGACATCATTTTGTTTCATTTGTCTTGTTTCTGGGTTGCCAAATGCACATACTGTCAAACCAGCTATGTATTTAATAACGACCTGAAAGCACATGAAATATCTCAAACACATTTGGCATGCGAAATCAACGCTGTTGCGAAAAATTCAAGCTATGAATAGTCGTGTAAAATGTATAAATATGATACTATTTCAAGATATTATACTTTTAAATTTATTTTTTATAACCGATAGGGGGTCGTAAATGTCGCCTGATATATTATGATAAAAGACATACTTCAATTATACGTCATCTATTAACTCAGCTGGTTTTGAAATATGAAGAATTCAGGAAAAACTGTTCTTTTTACTCACCTGTCTTATTTAGATCTTTTAGGGGTGCGAATTGTGTTATACCTATAATTGTAATATTATAGCGGCTAATTCGTTCAAAAAAACCTAATAATAAAATCTAGCGTGCCATGTCATGACATTCTGGGACAGAAACAAGCGGATGATAAATTAGTGCAGACGTAACTATTGAGGTACCGTCGTTCACAAGTTAGCTTTCAAATTTTCGAACTTCATTTTTAAAAAGACGTGTGCAGTTCTAAAAGGAACCTATCTGATATTCCAGCGATTTGGAGTATGTACATGTTATCGATGTCTGGTCAAGTGCTCGAACTGTTTGCCATCGTCGACGATAAACGAAATTTGTCTAGCCCCAGCAGCTGTGAAGTCTATCTCTATGCGATGACTCTGACTTAGTGGCCCGCAGGAGTATTATGTAAAAAATGTAAAAAATGAAGAAATGTCATCTTGCAGACTAGGTAGTTTTTAGAGTGCAAATAATTAATTCCACGTTTACTCGCTATGATCGCTGTCCGCTGACGTTTAAGCTAAACGTGCAGCTACAAAAGTAGAAGTAGGAGTAGGAGTTCACAAGTGTACAACAGCTTGTGCAGAGTTTACAACTTGTAGAAAAACCTACGTTATGTCACAAAAAACCTACGAAATGTCAAAAAAACTTTTCAAGATACGTATGTAATACCCGTGCCGGTATCGTTCTGGTAACCTGGTCCATGACTAGCTGCAATGTGTTGTGGAAGAAGTGCTGGGATAGGCAGAACGGTGGCTGATCAAAACCAACCATATGTAGATCTTTAAATTTCAGTTTGATTAAACAAAATTGGCCATACAAAATGATCATCAGACCCACCATTGCATATGAATATGCGGCTTGATGCATTCTAGCAAAGACGCACTTGCGAACTCTGCAAGTCCTACAAGACAGAACATAATGCCCCATGGTACGTATCAAACGAGACCTTACATGGAGATCTCGACATCCCTTCTTTAGGGGCTTCTATCCACCAACAGGCGCAGTGACGTAATATACAGTGGAGCGACATTCCAGGCCGCCGCTGGCACTGTGAACAAAATTGAATCGCGTAATTACGTTTGATATAAAACAATACTTGTTTAACTCCAACCAAATTCCTTTTCGCCATTAACTGTTTATTATTTTCTCTTTCTTCTGCTTCTTTCTATTTAATAATGTCTGATTTCTGGGTAACCAGGCCGACTTAATAAAAATGACTGATGCACTTTGACATAAAAGCAAAGGTTCTACGAGTATAGGCCGCCTTGTCTGATAATGTCGAATAGACAAATAAAAAAAATATCACCTTGAAGACAGAGAAAAATATATTGTCACATAATTGTCAATTGTACTTAAAAAAGGACCACAGTGGCGGTCGGAACTTAGTACAATAAACAGAAATCTAAATAACAAATCATTGTTTCAGCCAAACAATGAAGTGCTGTACGTTATATACCAAAATCTTAAGAAAAATAATTATTAGAATCGCTGCCGAAATATCGTACATTGCTTTTGTTCCGTCAAACGTGGTTGTTTTTGAAAAGGAAAATCCAAGCTACCCGTTTAATCAACAGTCAACGTGCTCTTACCTTGATTGTGATTTTGAGCCTTCGGTTTGGTTTTGGAGGTGGATAGGCTATGTAAGCGTCATTTTGGAATGCTGGTTCATTGACAATGATCTCTCTCTCGCATCTACGACCTGCCCTACCTAGTGGACACTCACAAGTGAAGGTGTTCTCTAGGTCTATGCAACGTCCCACTCCACAGGCATCTGAAAATAGATAGTAGAATAACATGCTGAATCAATACTACTCGTAGTTCTATGTTTATATCAAGGGTTTCATTTGGAAGATACAGGGTGCGTCATCTATTACTTTTTTTCTCTATCTGAAAAATCAACACGCTTTTTACGAGGTGAAATCGAAATTTTTTATTGATAAATGAAGGTTGGTTTATGCCATTTATGTATGAAAAATAACATCAGTGATGTGACCACCGCGGCTTCGATTACCGGCCAATATCCGAATATCAAAATTTTCAATGACTTTTCCCAGAATAATCGGGTCTTTGGCCGCAATTTTAGTCCTAATATTGCGCTTTAGGTCTTGAATTGTCCGGGGACTATTCGCATACAATTTTCCTTTAAAAAATTCCCAAAGAAAATAGTCAGGAGGTGTTAAATCGCACGATCTCGGGGGCCAACTGACATCTGAATTTCGTGAAATCATGCGGTCTTGAAATTTCGTGTGCAATAAGGCGATTGTTTAGTGAGATGTGTGAGCCATTGCTCCATCTTGACGAAACCAAAGATCGTCGGCACCAATACGATTCAATTGTGGCCACAAAAGTCTGTTAACATGCCGCCATAACGTTCCCCGTTGACGGTAATGGCATCTTCAAATAAGTCACTTTTTCAGGATGGAGAGGTTGTTCACGACATTGGTGTGGATTTTCAGCCTCCAGAATCTGCAATTTTGCTTATTTACGTACCCAAAACACGCCTCTGTTGATGGTCTGCCGGCTTCAATTCTTATGTTAGTTGGATTTTATATGGATGGAAGTGTAAATCATTGTGTAAAATCCGGTGTGAAGTGGTCTCACTAATTCCCAATTGTTGCGAATGGTGCCTAGTCGAAGTGGTTGGATCTGCTCCCACAGTTTCACTCACTGCGGCTATGTTTTAACGAGTACGAGCTGGACGAGCATGGTGGTATGGTCTACGACCTTCAGATGAACCAGTTTCTTCAAAACGATTAACAATCCAACAAATTCCAGGCTGTGTAGGGCGTCCAGGTCGGCCAAAATGGCATACCTTTGATAGTTCATTTATGCATACCACATGACTTTTGACTCACATGGTAACACATAAATTTATAGGTAAAAAAAGTAATAGATGGCGCACCCTATATATGGAGTAGCTAGTTAAAGATCCAGTTTTAAGTTGAAAAAGACAGTTTACAGATCAATTTACAGTTTTAGAATACTGATGGCAGATATTTAGTAATCGATGTTAATCAGGAATCATGAATGTTACCAAATACCGGGAAGAACCGTGACGTGATCACGACTTAGCTAACTAGGTCCTACACGGAAAAGGCGAATGGCATCATAAGATCACGATACCGCCTTATAGGCTTAAGTAGTTCGCTCCATCGGATTTCATCGAGGTATTTTGCCCAGGATATCAGTATATCCATAGTTCCATCGCTATTCGTGATCACGGTTTTGAATCACTACTATCAAAAAGTAACGACATCAGATATCAGGGATATTAAGAAATAGCAGCTATCTGTATCGTATAACTCTAAAAATGTCCAATGACGAGATTTTTCAACTTCGGGAAGAGACAGGAACGTTTTTACTGGCCAGAAGCTTGCTTAGTAACATTGCTGTTCTCGTGATACAACACCCAGTTATTCTTGATCTGATGAACGGTGGTGTGAGTCAAATTTAACTCTTCCTCGATAAGTCTGTCTGTCAACCGACTATCTGAACGCACAATATCCCGGATTCTGTCGATATTTTATCCAAGTCTGGAGCATAACCTGATAGCAGACCGTTGCTCGAAATTGATGTCACTCATTTTTAGAACACAATGGGAGAAACTTTCACTTTCACAAAAAAAATCGCAACGGGCAACCTAATGACTCGAGCGACTTCAAACTTGTAATGAAGGCGGATCACATGTTCCCCTGTCTCCCTCCCAATCCCGGCGCCTCCAGTGTTGCCAGATAGAACGCTACGTTGCCAGTCTCACCACTTCATTTATAGATCTAGTATCACATATTGAAGTTTATTGAAGTAAAGTTCTTCTACTTACATGGCGAACAAGCCTCTCCTTTCAACTTGTTGCACGTAGCTCCGCTGAACCCAGACGGGCAGATACAAGTAAATCCTTCCTTCGTCAAAGCTTCCTGACAGGCACCTTTATTCTCGCATTTGTCTTCGGAACATGTTTCGCATGTGGTCAAACCTGTTTTGTTCAGAGCTTCACGCATGATCTCCACGTGGTTGTGGCCTATTTTGAATCTACTGATACAACCTGTTAAGTAAAAGATATTTGTATGATAATGATAATAATAATAATAATAGTAATAATAATAATAATTGTTATAGATGTCTAATACCCACCTACAAATCCTATATATCTGCTGTAGGTGAAGACGTCTGGTGAAATATTGTTTGGATTCGGTACTCCACCAAGGTACAAGGGTTCTGTCAGGTCCAGTCCAATGTACTTTCCTTCAGCGACTGCTATGAATGGACCCTCTCCATCGACGAACATTGTAGCCTTCTTTCTGTTTCTCACCACCTTAATCAAAAAACATTCATTTCATTTTATTTTTTATTAGTTAATGGGTCTGTGCCCTATGGTGTGACTCTAAATATGCATGTTCTGATGATAAACTGAGTATTTGGTACAAATAACCTATTCTTTTCAAATTCTTAGTTACAATGACGGATGTCTTCAAAAGTAACAATTATTGATGTATTTGTCCATGAGATCAACATGTCAACATATTATTTACTTATTTAGGGGATTACATCAAACACCAGGCGCAGCGGCGTTATGAACAAGCGGAATCACACTGCAGCACTTTGCTACGTCAGGCAGTCGAGGAAGTTCGTAAACATTCTATACCGCGACTCGGTCTATGAACAAAATTACTTATGCATTCTCACGTTCTTCAAGAATTTATATTAAAACCTTTACCTCCAAAACTATTTCTTTTACAAAATCAAAATAATTTCAGCCAATTTAATAATACCTAGGCGTTTTCTCTACTAATAGCTGTATTTCTTGTTCTTAGCTCATTATCTTCGTTCATTCTTTCTCTTTGACTTTGTCCAGCCTACAGATTGACAAGCTGACCGACATAGTTTAATCTAAATGCAAATCTCATAGACGCCATCTTAACCCTCGAAACCAAGGTCATTAGGTCATTGTTAGGGAATACCTATTTTTATTGATACAAAATAGAAGTACATAGCACCATAAGCTCATACACAAGATAAAAACGTAGTCTACGGACTAGTGAAAAACTACATAAAAAATAAAAGTTCATAGCTATAAAGCTTGTATACTGATCACTTTGAAGCGTTTGAGCGAAGAACAGACGATCAGATGTTCTGACTAGCTCCTTTTGCATCTTAAAGCTGCGACCGCAACACCGTTGCGCGACAGTTGGTGCAGGTGAGACAGGTTTATACCACGCCATTTATTGACGACATTATGTATTATACAATGTACTCATCCAGTGAATAGAAACAGTGGTTAAGCAATGTTTTTTTAACAGAGTTTGAGAATAAATCATATAATTTAGAGGTTTGATATTTGTTTAGATTTCTGTGCATATAACACACATCAGTATAAATTGATGGAAGCGGTAACATTGCTAGATTGTTGAAGTGATTTCTGCACTTTGATCCATAACGGGAATTTGTAATTATCCTCAATGTGACTTTTTGTAAAATGAAGATTTGCTAGATGATACTGAGCTTCCCCAGAGCAGTGTGCTATAAGTAATGTGACTATGGAACATGCTGCTATCCGCAAAGTATGGGTTATTATATGAAAATTAGATAAATATTGTACTCACTTTAACAGTATGCCACTGTTGATTAGAAATCGGACGGTCAGCTACAAGCGTTGCAGTTCCAGACCCCAGGTTGAACTTGAATTCAGGCACAGAATCAACAAGAAGCAATGCGATGAAGTCTCCATTCTTCTCTGATCCTCTGAAATCGACGTATAGATTTTATCAGATTAGCAATAAGAAAACGGCCTAATGTGTTTAGTGCTGAAGGCAGTTCAAAAAACGATCACATAAGAGCTACATAGATCATTTAGACATGGCAAGGCAGCTATAAGCTTTGTTATAAGATATCCCATATGAACGATACAGCTTTTGACATTTTGTCGACTTTGAAAGTCTGTGGTGTTCCGACATCTTTTATTTAATAACAGTTACGGTATTCTTAAAGTTAGATCCTTCCTTCACACTGCTTATTGTTCTACCAAAAATCAGGAAATAAACAATCTGCAACATTTAGGGTCTCCAGCAAATGATTAGGTGGGAAAGCATGGCGTGCGTCAGTAGCCAACCCACGCGCCGTGTATGTAAACCAAGCTGTTTGTTTATGAATCGTATTTGTAAGAAAGGGAAAATGGTATGTTCCTGCAGCAATCAGGTCGTTTTCATAGATGTTTCCATCCTGCGCCGTGTAGGTTTGTTCATCTGTTATCAAGAGCTGGAGATACAGATATCTTACATTAAGGTGGACATTGTAGAAGACATAAACATCTCCAGGTGATGCAAATTAGGGAAGGCATTAATAAACTTGTGGTTTTGAAACGAACGATATAAACTTTTAACAGTCTCTATAGGCAATATGACGGAACGGTACCTTATCAGCTATTTTGATGCTCATTAACAGAGTACTTCCAAGTGAAATTGTTTTTGAAAGGAAGGTTCCACATTCCAGAATACCCGGTATATTCGTAAATGCTCAACGGAATACGAATTTGTAGGATATAACTGAATTATTCTCAGTACAATCTTAGACCACTTTTTGATAATTCTCGAAAAATTACGTTTTTATATAATTTCATAAAATTTAGAGCACAGTATGCTACGGGAATATAAAATTTTATTTTATTTGTTCCATCAAAGGTTAAAGTTCTTGCATACCTGTTTCCATTGTACAAAATCAATCCATTTCCATTCTCAGGTTTGAATGATATTTCAAAGGCAAACTGGATGTAGGAATCCATCAAGGTCGGCAGTGTGATGTAGCTGTTTGGAGCTTGAGCGAAATGTGGTACGATTCCAGTTACCACCAAGATGAATGGCACATCGATGGTTCTGGCACCACTTGTTGCTGTGCAAGTGTAGGTTCCGGCGTCTGTGCTTCCCACATCGTTCAGTTGGAGTGTGCTCTAGAAAGCGAAAACTTCATTAGAATATACTTCCCACGGGATATTATGTTTCTTAGATGTTATATGACATCTTTTCAGTCCTCTAATCTTGGACCCCGCTATAACTTGGGAAGTCCCAGTCGGATTTTGATGAAATTTTCTCATATAGTTACTACTATGCCGGACGAAAAATCTTTGTAGTTTTTGAAAAACCATTCACTGGTGGCGAAGAAAAAGACCAAAGACAAAAGAATAATAAATATCTATTTCCAGATTCTGGGATATTGGGCACTAATCACCGGTTTATGGAGTAGCACCTTTTCTTTCTGAAGAGAAAGGGGTGGCTTCCAGTAAAATCAATTACAAAATAGCTATAAGACAGCTACAAAGCTGGAGGTGTGGAGATGGTGGCATTTCCACGCTGAAGAGATTAAAATCCCATAAAAATGGAGAGAGTAGCACCCAAAAAAACAACCAAAACAACTAAACGTAAGGTAGGCACAAGAAAGGTGCTTCTCCATAAACTGGTGATTGGGGCCCAATATCCCAGAATCTGGAAATTAAACGGATGACCCACGCACAACCAAAAGCCTCAACAGGAAAGAAAAATGACAGACTTCAGACTTCCGGCCTTCCGACAGTCAGTTGATATTTCTGTTTTAAGGGTAAATGTACTGGGGCATCGATGATGAGTGAAATATGCCTAATAGGTGCTCAGAATAGTTGGAGGCGTATAAATATACCAACCTCAAAAACTGAAATATACCCTCCCCCACCCCCAGTTGACTGTCAATCAATATTAAAAGTAGAAGAGCTTTCTACAGATTCGATGCCAAAAATAATAATAACGAATGAGAAAATCCGATTCTCAAACCAAACTGTCTAATATTCTACCTAGACATAACGAAATAGTTTCGCCCAAGGAAAACAAAAAATCCCGAAAACTTGACAAGTGTTCAGAGTTGAAAAGTTCACAAGTGAACGAACATACGCAACAGCACAGGTTGCCTATGGGTAGACCTCAGAACCGTGTTATTTCCCAAAATAATGTCGCGGGTAAAAGAGTTTACTAGGGACCAACGATATTTTATGAGGAAATTTCTGAGATAGTCGAGTAAAATATTATAACATTGCTCTCTAAAAGGCACAATACCGAGTGGCTAAGTAAAATATATAATATGTATGAAATCATACTTTCAGGATTAGATAGTTTCAAGCTCAACAGATCAATAAATTATGAAATTTGTCAAAAGAATATCTTTGAAAAGGGTTTGGCCTAGAAATCGGTACCCTATTACTAATATAGAGAAATTCAAGTTACTGGTAAGTGTTCAAAATATTAAAAAAGGTTACGTTATTTTGTCACGTTACAGCGATAGTCGAGAAAAAAATTAAAGACCGCCTTCAAAATTATCATTCCTATCATTGATCGAACATAAGCAACAAAACATACGCGGAAAATCGCGGACAATCATATATTGATAGTCCTAAACGTTTATCTGAAACCACATATATCTAAAATACTGTTTGCTGACGACATTTCGGCCACCACGGTATGGCCTTTTGCAAATACAAATGACAATTCTGATGACAATATATTTTGTTCAACTGTCTCCTAGATGACGGTTCGTTTGTTTTCTTTTTGATATTCCTAGACAGTGTGTTACTACAGCAGCCTGAAGATGATTGTGCGAAGCCGTCGTTGCAATATTAAGATGGTATTGCGCAAAAACGCAAAGACGAGGACCGCCTCGGATAGGCATTTCTGCTGTCAAAAGGACAGCCAGCCTCCAAAAGCGACAAGCGACCATGAAGTTATCTGTCGTTTTTTAATATGCCAGACACATCACCCTCGTCTATCGACCCGAAAACGCCAAAAGTGCCCTAAGAACGTGAAAGCCCACCTAGAGGTGTTGCTAGTCTTGTGAGGAAATAATATAAGACACAACAGTTTGGCCTTGAGATGCACAATCAGCATTTGTATTCGAACTTTGCATGTCTGGGTGAGTTTCAGCGTTTTTGGAGAACTTTTGGCATTTTCGAGACGCTGGACAAGGGTGACGTGTCTGTTACATTAAAAAAACGAAAGATAACCTCGCTTGCTTGTCACTTTTGGAGGCTGGACGTCCTTTTGGGAGCGGGAATTCCTACCCCAGTGGGTCCTAGATGTTGCACAGTGCCATCTTAAAATTGCAATCTCAGCATGTTACAGTACCGTTCAGACTGGTGTAGTAATAAACTGTATAGGAATATGAAAAGGAAAAAGAGCAAACGAAATGTCACCTGATAAACAAAATATATTTTCATTAGAAGAGTCATTTATACTCGAAAAAGGCCATCGTGGTGGCCGAAACGTTGTTAGTAACAACGCTTCACGCATATGTGGTTTCAATTAGCGGCTTGACAAATATAGAGGACTATTGGCACAAAAACTACAGGATAAGTTTTAGATGTTGTTATGCGACGTAACCTGTGCTTAGTGTGTGTGGTTCTTTGTACTTTGGATTTTGGATGCAAATGGTTGTGGTTTTGGTGCCACCTAGTTCCAAGTACTAGAAAAAGAAATAAAAAGTAGCCAGTGTTGGGTATCTGGCGCTAAAGGAGATACAAATTCACAAGGTACACAAACATTTATTGAACAAAAGAAATAAAAAAAAATTAAAATGGTTTCCAGTAAATACTAAAATAAAAACAACCACCTATGCAGGTGCTTGGCTACATGTAGGCAACCGATGGCAGGAAGTCCCAGTTGTAACTCAATATCTGATCGTAGAACCCTCGAACAATGAGGGTTCACAGAAATGAGGGACTGGTCCTACCCAAAGATCGTCTCGGGATATCAATGCAAACAGTTCCCCTCAGCTCGATGGTTTAGTGTAGTTGTAGCAAGGCTAAATCCCCAAGAGGGTGAGAAAAGGATTCCGACAAGAAAAGTTTACTAATGGAGGCCGATTTCTCTCAAAATCTCCACGACCCGGAAAACGCAACACTGCACGTGAAGTTGAATCATGAAATCGGGTTATGGCGCTGTACTGCCACACGAGAGCAACGGAAATAGCCCCGTCAACTTCAGCTCTCATATTTACGGTCGACAGAAATTACAAAAAAAATACCTTTAACGAGATGGAGAGTAGAGTACGATTTCCTACCATGAAATTATTAGACCAGGAGAAGTGTTTTGTTATAAGAATGTAATTCGATATTTTTAAGAACTGCTATAAAATTATTATTCTAAATAAGGAAAACGTTGTAATAATTGATTTTATCAAGATGTAATACATTTTTAGTAGACCATAAAAAGAAACTGTAATAGTGTAGTATTGACATTTTGATATTCTGACCCTCAGCTCAACGATTTCGTAGTAAGGACTGCTGTTGAATACTTACACTGTAAATGTCAACGTAATTCGGTAGAGTTCCACCTTGTTTTGACCATTTGTATGAGTTGGGTGAGTTGAAGTTAGTCTTGCATTCTAGAACGACGTTGGAACCTCTTGGGACGGATTTTACTTCTAGTGGTGGTTCGTCTTTAACTTCCTCATCTGTGAAAAAAATTATGCGTGAAATTTTCATCAACTCTGGCGCATTTGAATCCTCGACCCAAACTCCTTGCCAGAGTAAATCAGGTATGTTTTTTACGAATATGGTTTCACCGCGACTGAAGGGAGGCCGCAAAAGTCCTAGTTTCCACTCTAAACAGGGCTTCGCGACGTCATCAATGTTTGTGTATACATGGTGTTCCAAGGAAAATTGAAAGTAATTTTATAGAATTACTCTAGAAGATATTCGAAAACGGTTTTAGCAGCCGTATTGATATCTCATAGATTTACATTTCTAAGTTATATGAAATAATATAGAATATTGCATAATTCTGTGGCATGACAAATATAATTATTAGATTTTTAGAAATCTTTTCCAAAACGAGAAGATTTTCCAATTGTCTGAAGATTTTGCACTCCTCCAGTTTGCGTAGTTTCCTATTGAATCTTGGACACAGGGTGAAAAAGTACGCAAATTTTGAGCGCAAATGCGGAAAGTGCCGATAATATGATCTGTTTGTGGGTCTGGAAAAAGATGAAAGTGTGATGGTGCTAAGTTAGGGCTGTATGGTGGATAATCCAGTAATTCCCAACGAAGTAGCGCGCCTAATCATTCAACAAGCTACTGGTGAATTTCAGATCGAGGAACTTTTTTGCGTCTAAAAGCCAAATCACTGAACGCACTTGACAATCGACGGGGTTATTGATTGACGTGGCAACAAACAAAATAATATATGCAATCAACATCTACAGAAACGTGAAACGTAGAAGCGGCGTAGTGAGAGACTGGCCAAGAGTGTGTGAGGTTGAACAGACATATAGTGACAGGATGCGCGGGCAAGATGCGCAACCTGTTATTACTTTAAAAATAGAGCTTGTAGTACATTTGTACTCAGTTCGTCTTCATTTGTAATAATAATTATAGATCTTAAAAATAATCCTTTCAGACTGGCTTTCTGAACATAAGAACATTGTTTCTGTATCTCGCGTATCTTACCAGCAACTCTAAGCTGATAGTCCTTATGATATACCCCTTGTTGCCCGGTAGCTTCACACCTATACACGCCCGCATTATCCTGCCTGATCCTTTCAATTCTCATCCTGCCTCCTTGAATCCTGATGTTATCTAGCATCCAACCGCTAGGTTTCGACCACGTCGTGATGGCGCCACGTTCGCTGGATTGACAGGCGATGTCAACGTTGCTTCCTGGGCGGTGTTGGTCACTGTCGGAGGGCGTGATGTAGAGTGATGGGGCTGAATATGGACCTGTTGGCAGGATATAGCTTAGTTCAGTCTCTCTCGAAGTGGGCGCTGGGGACCTACAGGGGGGTGGTAAAGAGCCTAAAGGAAATTGGGGGGCGACGCAATGAATATTTTTTGTACCTCCTCTTCAATTGTCACAAGAACATTCGCTCTCAGAAGCACTAATGCAGACGACACCCCCGCTCTTCAATTTTCAATTGTCGATACCATCCCCCGCTTTTCAATTGTAAAGGGTTTTCGACCACAGAAGCCCTGATGCAGCAGTGGACAGTAGATGAAATAAGAGAGAGCCTCTGGGTTAGATTTTTGCATACAGGCAAGGAAAAGTTATAGAAGGCGTTTCACTAAGTATCAACTTTTTTTACTCCAAAATTTTCAATAAAGTTTGTAGGACGCTTACCATTTGCAGATTATTGGAAGTATTTTCGTCTAAATATTTTGTAAATGTAATGTTTTTATACCGATCAGGGCTCATAAGTGGGCTTATCGCATAGACGATAAATAAAGAAGACATACTGTTTATAAAATTTTCATTTCAGATATTGGGATGTTGTTGTTATATAATTTTACGACGCTGTTATCATTTACAGGTGGAAAAAAACGAACAAAACGTTTGTTGTCGTAGACCGTAGATATACAGGGTGATTCACCAGTCGTGACCAAAAATGAACCATCATACACAGGACCGCATTTTAAGGGGGCGTCTTCTATGAATTTTTTTCCTCGAGGGCTTCATCAAATAGATACGGGGTTGTTAAGTTTAAAAACAAAAACAATTTTAGGGGATTAGTGGTATTATTTTTCCAAATAAAAATAATACGCCACTGTTTTTTTAAACGCCCGATTTTTCGAATTTTACCTTCAGTTTGCTACAAATACATAATTGCTCTGGTGTTTTTTAAATAAACAACAGAACAACTATGTCCAAGACTTCACTAAGTTTGGAAACGTGTCGGGTCGTTTTTACTACTGGACAGTTTAGCCCTGATAGATTAAAGAATACTCTGGTGGAAATAATTTTATAGCAATCTGTGCATGTTGCATGCACACGTGTTTCCTCGCTAGTGTCCATGTGGTGTCCCCCCTTTCACCTATATTCCCTATAACCCCATGGTACCCATGGGTACGTTTAGGCCTCAGGCCTTCGTGGTGGCTCAAATATAAAAAAGCATGGATAAATGACAGTATCTATTCTCCATATATGGTTAGTGGTTTATTCGCTCTGAATATAACTCAGATTTCAAATTGACCATATCTGTGGAGTATTCCAGATCATGTACTTTAAATTTTTGTCAACGTTTCATTTTTACATGAAGTGGCCTATAGACAACAGTTGGTTACACACGTAGATGGCTGGATAAGCAATGAAGAATCCTTTAAAGTTGCTGTAAATAACACACAATGCAGAATAATTAGGTTATCATCGGATGTTCAGATGCCCAGACGTAGAGGTAGAAGAAATTCGAGGGTAAAAAAGTCACAGTTGAAGCACACACGGTAACAAATAGAGGGAGAAGGACGTACACAGTGATGTACCTATACCTCAGGAAAGAACACTATACTCAATTTTGAATTCCTTTTATATTCAAAATGACGCAAAATCATCTTCAATATTTCAACTTGAGCCAGAGACTAAACTATTTGCAGAAGCTTAGGTTTGATAGAATAGAGCAGAAATTAGAAGCACAGTTGTAACAATCGATACGCTTAAGATAGGTATATGCAATGAAAGATATGAAGGGAACAGAGATAAAGGAATATGTTGGAGAGTAACGAAAAATTTCTCACAACATAGTTTAAGCCCTGCATTTGTGAGACCTCCCAGCTGTTTCCCAGTCATCACTTCTGATCACCTGCAGTGCCAAATCTAGTGGTCCAAATTTTGTGCTGATAGGTGCAGTTTCCTTGCTGCACGACACTCAATTAGTTCAAGTCTAGGATTCCCAAAAAGAATTTGGCTCCCACACAAGAACTTTAAAAGCCGATTTTATTCCTTCTCAACAATGTTTCACACTTGAGGCCTCCAATCCTGACGAGAAGGTGTTCTTCAGGCCATTGTGATCTGTTGTTACAAGACCTGTTACTATAGATATAGAGTTGTTTTCTGTGCACTAAACAACTCAATAATCTGAACAACTCTATGTAACTGTGCTTGAGGAAGGATATCCAGCCAAAGTCACAGCAGTTAGGCCAACATAAGCCCTTTGTACAATCTACTCACTCAGTGGTTCCTCGGGGCTGAATTGCCAGCAACCACAAACTATCGACTAAGTGAGGAGAGGAGAGAGAGAGAGAGAGAAGTATTTTTAAAATTAGCAATAGAAGGCCCACGATCCTCCAGAATGGATTTTCTTATTAATGGGAAAGCTGAAGAGTCGTGAAATAGGTACTTACTGTCTCATCTTCAGATAAAAGACATGCTAAAGGTCAGATGTTATCTAGTATTATCTGATTCTGAAGCACATCTGGACCATCCATTATACTGCCAAATTGTGGGTCTACTAAATGGAATTCCCGTCTTTTTAAGCATGAACAGTAGCACAAAATGATTTTGTATGTATGCATGGAAATCCATTACTGGCTTCCTCTGTGAGTACTGGTATTTCGATTTCTTGACGGGCGGACCGTCATAGTGGCGCGACGTCTTTCCGTGCATAACGCAGAACCTCGAGCAGCTATGAACCAGAAGATGTAGAAGCCTTTCGGACATGGGATGGGATGGGGATGAAAATCAGCTTGGCAAAAGATTGGTAGGTCGCAATCGTAAGATTTCTTTGCTCACACTAAATTGAAAATATAGGAGCATGGTATGATAGGTCCCCGAATCTGTTTGTAACATAACGCACATGAAAGACAATAAGCAGGTACATGTGACGCTTTCCTGAGGTATCTATGAACTGAAAGCCTGATAAATGCCGTGTTTCGAGAAGAACAAACCCCGTCTTCGAATCCTTGGTTTACAATCATCTTCATCAGAATTGTCCCCACAATCATTGTTGTAGTCGCACATCTGTTCAGGCGGGATGCAGATGATACCGTTCCTGCATCTGTACCATTCCCTGGGACAATTCTCTGGAGCTGTCATGCTTTCGACGTGTCCTGTATTTGTTGGCACGCCTGATACGTGTCCTGTTTTTGTAGTGTTAACAAATATATTTTACTAGAATGCATGCTACGGTCTAAGATACGATTGTATTGGATGACGTGAAGCAAATATCTTTGATAGCTTGATATATATTGATAGACTACACTGATTGAGACATTAGTCGTTTTGTTTATTTTTTGGTGGCAAGATAGCGAACTATTTTTGAAATTTAAATGAATTTTCAGAGAAGCATTCGGTATTTCTTACCGCAGATAGTGATAATATCGTTTGTACTCTTTGAATAAAATAAATATCTACTCCCGTTTAGAAATTCCTCGCCATTTCCCATTTTCGTGACGTTATTTTGATATTTGGTGCTACAATGCGTGTAACACATACTATATAAGAGGTATGATAAATCACCCAACAACTATAGAAAATTATAGAGGAAAATAAAATATGGGACGATCTGGCCCCACTTTTCTCACTAGTTCGCATGTATATAGCACTTTCTACATTAAAAATGTAGATGATCCTTCGAACATTCTATATAACAGCAGATTGATGAAAAAGAAAAATCATTCGCTTTTATATAATTTATTCCCTAAAAATACTGGAAGATTCTCTTTGTACTCTTGTTGACCTCTCAATGTTTGACATTGTTTAAGAAATAACCACACAAACTTCACAATCACTGGTAGGAGCGAGGCCCAACATCATAATGTGAAAGCTACTGCCGCTGAAAAATGAAAGAATTCGAAGTTTTTAAACTATTTCTTATACTTCCATAAGTCGGCAACATGGGAAATAAGAACGTGGAACTTGTCATTTCCAACCTCACTCCAAGCACCGAAATATCTCCTAGTTGATCTAATAAATATGTAAATATATTGTCATCCATTACAGTCTTATCCATTATAACAATATCCTTTACCACATGCTCCATTGCATGCCATGTGAAATCAAATTAACTTACTAGATACTTGTAGATCTATGTAATCACTAACAGCGCCTTCCTTGGTCGACAGCTCACAGTAGTACCTGCCTTGGTCATGATATTGAACGTTGGAAATGTACAGCACCTACACATTTTCCAAGAAGTAAAAAATGCTGTTTTGGTAAACTAAGATTAAATAAATGACAGGTGGTGAAATGTTTACAGCATGATTGCTGTTATTTTTTGATTAATAGTCCCATAAAGTCATGTTTGACCTATATTTGGCGAGCAACCACTGTACTGCAGCATACGCTTTCATTTTAATTTGTTTATGGGATTTATAAAGGAAACCAAGATACTGAAAATTCAGACCCCATCAAAATCTTTACAAGATTTCGACGACACAGCGCCGAAATTCTGATGATACGGAGTACAGATTCAAAATAAAACTCTTATTGAGAAAGTAATCAAGCTTTAAAAATCAATATAAAGAAAATGGTTTCTATTTACTATTTAATAACTTACTTCATCAGCAACTTGAGCATTCTGTGGCAACGGTTGGTTCTGCCTATACCAACGGATTGTTTTTCGATCACCTGCTGTTCTACATCCTAGTCGCACGTTGGAACCCAGTGGGGCATCTTGTTGTTTCTGCTCTGCTGTTATCGCTGGTTTTGATATGTTTTCTGTGAACAAAACATCAAAAATATATTGAACATCAAATACTGTATTTTTCACCAAAATAGTGAATACATTGGTCTCCTATTGGCAAACTAAATATTAGCGTTGAGCTTTTAAGGCCTAACTGAGAAAATGCTTAAGGCCGAGACTACAAGGTAAGTGGTAGGCTCCTGATTTCCATAGGTAATGTCATTTTTGATGCAAGGAAATAGACGAAAAGTGTACCTTCTACTATTACATCAGCTACAGCTTCTGCTTCTCCAGCATTGTTCCTAGCCTTACACAGATATCTACCAGTGTCGCTAAGTTGAATGTTGTTGAACTTCAAGTGTCCCTCTCTCGTGTAAACAGATGCGGGCATGGTTCTTCCAACAGCCTCCCACCATGTCTGGATAGGTTGTTCTCCTGTTGAAGTGCAGTTGATGTAGGCATCTTCACCTGGATGCACCACTTGACGTGGCGGGACCAATGTGATACGTGGTGGGACTGAAATATATAATAGGGTGTCAGTATCAGTGTATATTACATTGATTCAAAGAATTCGGTCAAACATTATAGTGATTTTTCTTTTTTAAAGGGACTGTCGGAAATCCGCAACCTGGAATAAGGTTACAGGCTGTAATTTGGTGGTGGTCTCTTAATAAAAAAGTACATTAAGTTATAGCGGTGGGAAGCATTGAAGGATATCACTATCGGTAGGTCATATTGACAAAGAAGTAATTAATTACTTTGTGAACACATTACTATTCGATTGCATGGTGAAAGAGTCATCAACAATAAGAAAAATACTATTTCGGCCAAATATAGAAATGCTAAAACATTCTTATTGTATCTAACAATGATTTCAGCCGATGAGGAGCTAAAGGTTGCTAGAAACGGAAGGTACTTTAATCAACGAATTAGTATCAACGACGTTACTCCTGTTTATGATATGATATTTGAAGTTATGGTCGACTCTACTGGGTATTTGAACTTCGTCCCTCACAATTGGGATCTCGGAAACGGTACGAGACACGAAGTCGCTTGACTGGTAGCAAGGTTGCGTGTTTGGGTAACTAGCAAGATGCCGCTTAGAAAAATCGGAATTTAAAGCATTTCCGTAAAGAGACGGTAAAAACTAATTTTCCCAAAATTGCTTCAATTTTTTCCTGGATTTATTTATAGTGGGATTTCAAACTGAAATTGCACAGTAGCGTTGCTACTTTTTCACCTCTACAAGATGGCAGAATTAAAATCCCATCTCAAATAAAGTCAGGAAAAAATAAAAATTATTTTGCCATAAATCTGGTATACGAAACGATTGACCGTGATAATTTCAAGGCCTACCTAGGAACTTCTGTATCTGGAAATAACTAAGGTTTGGCAATAATTAAAAACTCTATTCATAAGTGCAAACCTTCAATATGGCGTCCTTAAGAAGAAATAAAGTTAACGCTAAAGGACATGAGACGACTCGTCGTATTGACATTCTAATAATGCCATCCAGAAGAGGAGAAAGAGTAGCAACGTTAATTTGCAATTAATTTTGATATCCCTTTACAAATAAATTCAGGAAAAGATTGTGTCGATTCTGGGAAAGTATGATGTTTTCCGTCTCTCTCCGGAAGTACTTTGAATTTCGAAAGTCCTGTTAGTTGCCTAAATATAAAACTTTATCCCCTATTTGAGCGACTTCGTATCTCATACCGTTTCCGAGATCCCAATGGCGAGGGTCGAATTTGAAACACCCGGTATATGTATATAATCAACCCTATTATACATAAATTTTGGAAAAGGATGTGCGAAATCTTCAGATACTCTAAAACATGAATTCTACGACATCAATTCGGTGTTGATAGTGGCATCTGTGATGAGGAATTTTGTTTTTTTGATAATCGTTCAATGAACTAACTAGTATAGGTAGGGCCGAATGCACTAATTTCAAAATCACATATGTACCAAAATCATGCACCACGTGTTCCAATTTGCTATAAACTACGCAAAATGCAGTAGATATTGCAAAATCGTATCATACGTCATATGCAAATGAATGAAGAGGTAAGGACTCCATATACATGCAGAACTAGTAGAATAGAGAGAAGAGGAAAAAATACTCAGTACCTAAGAGCTTACATATTTCTTTGTCAGCTGGTTGCGTAAGAAAAAGATACATTCTAATGATTATAGTACATAGCTGCTGATAATCATTAAAGTCCATGAAATAGGCGGTTCCATACTTTCATCGATTTGGGATTGTTCTTATGGTATACTTTTTTATAGTCTTCACATACCAAAAGAGTAAAATTCATCCAGATAATAGCATTTCACGTGTAACAATCAATAATAGCATATACGTTAAAATATCTTAAGTTGAAGCATAATAGAGTGCAGATTTGCAAATAGGAAACTAAGTGAACATATTTCAAAAAGCTCATACTGTTGTTTTAGACAGTGCGAAGATCTATGTGCAAGTTACGCTATTTTATTTCTTTGACGAATGTGTAGGTCAGGAATGCCACTAAAACACACAACTGATTAGATAACTGCGAAACTTGATGTTGAGCATTCTCAAAAATACATATCTTCGACTCTACAATACGTTAAGGTAGGTAAGTCTATTTGATCTCGAAAATGGAATGATCTTGAATATTGTAGAGTATTCTATATCTTGCACGATTTACAGCACATGGATATCTGACCATACAGATTCATCATACATTTGCACTCACATGTAGTTGCAGTAAAGACAGAATAAAATGTCGCTACTTACAAAGGACTTTAAGGTACGTATTGAGTCCGAAGACGACTTTTCTGGTAGTTTGATCGATTCCCAAACATCTGTAGACTCCAGCATCAGATGGTTGAACGTTATCAATGTAAAGAGTACCGCTCCTTTCATATGCGTTTCTTTGCAGGCTTGTGTTGTCTGTTCGGATCCAACTGATATCAATTCTGCTTCCTAAAAAATTTAAAATAAGGGTAGAAAATCACATTTCTCAACTATACGAGTATTATGTTCAAAATAGATTAAATAGTGTACTATCATGTTACCTTGGACGTCTTTGATGCTACACCTTATTTCAGCTCTAGAGCCAACAGCTGCTTTGAAGACTTCATCGGACTCTGGCGCAGAATGATCAGGATTGTAACCACCAGTTGGTTCGTTGTCTTTCCAGTGACCTCCAGGATGAGTTGCATCATCACCTACACAAAATTATATCAATATCCATTGTTTTCTAGTTCATAAATTCACATAGAAGACATTGAAATACAAGGGTACTATAAAAGTTTTGCAATACAGCTTTATTCATTGACTTCGTTCAAAGTAATTTCCACCACATTTAATACACTTTTCCATCAGCCAAAACCAGTCCTTAAACCAGCTCTGCCAAGTTTCACCCGGGAGTGCGGCACACTCTTGTCCCAAAATCTCAGAAGGTCCTCATAGCTAGAAAACCGTTTTCCTTTTAGCTTCATTTTCACACGCGGAAACAGGGCAAAGTCGCAGGGGCAAGATTTGGACTGTAAGGAGAGTGCTGAATAAGTTTCAGTAGTGGACAAATACTCGGTGCAGGCTTTGGTTCACTGAGCTGGAGCGTTGTCATGGTGGAGGTACCAAGTGCCCATTCTTGACTTTGACCACAAGTTTTTCATAGACTCTATGACTTTGGGGAGGCACTGTTTCACGTACCACTTAGCTGTGACAGTCTTCTGTGTATACAAAACGACACGTTCCACAATCCCGCTCGATTTGAAAAATACAGCTTCATTTCTTTCTTAACAGATCGGGATTTTCCGAAAGGTACTGGTGTGTCCTCTCATCAAAGACCCAAACCTTGTTTTTCTGCCTTAGTCCGTACATCGTAATAATACAGCCAAGTCTCATCCCCTGTCAAGATGCTGTTCACATACAGAGATTGCTCCTTAACAAACATTTCCAGCGCCTTTCGGCACCAAGTAGCATGACGAGTCTTCTGCTCTTTCGTCAGACTATGCGGTATCCAGAGAGAACAAAGTCTCCTTACTTGTAAAAGATGATGCAGGATTGAATGAATTACTGGTGCATGAAGGTGTAAGGCCTCCTCTATCTGTTGGTATGTCACTCTCCAGTCTTCGTCAAGCATTTTCCGCACAGAAGTAATGTTTTCCTCTGTTACTGACGTTCGCGGCTTTCCTTCCCTTTCAGCGAACTCCAGAGTGACATTCCTCCTTTGGAATTCTCTGTACCACCTGAACATAGTCGTACGATGAGGACAATCATTATTTAATGCATGCGTAATTTTTTCTATGCTTAAACGACGCTTGAAGTTATACCGTAAAACAACTCTTAGATCATTACATGACCACGATGCCATAGTCCGCACTTTACACTGTCATTATGAATGAACAACTGAATTAACAGACGTGCTGCTGGCGGCTAATATGCACTCACGGACATGACTCAACATGCAGTAACATGCAGCCTCCTGCTCCCGTTTGTTAAGTCATATTGCAAAACTTTTATAGTACCCTTTGAATCGTAGGACCTTGAGTTTTTCTTAATAATGTACCCAAGAATTGACCAACTGGAAACCTAAAGGTTTTCTGATTTTTGAAATGAAATTCTTAACTTGATATAAAAAGCAAATATTTCACCACAAAGCTTAATAATTATGATGTAATGCCAACTTACCACCTTAAATGCGATGTCAGTATTTCCAGTTAGGTTGTGAGCACATGATGAAACAGAAGAAGCATTTAGACATTAGAATAATACCAAAAACTACCAGCAACTATTATTTCTCAATGTTAAATTGAATTAAGGAATTCACACCTTCAAACTACTTCTTTTGAAACATGATACTCAAATGAGCCATACAACAAGTTCAACTTGGCTTGATATTTTGAAATTATTCACATCACTAGTAGTAATAAAATACTTTTATTTGAAATACGCAACAAACAGGCTCTTCATTCTAGCCTTAATGATTTTACTTTCTTTAACTTCATGATCCACTATTCTATGAATAGGGAAATATGATTCATATGAATATCACGTCTATGTTAAAACTCTAAAAACTTGTTAAATAAGTATTTATTGTGTATATTATTGTTGTGAATCAGAAGTGGGTGTAGAAGTACAAGCATCATTCGTAGATTTAGTGATGGAAGTATTTTGCAAATAATTCCTTAGTGACAGCTTCTGACCCTTTAAGCTTGTTTGTTTGTTAGGCTCATGATTAATGTTGAAAAAATTGATGTAGTCGAATCATTTAAATATCTGGGTAAAAAAATCATTTATTACCACCACATTCAGAAAAATTTACAAAATTAAATAGTCATTATCATAACTCCGAAACTAGAGGCAGTATAGATTTTCATCTGCAAAATTGTAATAGTAGCATAACTAGTAAATCTATATTTCAAGAGGGAATATTTGAATTTAATGAATTGAATAGTGATATTAAACAGTGTTCGAATTTAAAAATATTTAAGGTAAAATTAAAAAAATCACTTTATGAATACTCAAAATGCACATTGATGTAATCTTAATAGGCAAGAATGTAAAATTAAAGAAAATGGATTGAAAAAAATATGTAAGCGAATAATTATACAAGGTTGACATTGCAGCATTAATGCTAAATAAATCATCAACAAACAAACAATACACTTTTTAACTGCATCCATTGGAATGAATGCCGCGATGTTTTTGCGATCACCTGCTACAGTTAATAAATATGTTTAAGTAAAAACAAGAGCTAAATAAACTGACATTATTAAAGCCAAGGTCAGGAGGTCTGTGTTACGAATACTCTATATTACCTATACTATCACTATTCCAAAAATGCAACTAAGACCATGAAGAACAACGAAACCAACCAAATGTGTGATTTTTTCCACAGCAAAAGTCAAACCTTCCATCACCATGAATCGAAGAAAAATGTTATGTGATACGATTGATGCAGAGATCTTTCGGTCTTACTAAAAACACAACTTGTCGAAAACTATACAGCAACACCTCTGCATAAAACTTAGCTGAATTTTTGAGCCAGCTGCTATGACCTTGAGTGCTTGACGTATGCTGCAAGTCAGTATCATGCTCATTCGTGTTGCGCGGCCGACGTTGTGTAGCCAAACAGTCCGTGTTCCTCGCCGACTGAAGCCAAAGTGCGTCGCAGCGATGAATATACTACATAATATGACTGATTTCAATTATGCGATGAGGCTCTATTTGAAGAACCTCTAATGAGCTGTATTGAAGCAAGACGCACTTGCCAGTCAGTATTTTTGCTGTTCAAGTTAATCAGTAATGTTCCTGATAAATCTATTATCTTCGGGCAGCAGTCACTCAGTTACCAACATTTCGTTAGAACCTTACGTCCTATCAACCCGCGGCACACAAGTTATCTGAATTATTTACCATTATGCTAGATTTGTAGCAATAACAATAACATAAGTAGCCATCTTGAGATATTTTACTGTAGCATCTTGGACAAAAAACGGGTCATTAAGTAATCAATATGTAGCTTTTCAGTTTCTAAATGTATTAATTACTATCTTTGTGCATTTATATGTATGTTCTGTTTTGCCTAACCAGTAACTGGTGTTTACTGTTGGATGTTGTAATACAATAAAAAATAAAAATGAAATGAAAGCAGTATTTTCAAAAGTTGCGTTGCTGAGTAGTATTCCGAAGGCTCTGCTAATTCAACATGATTACATAATTTGATGCAAGTACTTGAACAGGTAGACACTCTTTTTGTGGCAAATAGGAGTAAAACGTTATCAAAGATAAAGATAGTAACCTCCATCTCCTCTTCTGGGATCTATGATCAACTGGATCCTGTTCTCTGTAATTCCAGCACTGCTCTCAGCCCTGCAGACGTAGACACCTTGGTCATCTCGGCTCAAGCGGTTGAACTCTTGGTAAGCCACATTGGGGATACTGACGAGGTTGTCTCTACGTCTGAAATTAAAAATGGCATCAGGTTCCATGATTAAGACACACATTTGTTCTTTAGAGTAATATTATTACAAGACTTTCATTAGGAGCGCAGGTCGTGAAGTTAAAGTATACTGAGTGTCAAAAAAAGGTAAACACCTATGTATGTTTATTAGGTTTCAAGAATTTTTTACATATCGATTTATCTTGCCATGAACAACACGTGATAAAATTATTTTTGTGGTGGCTGCGTGTATTGTTTGGGGATAAAGAAGCATTCAGTTTTCGGATATTTATGGTGTCAGTTAAATGTTAAATTTCGTGTGGCATATTGAGAAGCCTTTTTGTGATTGCTGAAAATGCCTAAAGTGCGTAGAGTTCGCCGGGTGTTCCAGCTAAGTGTTTTTGAGAGGGGTCGAATTGTCGGGTTGCGTGAAGCCGTTCTATCGATAAAGGGAGTTTTTAGGAGGACCAACAGACTCTCACGCAGTATACTGCAGTGTGAACGAGCGTGGACTCGTGAAGGCCGAAGACAGCGAGCGAGGGGTTCTGGACGTTCCAGAAGGACCACAGAGCGACAAGATCGTCGGTTAATACTTCTGGGCGCTCTGTACAATCGTGGTGCAGGGAAGTCGATCTTTCTGTTAATGCTGAAAAGACCGAGCTGATCCTATTCACTAGGAGAAGATAGACAGATAGATACATTTATTGACTCGTCCTAAGAGGGAGGTACATAGTACACAATTAAAAATAAAAACGAAACAAACATAAGTATTTACAAAGTACAGACAGGGACAACTTAAGGCGTACAGACATTCACATATAAAAAAAGTTTAAAAAAATATATGACAGTGCGAGGTATTCAGACAAAGAGTAGAAACATTTTTCAACTAATAATTTTCGTAGTTTACATTTAAAACTAGCAATACTACTGACATTCCTGAGGTTAGCTGAAAGTTTGTTATATATTCTGATGCAGGTGTATTCCGGTGACTTTTCGAACTGCATCAGTGTGTGTTTTGAAATACTCAGACTCTCACTTGCCCTTGTATTATAATGTGTGTTTTTGTTCTGTATAAATTTTGTTTTGTTTGTATGTGTGAAAAGGGCGCACTTATAAATATGAATGCTTGGTAGAGTCATGATGTTTTTACTTCTGAAGGTCTCTCTGCAGGATTCTCTCCTACAAATGTTGAATAACGATCTGATTATTCTCTTCTGTTGAAAAAATGCTCTAGAAATTGAAGTTGCTTGTCCCCAAATTATGATGTTTCTTGATAAATGTGAGTGGACGAGAGCATAATATACATCTAGTAAAGCTGACTCTGATAAGCAAAACTTGAGCTTAAGAATCGCATAATATGATTGGTTCAATGTCTCATGATTTGCTAGAATAGGGGCGTTTGTATAAAAATGTACAACATCTGACTTTTTGAGGTTTAAAATCAAACGATTTGCTTGGCACCATCCCTTCATTTCACATTTTACTTCATTTATTTTTGCAATAATATCATTGCCTGTAGTTCCACTTACAAGAACTGACGTATCATCTGCATAATGTTACAAATATAGAGAGATGCAAATCACTTATATATAGAATGAATACAAGGGGTGCTAAAACTGAGCCTTGCGCTGCTCCAATGTCGATACTGTACGTTGCGGATGTGATTCCGTTAACTTTTGTTTTGAATTTCCCGTCAGACAGGAAAGACACTATCCAATCTAATAAACCTAAATAAAATAATTTTTCCTCGGGAAGTCCAACGTCAATTGTATCGAAAGCTTTCGATAGGTCAAAAAAGATGCCCGCGATACATTTATTCATATCGAGCTGTTTATATATCTGACATACAAACTCATAAGTAGCTGTCTCTATTGAATGAAGTTTCCTAAATCCATGCTGCGAGCTTGGGATAAGGTTGAATTTTTCAGCATATCCCAAAATTCTTGAATAAATCGCTGTTTCGATTATTTTAGAAAAGATTGACAACAATGATATGGGGGATAATTTTCAACTTGAGTAGGATCTCCCTTTTTTGGAACGGGAACTATTATCGCAAGCTTCAGGGATTTAGGAAATTTGCCTTGATAGACAGACATGTTAATTAAAGTAGTCAGAGGACCTGCAATTTCATTTAAAACACTTTTAATAACACGAGTAGTAGAAGAAGGCTTGACGGGCTAGTCATGTCGACCTTCTTTGGGACTAGATTAATTCTATCCCAATCAGTGAAATATCTGGGAATTATCCTGGATTGCAAACTGAACTGGAGAGTGCATGTTGAATACAAGGTTAGCAAGTCTCGCAATTCAATGTGGGCCTGTAGACGTTTTGTCGGTGTACGGTGGGGGCTTAAACCCAAAGTGGTATACTCGCTCTAAACGACGATAGTTACGTCCATCTCTCTTGTACGGCTCCCTGGTCTGGTGGCCTTGCATTAGAACTGAGACAACTAAGGCCAAACTCAATAAAATTCGGCGTTTAGCTTGTATTAGCATTACAAGCGCAGAGCGAACAACGCCATTGAGTGGAATGGAAGCTCTGCTGGATCTCCCAGCGTTGGAAGTAAAGTGTGAAGTAAAGTTGAATATGACAGACAAAAGGTCATCAAATATTTTGGGGCTTCCCTTCAGTTTTCGGTGAGCCTCGTGGACATGCTATTGGAAACTTCAGAAACAGGTTTGTTACGTCATTGAAACATATCTTACCCAGGAAGGACTCCTCCATACTTGCTCCACTGAACAGTAGGTTGTGGTGTTCCCGTAGCCTGACAGATCAGCCTGAGATATTCGCCTTCTGGCCTAGAAATTGTGTCTTGAGTCGGTGTGATCTGCACCTCAGGAGCCGTGTGGACGATCAGGTGTGCAGATGCTGTCACTGTGCCAGCTTCATTTGTTGCTGTGCAGATGTATTCACCTTGGTCGTTCACGCTCATGTCCATGAATCTGTAAATGAAGGTAACAGATGGTATTAGTTTGAGGAAAAATTGGGACCGATATGCATGGTGTTATCTTAAAGGTTATACAGCCACATGGTAACAGTGAACATCATCCAGGAATTTCCTTCCAGACAGAGACATGTTTTTGTTGTAATCTTTTATTTGTTTATTTATTTTTTTCTTTGTATTGACCTGCCATATATACTTATGTATTAATATGGCCAATAAATACTACTACTTCTACTACTTGTCTATGGAATCAGTACCATTACCATATGGTTCCAAGTCCGCCCCTGAGACATTCTGTCAGTCGTTAGTTGACCTCATTGATATATAAGGTTGAGAATGGTGAGATTCGTTGTCGTGGTATGATTATTATTATTATATTATCAAGTATGTGAGGGTATGTATTGATATACTAAGTGACATATAAATCCGAACACCCAGTTTAAATGGTTTTATTTTAATAAAAGTTGGTGAATGTATTTATCTTACTGTAAATAACAAGTGAAAAAATTTTCAACCTTATCAGTTGGACATTCCGGTTTTTATACTGCTTTTTTTTAATTCACTAACGCTCTAAAAATGAATATTTCAGCTGCAGCAAAGAATCAACGTTGGCGGATTTTGGTTCTTGACATCCTTTACGTTCGGTTACGATGCCTAGAGTACGGAGACCTGTACGATTTCGTCAACTTAGTGAGTTTGATAGGGGCCGTATAGTGGGACTTCGGGAAGCTGGACTTTCTTTTCGGGCAATTGCAGTTAGAGTGCAAAGAAGTGTAGACACTGTGGGTAGGTGTTGTCAGGCATGGCTTCGAGAAGGCCGTACGCAAAGAGCAAGGGGCACTGGACGCCGCCGTAGAACAACAGACCGTGAAGATCGCCGCCTAAGATTATTGGCCTTAAGGGGCCGTTTCTCCACTACCAGCTCCATTGCAAATGAATGGTTTGCAGAACACGGAAGACCTATTGGCATGCGAAGTGGTTACCGACGAATGAGAAGTTTTGGCTTGTTTTCATACCGGCCACACTGGGTCCTCCCTTTAACTCGAGAACACCGACGTAATCGCCTTGAGTGGTGCAGACAACGGTCACTCTGGGATCAGGAATGGAACAGTATTGTCTTTAGTGATGAGTCTCGATTTTGTTTAGGCATGCACGATGGTCGTGCCAGGGTTAGAAGGCGACGTGGTGAAAGGAGTAATCCACAGTTTTTTGTTGAAAGACATGTTCATCACACTGTTGGAGTTATGGTTTGGGGTGCTATAGCTTATGGTTCCAGGACACCTTTAATCTTCATCAGAGGTAACATGAACGCGAAGCGTTATATCCACGAAGTTCTAGAACCCCATCTTTTACCCTATCTTGACACCCTGGCAGATCCAACTTTCCAACAAGATAATGCCCGACCACATGTTGCAAGAGTCACAATAGACTTCTTTCTTTAGGCAGCAGCGGTGGCCGCAGTAGTAGACTCTTCGGTCTCCTGATCAGTCGTCGTGCGCTGTGCGGGTTCGAGTCCCGTCCCAGGAGAAATTTTTCTCTTGGCTATGGATGTTGTGATTGTCCGTAGGTGGTAGACGGTCTCTGACTGTCGAACGTGGAGGTACCACCCGGCGGATCTCGTAGGCGGAGCCAGAATGTGTGCATGTTGCATGCACACGTGTTCCCTCGCTAGAGTCCGTGTGGCGCTCCCCCTTTCTCCAGTATCCCCCTATAGCCCCACGGTACCCAATGGGTGTTTAGGCCTTAGGCCTTCGTGGTAGTTGGAGTGTAAAAAAAAATAATGATGTCACATTGTTACCATGACCACCAAGATCTCCCGACTTATCCCCAATTGAGCACGTGTGGTTTATGATGGGTAGGAGATTGCTCAATTTGCAACGTCCTCCTCAGACTCTAGAAGCACTTCGAGAGGAGTTGGTGGTTGCCTGGAATGAGATACCACAGGAGGACATTGACCACCTGATCAGAAGCATGCCTAGGCGCGTTGGAGAATGCGTAGCACATCAGGGTGCATCCACACATTATTAAAGGTCAAAGGGCTTTCAAGCAGTGCAATCATTTTGAAATTTTTATCATTTACTTATTATGCTTCATTAAGTACTTATACAAAATTTTATTAAAATAAAACCATTTAAACTGGGTGTTCGGATTTATATGTCACTTAGTATAGATGCATAAAAATCTGTTGAAACAAATAAGCTATTTGTATTCCTTACTCGGCTAACTCTATCTGAAGAGACGTCGCATTTCAGCAGGGGCCGCAAACCTAGCAACTGTTCTTTATGGAGAACACCTTTATGGTTGGAAATTGAGAAAGACATTTTGGATGTTAATGCTCAAAAGAGGCGACGGGTGGTATTACACGAGCTTTGCAACTATAAAACAGTATCGACGTATGCGTTGATGGTGGTTAGAAACTGAGAATGACAAAAGGTAGCCATTGAATGGCGGGAGGTGTGGGAGATAATAAGATAATTTAGCATGGATTAGAAAGTTGACTCCGAATATTGAATCTGAACTGACAAGGCAGCAGCTATACTGCACAGTTTCTTATATATCATGGATGCCTTGGAGACTTTCCCATTTTCGTAATAGATGGCAATGGGGTATGATTTTTTACCTTAGAGTTCCGCCAGACATCTCTTCAACGTTTCTACTCAACGGTCTGCCATCTGCTCTTCTCCAGGATATGGTAGGTGATGGTCTACCCTCCATTACTCTACACTGTACAATAGCGCTGCCACCTGCTACCACAGTTTGACTCATTGAGGGGTGGATCTCCAATCGGGGCATTTCTAGAGCTACAGTTGAAAGAGTAAAATTATAAAAGTATGATCAACATTAATACCATATTCTTCAAGTATTGCTGGATTATCATGCCAAAGCATTGCATATTCACTTTAGATCACCGTCTTGCCCCGAAAAACTAGTGAAGTACCTAGTCATAATTTCATGATGTTTGCTTACCAGTCACTTCTACAACAACAGAACTTTGTGAAATCCCTCGATCATTGGTAGCGACACATACGTAGATTCCTCTATCTTCCACCCTAGCATTTCTGATATATAGTACAGGTCCTTGTTGTTCAATATTTCTTGATAGTTCTCCATTCAGTTTTGTCCACTTGACTGTTGGTGTGGGCCTTCCATTTGCCATGCAGTTCAGCTCAGTGGACTGACCTTGTTGGAGAGTGATTCGTTCAGGAGACACTTTCGTGGTAGGATATTCGCTAGAATGAAATGGTATATAGTTGTAGTCAACGTTCTTGATGGGTCAAACTAAGACTACCCTTATCCCTTTATATATCTTCATCTCCCTTACACATACACATGCAACCTACCCCTGTATGAGAACGTTTGTTCGGTAATCTCAAACTCGCACGTTTTTTAGTTGTGTCTCCGTCTCGAAAACTTTGACGTTTGTCAATCATATTTGTCAGAGTGACAACTCACTAGACATCGGCATGCAATTTGAGTTGTCCTGTTACAATATAAAATTGTACGATGCCCGGAAATACGATCAATGGAGAAGGCCGACAGCTCGCGCTAAATTTATTAGAGTATTTCCAGGAAGGCGATGAAAACAGGTCCCCTGTTACCCACTTCATGCGTACTTCAGTGAGTAGCAGGTGCGCTGAAGACTAGCCTGCGCAGTGTTCAGCGAATAAAATTAGAAAATAAGAAAGGTTTGCCCATAGTAACAGATGTGGAAAATCACAAAATCAAAAAATGCAAGACCGATGATGTCATTGATGCCGACAAAACAGAAATTAGGAATTAGTTCTACGGTATGAAAAGTAAAGGACAATATATCACGACCTCTGCGCTCGATCAGGAGCTTAAAAGAAGGTACATATACAATGCCTCGGATTCAAGTGTAAAGCGTCTGTTGTATTATATTTTAAATTCCGTATGTATTTTTTATTTCAACTTTAAAAAACATCAAATGGAGTGTCATACTCTACCCATGTTTATGTACTAGATTAGAAGACTTTTGAGAATTACGATTAGTAAATAACTTTGAATCGGTTTCTCTCAGTTAGGAAAATTAAAAGCAGCCCATGGTACAGAGACTCGATCAGTTTACTTATTTCATATGGCCTTAATGACATAACCGCCAAGTACAGTGACTACAGCTATACCTGTCAAAAGCTTTAACAGCTTATTTGCTAGATGATGTCAGCTATTCTAGTGTTAGATTCTGACAGCTGAGGGTCCATCTCTATAAGTTGGAAGTTGTCTAGGGTAACTCCTGTTTTTAAAAAGGGTGAGAGGAATTGTGTAGAAAACTATCGGGCTATCACAATTATCAGTAATTTCGCTAAAACATTCGAAATAGTGATACAAACTGTGCTATATTTTCATGTAAGCAGGTCTATCTCCGTCAGTCAACACGGTTTCATGAAGGGCAGGTCCACAGTTACTAACTTGCTACATCTTACTCAATATGTTTGTGAATCAATCCATAGACAACTTCAAACGGATGTAATATATACTGATTTCTCTAAAGCGTTTGATAGTTTAGACCATAACATTCTACTCAATAAGTTATCTAGATTTGGTCTTTCAGATGCATTGTTGCTATTTTTCAGATCTTATTTATGTCATAGGAAACAATATGTTATGTGCAATGGACATAAGTCAAGCGAATACCCTGTAATGTTCGGTGTTCCTCAAGGATCTAATTTGGGACCTCTGTTATTTATTATGTTCATAAATGATATTTCTGAAGTTATCGATGTCGATTTTCTTATATATGCTGGCGATATGAAACTTTTCTGTAGAGTCTCCTACATTGACGATTGTCATCGCTTGCAACGCAACATTGTAAGGGTTGACAACTGGTGTCGTGAAAACAGACTTGTTTGGAATGCTGCTAAGTGTCACGTTTTGTCGTTTACTTTAAAAACAGGGGTAATGATGTATGAATATAGTATTGGTGACAGGAAACTTGACAGACCTAGTACAATTAATGACTTGGGAGTCACATTTGACAGAAAACTTTCCTTCTCCTATCACATTGAAAATGCTGTTGTGGCTGCATCAAAGGCGTATGGTTTTATTGTAAGAAATACCGGTGATTTCCACAACTCCTTTACACTGAAAATACTGAACTATGCTTATGTAAGATCTAAGCTTGAGTATGCGTCCCTGGTATGGTATCCTCATCATCCAATATATATTGACCGCTTAGAGTCCGTCCAAAGAATGTTTTTAAAATACCTCTCATACAAAGCTGACGGGATATATCCCGCTATTGGCTTTCCTCATAGTGAGTTGATGGCGAAACACAAAATCTATAATTTAGAGAGCAGACGCAAAATGAATTCACTTAAGTTCATTCACAAGCTCATCCACGGCATTATTGACTCCTGTGTATCTTAGAACAACTTAACTTCTTAATTCCTAGATTAGCGTCACGAACTAGTTTAACTTTTTACTTAACCAGGCCTAGGACTGACGTACTTAAGTTTTCCCCTATATATATAATGTGCCGTAATTATAATTCAGTTAATAGCGTTTTAGATATATTTTCGTTTTGTGCGACATTGGGAGACATTAATGCTTATTTTCGTTAAGGCTTGCCGGTGTGATTGTTGAGTGCTGGGTAGGTAAAGCTAGAACGCTTTTTTTTCCTCCCAGTTCTGTTTTGAGGTTTTTTTTGCAGCGTTTTAGCTTTCTCTACATACATCCACAACATGCATTTGTTTATATTTTCATGTTTATCCATCCTGTAATTGGCTATGGCTGTTGGATGTTGCTAAATAAATAAATAACATGAAACTACGTGACACATCTTCACGTATGAATGTGAATAGGATGATGAGACAGTTAGGCATTTGAAGGTATTTGGACACCGCTTTCCATGCCGCATTAGTTTAAAATACAGTCATAATATCCTTCTGTTTGTTGAATAAAGCAACTATACACACGATGGCGATAAATGGAATAAAGAGGAAAAGTAAATCCAGTTATCATACCTATTGAAGTCACTTCCTCTGATGTTGACAGAAGCAGTGCTAGTATTGCTGGTCCCCTGAGAAGACATGACAGTGCATATGTACACGCCAGAGGCATCCGGGTTTGCGTTAGGTATAATGAGTCCACCTCGGTCTTCTTGGTAGTTGTAAGGAAGGTTTCCAGATTGTTTGGTCCAGCGGATCCAGTTGACGTTCACGGGAGCGCTGCAGTTAAGACGGATTGTGTCTCCGCTTATACCTAAAAAAGGCGAATTTGTTTGTTATATAGTCCAGAAGCATAATTTGTTTTTCAAAATGGCGCTATCCTTAAGCTCAGGCTGTTATTATTACTTAATATGTAAGTTGCTTAGCCCAAGAATTGAACTAGTGTTTTTTTCATTCATTCAATTACCTGAGAAGTACGGTGGGCTAATGTCAACTCTAACAAGGTTGGTGTGTTGACCAATATTTGATCTGCGTACCACAACTTGGAACTGTCCATAGTCAGAACCTGCTCTATTTGTCGCAATGCACTGGTAGGTTCCAGCATCTGAATCTCTAGCGTAAGGAATGCGGAAGGCTCCATTTGAGAAGTACTGTAAGTAGAAGCAGATTCTCAATAAAGTAGCTATTGCAGTTCATAGAAATATAGACACGGTAAATTTCCTTGTCTAGTTAACCTTCTAGTATAACGCTTGGTTTCCAAAGACTTTTCAAAAATAGTAAAACGAAAAATTAGACAGTTTTGTGACGTGGGCAATAATAGTGACAGTGTAATGTTACTAAGTAATAACAGATCGCAAGAAACTCACCCTTGGGTCCAATGGTTGTCCGTCTAATCTTGTCAGGCTCAATTCTGGAGCTGGAACCCCACTGGCGACACACCTTATGTCAACTGGTCGCCCTTCATCTACCTCTACGTATGGCTCTGATATTGCTATTCTTGGTCTTTCATCTTCTTTAACTATAAATACCATTAAAATTTTAGACTGAATAACCTGTGCCTCTGCAGCACTACAATTTTGTCTGACTATTATTAAGGATATTGAACAATGTCTTCAACAACTTCTTCTTCAAGCAATGACTTGGACTGCAAAGATCCCTGTATCGACTTCAAATCCTTAACTAACATCAGATGAAGTAGTATTGAATCTTTTTACCTTTCGTGACATTCTGCGGTAGGGCTATGCATGCAAAAAATTGAAAGATATGTTAGTTATGAAAAATATGAGCACATCTTGTGAATCTGAAGCACAAAATGCACCTAAATAGTGTTTACGACTTCTTTTAACAGAATAGACACACGAAAATTCAAATTTTTGCGGAGATACACTTATATGTATAGCACATAAGCATTTGGACACTGCTTTAGAACTGTCAAATAGTCATATTGAAAAAATTATGAATTGGTTAAATGTCAATAAATTTAAATTAAACACTAATCAAATAAAATGTATGTCAATAGGGAAACATTTAGGTGACAATACAATTAGGCTCATGATTAATGATGAAAAAATTGAAGTAGTCGAGTCATTTAAATATCTTGGCATATATGTGGATAGTACGCTACTGTTTCACGAACATTATGAATACATTATTTCAAAGATATCGAAAAAGACAAATTACTTCTATAGGGCTTCCCATAATCTTAGTATGTATTCCAAAAAAATTGTGTATAACACTATAATTCTTGTTGTTGTTGTTGTTGTTGTTTACAGCAAATGAAAACATATTTTCAAAATTACAAATTCTACAAAATAAAGCTATGAGAATCATTTTAAATAAAAACAAATATACTAGGATTAAGTCTATGTTAGAAGAACTGCAGTGGTTGGATGTGAAAAATTTCTTATATTATTTAGTTCTCGTTTTTATATTCAAATTAAAAAAATCATTTATTACCACCGCATTTAAAGAACTTCACAAAATTAAATAGTCATTATCATAACTACGAAATTAGAGGTCAAAATTGTAACAGTAGCATAACTAGTAAATCTATATTTCAGAAGGGAGTATTTGAATTTAATAAACAGAATAATAATATTATACAAATTTCGAATTTAAAAATGTTTAAGGTGAAATTAAAAAACCACTTTATGAATAATCAAAATACATAGTGACGTAATAGGCAAGAATGTAAAATTACAGAAAATGGATTGAGGAAAAATATGTAACCGAATCATTATACAAAATTGACATTGTAGAATTGATGCTAAATAAATCTTCAACAACAACAACAACAATATGTTCAATGAACATTGAAATTTCGAGGATAGTGACAAAATACATAATTTATTGTTACCTCCAACATTGAGATTGACACTAGACGTCGCTATGGAGTATCCGTCACTCGCTTCACAAATGTATCTTCCTGAATCAGTGACTTTTAAATTGGTTATAACAAGAAGTCCTCTTCCATCATCTATTGCCCTTGAGGGTAAATTGCTACCATCCTTACTCCACTGAACTTGCACCTGCTAAAATTCAACATTGAATATTGGCGACTATCTCAACTGTCAATATACAGGGTGTTCATTTGAAAACTTACCACCACGGATCTGTCGAGAACCACTGATTGAAATGAAAAACACCGAGACACATCAAACAACTTGTCAAGGGCGACAACTTTTTAACAAAAAACTACTTCACCCCCTTTCACCCTCTGCCCCTAGAGTCATCCCCTTAAAAATTTTAATTGGCAAGGGTAAGGTCTTTCGAAGACCTTTATTTTGACGCTTGATTTTTCAAAATCGGTCGATTCATTTTCAAGAAAACTAGAGAAATTTTTATTTTATCTTAATTTGTTCAGATAGAAAACAAAAACACACGAAAATATCTCTTTATTTCAATAAGTCTTCAAAATGTTGCCCGTTATTGGCCAAACAATTATATAGGCGATGTTCAAATTCCTGACGGACATTTTAAAATCTCTACGTTTTTTATTCTAATCAGTGGTTTTCGACGGATCCGTGGTGAGAAGTTTTCAAACGAACACCCTGTATAAATAATCATGTGTTTGAATCTATGCTAGAATTTTTACGTCATCCAAGGCGATTCTTCATTGAGGCCCCACTCTCGTGGCAGATTAATTATAAAGAAATAATTTAACTGATCCTTACCCTTGGTGAGTAGTGCGATTTGGCTGAGCATTGGTATCTGACAGTGCTTCCGACTTCGTAAATGCCAATATGGTGGTCTTCAATTGTCAAGTCTATGGTTGGAGCGTTGTAGGTTGGATTTACCTCGGGATATGGAGTAGTTGTGACGCCAGCTAATGAAAAACAAAAATTAGAAAACATGTTTCTATTAAGGTTGCATCATACCCTGCCGTCTTAAAAACAATGAAATGTTGTTGAACATGGTAGATAATGAAACACTTCTATAATAATTATTGATTGCTCTTTGTTTTACACTTTGGCATGGAGTTGGAACCTTCACCTTTTTAAGTAATAATAGACAATTCCGGTAGTACATATTATCAGTCAATTTTCACGAATTATAAACAATGAGGAATTATCAGGTTACATATTTATGTTAGCTTTTTTTCAAAGTGTCAGAAATATTTTGAATACATTTCGCCTGCATCGAATGAACTCTTCAAATAATAAGAACTTCAGAAGCATCAAAGGAACCGAGTACTGAAAGAATTTAAAATATTGGTAAATCTGCCAAATAAATTGAATTTTAAAAATAATTTCACAAATGATCAATTTTTCTACAGCAGCAACCCTGTCACCATAGCAGACAGTACATACTGCTTCACAGTGTCTTGTAAATACTACAGGTGCGATCTAAACTACTTCTATAAACTATAACACGTAAATTGTGACATTTTATTCAATATTAAACACGTAATGGTATGTATTAATGTTTTTTTAACCTGCAACACATATTTCAATACTTTTGATTTCAGGAACATTTCTTTATTGAATTCATTCTAATTATGATAGTTAGAGAGCGAATGTATATTAAATAAGTATCTAATACGTTTAACTATGAGTGACATGATGGAGTAAAAGATTTAAATTTAATTGCCTACCAACGATTCCACGTATCTGATTCTTGAACATGTGACTCTGAATTCTGCCTATCATATTGATAGCATATGAATGCAAAGAAAATAGCTGAGAAATCTCAGTTCTGCTTGACTTTGTTCATCGTAGTATTGAGAGATGCATTGAGGATTGATCTTTACAATAGTTATTCACCAGTTGCAATGGGGACATATACAGATTGTTTTAGATACACGTATTCTACCGACTATCCTGAAAATTAGCTGTTGAGGACACGTATATAGATGGTATGGCTGTTTCTTCTACTGCTAAACATGGAGCGAGGAGGCACGAGATGTCCAAGGAGGCACAGCATGATCAATTGTCGGGTGTCAATATGACTAACGTCCAGAGGGGAGAATAAAATGTAGCGATTTCAACTAAGGATGACTAAGAGAAAACTACAGGTATTAACAAGTTTGCTTTCAACGGCTTCCGATTGCTTTTTGTATTTGTCATGCTGAAGATTTCAATACGTAATGTCCTTAAATCCAACACGTCGTCTTCAAACGGGGAGAGGTGACCAATTTTGGATTGATTAATATTGCATTGAACACTGCGTATTATACCGAGCTTAGATGCTATAAAGAGATATGTAGATTTCGCTGAAACCGAACCCGAAGATAGTCTACATGAATCTGGCCTCGTTTATGGTATACATCCTTTATTATTAAACAAACATTGCGACATTCTATGGCTACTAGTGAATGTCACGCTTGGGTAGTTTGTGACGCTGAATTCAAATATGATCATGGACAAATTTAGTAAATCTGGTTCTAAATTGTAGAAAAATTATCCTCTTGGAACTATCCGCTAACTCCAGTACCAAATTTAAATCGGATTAGGAATCTAATCTCCAAGTTTTTCCAACAAACACAAATCACAGATGCGCAGGTATTTTAAAAATGTTCTTATGATTTATAATAACTGGAACTCTTCTTGCTATCCTGGACACTTACATTATAAATGTTTTAACCCCGATTTGATACACTCCGTGTATTTCTCGGAGATGTACATCCACCAAATATACCCAACTTTGTGATCTTAATGCCTAAATTACTTTCTTATTTGTCGACTCCCAATTCTCACTCCAGATTCGTGTTGAGCGAAAAAAAAAGATGAGAAAAGGATAGGGGTCCCCAGCACATACCACTTTTTTAATTTGTGGGCATGTGTGCAAATTTGTGTGACTGTATTGGTTATCCAAACGTCACGTCCACAGCTATTCTCTAACTGTCCTGTTCTCCGCGTTAAACGTTCGACGCTTTTATAGATCGTTCACCATGTTACTGATACAGAGCAATATACATTTCTGACACATTCTTGAGTCATCCTTAGGAAAAACGTTCCATCGCATCAAACCCCCGGACTGCGCGTAAGTACACACATGAAGCGATGTCTACTGAAGAGATGGTGTCTCAAACCTGGATAAACAACTGCACTGACATAACCAACTTCTTCATTCAGTCTGTTCGTAGCCACACATCGAATTTGCTGTTGGTAACAGCCTACCACGTGGTAGAACGTTGCCTCATTGCCAACCGTTTCGAAATTGTATAGATTTAGTCCTTCTACGGTAATGTTGAGTCCGCTGTATTGGTCTGAGAGGAACTTACAAGTGAACTTCACTTGGGTGCCGATCGGTGCGATCACTTGTGGTGGTTGGATTTCCATGTCTACTTTGATCAGCGCACCTAAATAGAGTTGCCTAAGTATTGATTTTTCAAATGTTTTTATTGTCTACGATTGACTAATATTAATAAAACCAAATCTAGCTAACCAGCAAGCCACAGTGGGGTTCCTGGAAATAAAATGTAATTATACTTATACTAATGGCTTACACTAGAGAACGCCTAGCGAAAGTTTCAATTTTTGTTCAGATCCAGGATGGAGATGAGTAGCTATATGTATAAAGCAGCAATGAAGTAGCTTGAGAAGATTCCACACTTTGAAGATTTGCTATTGCTATGTACATACCACATAAGTAGCAGACAGATAATAATGACTCTGAAGTGTTGAAAGCTCAGAACGAGAACAGTACTGGATTGCTTCTTAGCACATCATCAACAATATAACTGCTGCCTGGCTGAAGAGTCACAAATAACTGGCTGGGAATTGTTAGCTAAGAGTATGGAGTATGAACTAGAACATAGGACATTTAAGCAGTTGCTAGCCGTTCTGATGTTGGTCTTCTATCTCTAATATAAGAGGACTTCGCCAAAGTGGCTGATAATCTAGCCCTAACCAACCCCTGAGATGACTATGACTATGATGGTGGGTGGTACCGCCGGAAACTTTAGCATTGGGGTCTTGACAGCTAGCTATAGTTAACACATACCAGAGTAATAGTAAAGCATATATAGTAGGTGGTAATAAGCAAACGTTATTAAACAATTACTTCTTCTTCTTCCTTTCCTCTTCCCAATCAGTGTAGAGTTTCTTTGTGGCTAAATTAAATGCTTCAACAACAGCTTAAGTCTTAATGCAATATTGTGGGTATTTACGACAGGTTCTCTACCTTCATGTTCGCAGTTGATACCAGTATAACCTGGTCTACAGTGACACATAACCCTTCTGTCAGGTCCCATTTCACATCCTTCTTCCCTATCATTACATGGACATCTTTGGCATGTTCCAAGTGGTTTTGAGTTGTCGAAGTAGTAGTCTTTGTAGTACCCTGATGCGCAGGATTCGCAGGACGTTCCACGGTACCCAGGAGGACATCTATGGAAAACATATTTTTAATTTGATAAAATGATCTATGGCAAACTTCACGAAGAAAAACAGAAGCATGATACAATTTAAGCGAGTATGGGGGTAACCAAAGCAAACTTAAAACAAAGAGCCATTCATTTCAACACACATTTCAGAAAATCTGAATGATCCTTTTATTGTCTAGAAAACAGATGTACGAACCCCGCGATGTAGCTCGACGAGTAGTATGATCTTTATTAGACTTCGGAAGAGAAAATAACCGATAACACCTGAAAATGCTCCAGGAAATCTAAATTAGCATGTACTTCTATTATACCATAAAAAAGATCGCCCTTAAAACTATCCCACGTAGCGAGTTGCTGGCAACAAGGGGCATCAAAACAATATAAGGGAATCGTTTTAATTTGTTCTGTCAGTGCTTGTAAATTGTGACGGTACCTCAGCTCTGCGATCTCAGGTATTTATATTTGACCGTATTTTTAGTTTGATGATGTGTCCATGTGTGGAGAGTAAAAAATGGGCGAGTTGTTTTATAGTTTCTCCCTTTATTGAGTAGTATCTAGTACTTTCAGCCCATTTATTGACTATAATGTTTAAGTTTATTCTCTCTGATAACTGAAGTCATGTGGGCCTATCTCATGATGTTGCTTGCTATGTTCAGCCGATTTATCATTTAAACAATAATTCTGTTTTTGAAAGCATTGATAGTTTTGATACCAAATATGCAATTTCAACTTTTTTGTTTTTTTACTTCTCAGTATCCTTGTTTAGAGATTAAAATCGTCGTCAGATACCTACGAGACACTCGAAGATTTTATCGTCTTGTTTAATTTTGACGTAACCTACTACTTCACCGTAGAATTCCCTTGCAAACGAGTAAGAGGAAATACAATGTTAGATAAAATGACTTCTGAAAAGGAAGATATTCTTTCTTTTTAAGACTATCATTATATCAAATGCACTGGACTCACATAGAGTCTTGATGTTCCTAAGCTCAGGAGAGCATAAATCTAGGTTGAAGGCACAAAAATTATGTACCAACCATGAGTGTGTCAATTTTCCATACATATTTGCTTTCTGCTTTTACGAATCCAGCGTCCGTGATAGATTAGGAGTTATGTAGAAATATTTGAAGAAGACTACGTTAGTTCACGACATATGGTTGGCTTTTTTTTACAATTTGTATGACGTCACGTCATAGCCCACAGTCTTTTTACCGTTCCATATAACCTAATTTTTTAAATTGGACTTCATGCTCTTTTAACAATTAAAATGTCAAATACTATAAGAAATACTCGTACAATCTATGAAATTAAGATATGAGTCAAGTAACCGATTATGCCAAGAGGTTGCCGGAAATTTTAGTCGAGGAATGGTAATCTGTAGAGCATCTAGAAGCATGTTATTTTTTTCAAAATTGTTAGTGTTGCTTAGAGGAATGTTAATTGTATGCTTCACACACCTGCAAACTTCAATGCTGCTTGCCCTAGGCTTTCCAGTGTCCGTGTCCACAGCTGTGTCCAAAGTGATGTCGCTCAAGTAGCTGACCCTAGTATCACTTGATGGTGTAGCTCTGATAAGAATTGAGTCGATATTTGATAAAACCATGAGGATGTCTTCTCTTGAAGCCGGTTTGGTGCCGTAAGCGCCGTCTATTCGGTACGTCCGCGAAATTGGGCTGTCAGGTATATTCTGGAAAAAATGTCAGCGACTTTTAATTCAGCTATTCAGTTAAATATCAACGCCAGTAAGGACCTCAATACTCTGCGAACCCCTCCCGAAGTAGCATCCCAAACATGTGAGCAATACTTGAAGCTAGGTCTTACTTGGGACTTGTATAGAGTGAGGACGTCATGTGGAGAAAAGTACATCTTAGCCTTAAGCAAATAGCATAGATTTTTCACAGCAACTGCCTCTCCGACCAGCCAAAATGAACGGCGTTTTGGCAGAACTTGGCCATCCATCAAAACTGGATGAGCGCTAGTCCGCTTTCCTGGATGCCCAGTTTTAGCCAAATCCGACAAAAGTTGTTGTTTTTAAGGCTGCCTTCAGAAGTTTGTACAAGTTTGTTGTATACAAAAGTTATAAGGTCTAATATGAAGTTTTTTATGTAATAATTTTTTTTGTATAACGGATGTCTCTGGAAAAGTTTGTTCAAATGAAACGCTCTGTATATTTTCACTGAAATATACGAGTATATGGTTTGTTAAACTAATTTGCATTATTTTAGTCAAAAACTTGTAACTTGTATATCACTAATTTAACCACATGTATTCCAGCTCCACACCAGATCGCATAGTCGGCTAGATTCAAGCTGGCTTGAGCTCTGATACACATGTATAAATGAAACACAAACTTCACTAATGAAAATAAGTATGATAAACTATAGATATATATTTTGAATCAGAAAAAAGGGACTATAATTTTCTGCAAAAATATATAAAGTGTTCCATTTAAAAATAGAGATACTACTTCTCCATCGAAAATATACGCCGATATATTGGTTTGTCATTTTGGTAAGCAATTCAGCCAAAAATGTATGCATTGAAAACTGAAACTACACAATTTTGCGACAAGCAATGCAATGTAAACATAATAGGCTTGACCTCCTAATAATCTATTCGAATCCGTTGGTATAGTGAGAGACAGCACTACGCACAATGCTAATAAAAGAGTCCGTACGTATGTAAGAGATATCGACATAATAATATTTTGAATTATGTTGAATGCACATCTTGGCAAGGGTGCACATTCACCTTAAGGCGAAGTTCCACTGAGGCAATTTTTGAACAAAATGTAGCGTCGCATTGACGTATGCGGCACACTGTCTTTCCATTAGAGGCAGCACAAAACAACAAAAAATATGTCTCCTTGTCGCATGCCACAAGTTGACCGTTGTTGCCTCTCGACGGCACCGTCAGCGACATTAATCCACGTGTTGAGCAGCGTCTCCGGCTATCCAAACCGTTCGGATCGGTGCGGCTTGGAGCAGGTGACAAAATGGAGTGGACCAATGAGAAAAGATTATGTTTAATTGAAGATTACCATAATTCGGGTGAATTATGGAACAACAAATCGGAAAGATATATAGATTGAAGAAATTGTCAGAATATAATTATGGCAGGCATTGTACGATGATGAAGCAAAAATAGTTGGATTATTTATTTATGGTTCATTTCTATAAATAGTAATATAAAACTGTTCGATATAGGAAATTAAAAAAAAATAAAGAATTTGCATTCGGCGTTCCATCGGGGACGAAAAAAATTACGTGAAAAAAGTGGATCATCGCCCTGCAAGAAGGGGGTACATATTTCTTCTCCAATATTCTGGCGTTTTTCTTTTTCTTTTCCAGTCCAAAGAAATTACTAAATAAGCAGCCGCCGCGGCTGTCTGTAATGACGTTACGTACTAAACTGAAGTTGCCTTAATAGAATTTTGGGCAACACTGTCGAACGTCAAAAAGAGGCAACATTAGGAAACAAGTGACATGCCTCATGTCGACTGTTGCCGCAGTGGAATTCCACCTTTACTTTTGAATAAAGGTTTCTTGTCTGATCTATCATGGATATCTCCGTGATAAATAGGAACCTTTTCTAATCGTATTTTGGGTTTATCACGACGAGTCTCAGAATTGACCTACACGAGCTGTGATAGCCACAAATTGACGTGCAAGCTGCAAGCTCAAAAAGTAGTTAGCTCTCAATATTTGTGTCCGTGTTTTGCCGCTCGCCGAGAGTGTACATGAATCTAGCTACCAGGGCTGATCAGGTCGTCTTGACTACTTGGAGACCAGTGAGTTATTCAATTTCTATTAATTCGGTCAACTTTAATCTTGTATACTTACGTTGAGAATGACGAACCACCTAGCGCTGGGATGCAGCTGAACAGAGACGGCCTAGGATAAAAAACAGTTTTAATAATTGAGAACAACGGATGTGTGATACTGTTCTGGCTATGGCGACAGATACTTAAAAAATTTAAAAAATAAGTATGCAGTCACTTAAAAAAGCAACACCAAGAGTTATAGATGTCCCTTGAGGGTTGATCTACCGTTGGGAAGAATGCAACCAATGTAACAAGAACGCTTCCTTGAAGAACGTTCAAGGGAGGTTTTAATATTTGCATTCCTCAGTAGGCTGCAACAAATGCCATTACAGGCTGTCAGAAAAAATTGTCTTTCCTAGCCGTATCTATTTAGCATTCTGATGATAAATTTGAGGCGCAATGATCTTTTTTTGTACAAAATACTGCTAAACAATGGTAATGTAATCGCTTCCTTGAATTTATAGCGGAATTGGAACCATTAGATTATACGTGTAGGCAACCAGTACTACACAGAACTTGTGCTAGTGGTAGATTGTATATCAAGCATGTCAGATTCAGCGTACGTTTTTGGTACAACAGATTAAGCTACACGATTCGGTATAGTGTTAAAAAAAATTCAAGTCTTTTATAATCATTTCATAATGTATAACACCGAAATCAAAAAGAAAATTTAACCATGCAAGTAAATGCATCTGACCGAGATACTCAACAAATTGAATGGGATCGTTGAAAATAAAAAAAAAAAAACAGAAAGCTGCTCAACCACTTTGAAGAACAAAGCTTGGGAGTGAATTGCAAACAAATGTGAAACAACCAAAAGTGCGAATAAACAACTGAAAAAAATAAGTATCCATTTCCATATTCCAGTATAATGGCAGCTGATTGTTTAGGAATATTTAAAAATTCCCCATATCCGCAAAAGGCATATAATTTTGACGGATCCGTCAATGCCAGGTAGACAGAGCCATATTTTGTTTTGATTTTTTGTATGTACACACTTGTTATTAATTGCGTTCGCGGGTCAAAAAATGAACCAGTTCGCAACTAAAACTGAACCATCCAGAATTACAAAAATGCGCATGTCCAGTTATTTTCTATTAGTTCGAGATTTTCGTTTACCGCGAACGACTGTGGAACCGTTTGCATATTCAACACTGTTGCCAATTTGCCCTCTATTTTGTGCTGTTCCCAAGCTGCTATTCGATTGACACTGTTGACAGCTTCCAGGTGTTTTCGGTACTTCAATAACTTCCAATAGTTCTTCCAAATCATTATCACTAAACGATAAATGGTCCGACATCTTAACACACAAAACATATGTATGGAACAGCAAGCATTAAAAAGCACAGGTGACAGATTTTCACAGAATAGTTAAACACGGATCGAACTTTTAGTCTCACCAAAAATCTGAGAACCGTCAGAACCAATTCGATATGATCCGCGAACGCAGAACTGTAACTAAAAATTCAGAATTTTCTTACCGCGACGCCGATTTTTGAAGTGCGCATGCTAAGTGGTTCAGAATCAATCCAGAATCGGAACCGCGAACGAAACTATTTACAAAAGTCAATTTGCATACAAAAAAACAAAGTTTTACTTGATTTACACCTGATTCGTTATTGCCAACGTTCCAGACTATCACAAAAATGGCACTTGCTGATCAGCTATTCACGTCAGTAGACGTCAAAGCGTGATGGATACTGGTGAAATAGGGTATAAGTAGAACAGCTGGGAAATAACCATATATGGTGGGAAGGCTTGATAGAATGAATTATTCAGACTAGGCATTTCAAAAAGGCTTGATTGCTTGCTGTAAATAACGCAACGTCTACATACGCTATTTTGAATTTTGGAGCGTTTTAAAAAGAATGCAAGGTTCTCATAAGTCTATATGGCACTTCATAAACCAAACTTTGTTTTTTCCGTAGCGGCTAAGGAATCGTTATACATACTTTGCTTGATGCCGTTCCACAAGCTTTTGAGTTGTTTGTTGGTATTTTTATTGAACGTTTTTCCACACATTGGCATTATACCGATACCGTATCCACAAATCGCTCAGAGTTGGTTGATATACTGGTTGCCTCTACGTACAGTTTACTGGTTCCGATTCCGCTATACATTCCAGAAAGCAAAAATACAATTACTACTTAAATTTGTTCAGCAATATCTAGCAGAAAAATAAAAAAATCCATCACAAATTTTTTATCAAAATCCTAAAATATACGGCCAACAAAGAAAAACTTTCCTAACACGGATGACAGCCTATCATGACATATGTCACAGCCTACTCTGAAATGCAAATCTGTACCTCAGAGCTAGACCAGGTTAAGTCCAAATAAGTACTTTTGAGATAATTGTATTCGATATATATATATTTCTTGCATTGTATTGTATGCGACTTAACATGAGTTAAAAAGTCATAACTTCCTTAGTATTATAGATAGATAGACACTGCGTGTAGCAAATGAAAATTCACAACATTATCATAAGCTGAACATATTAAACTCATTTTTGACAAAAATGGACTTAACCTAGTCTGGCCCTGGTGTACAGAAATGTTTAATCCTTCCTTAAACATCCCTCAAGGAAGCGTTATTGTTGCTTTTTTAGAGGGTAAATCAACCATCAAACGGCACTAGCCGTCAGTCGTTCTTTATAAGTGCGACTTTAAAGTTAGCATATCGAAACAGCGCATTGCATCCGACTGTTGCGGTGGGAATGCTTCAACAGGTCGATTTTCAAAAGCAACTTACATTTTCTACATCTGGCCTCAGTTCTCCAGGATGGCTCCAATAAATGGTCTTTCCATTTCCGTTAATGATGACATCTTTGTTGGGAATGTACCTTCCAGATGGATGGTGGGTATATCTTTGGACGAATTCAAGTTGTCCCCCGTAGGATTTCACCTTATTCCCTGTGAATATGCTGGGCAAAGACCAGTACAGTGTGTCCCTGGTACCAGGTGGTACTGGATAGTTGATTTCGTTGCGGAACATGTCTACACTGAAGTTGGTAGCAACTCTGCTGACAAAGAGTCTAAAAAATGGGTTTTATACAGAAAATATACATAATAATACAGCTTTCGATAGATGACGGATAAACAGTTTATTCATAGAGTTGAGGATTTCCTTTACACTGCGCATATTTATTAGCAAGCCGCGCATGGTGGAAGCCTGAACGATAGGGCACCGCGGCTACTGTGAGGAGTTTAAAGAAACTTTTTTAATCCGATTTATGAACTCTGCCTAGGGTTAGTAGGACTGGAGAAAGCCTCCTCAGGTAGATACTCGATGCCCAAGGAATAAAGGAGTGGTCGTATCGGCCAGTTCTGAATGTACGAAGTTCGACACGGTTAGAATGGCTGGCCGAGATCAGGTAGGTCTGTCTGACAGGCACATCGCGAGGCGGAATCATGGAAGGGAGCTCTGAGGAGCAAGGCCCCTCTTTTCTTGCCGTCTCTGTGACCACAGTAAACAATGTTCATTTATGCTTTTTAGCAGCTACGGTAAAGGTCCAGTCATTGGAGACAGACGACGGAAAGCGAATAAGTAATCATAATTTCGAAAAGCTCAATGAATAATTTGAATATTTTCAAACTTACTGATCTGTAATAGTGAATCCATGGTTGTCCTGCAATATCTGTATGGGTATCTGTTCAATGTACAAGTTACTTTCGCTGCACTGAGATGATTGTCCGAAACAAAAACAGACCTCGCACCCATCGATGTTATTGGTACTTAGACCAAACGTACCGCTACGACATTGGTCACAGTTATTACCCTCTACATTCGTCTGAAAATAAAAAAAATTAAAACATTATTAAGAAGAATCGCTCGATACCTGGATTAGTACAGCAAATTTTCCTTTTTTTGCTCGCATCTCAAGATCCTAATTTTTGAATCGAGAGAGCGACTAATAGGATCAAAATACATTTTTTCTGACAATTTATGAGCTTATCCATTAAATATTCCATCACAAGACTAACTTCATTTTCAAAGATGGACTAGCGCTTGACTCTCATACTTTCTTCCGCTATTCATAAAAACCTTTCTGCCGAGGAAACGTTAAAAAATACAGTAAAGTAGTAGAATCACACATACTTTCTATTATTCTACTTTATCGTTCAGGTATATCACTAGTATTGCCCCAGTATAGACCCAATTTGGTTCTCAATTGTAGTATTTGTATCACCCCTGTATACAGCCTTGTTGTTGGTAGGAAATAAGACGTTGCTAAGCAACCACAATTGATCTAACAGGCATTGATTATTGCAATACTTGACAGAGCACTCAAGCTGAAGTCCTATTTTAAAATTGCAACAACTCACACGTATTTGACCAAAATGGAGGAAGACCTAGAAGATATCGAAGATGAAACCAGTGTTGTAGAACAAAATGCACCAACTTTCAGAAGATGCTTCAATAATACGGATCTGCACGGCTTAGGGGAATACAAAACGATAAGAGATATGATGGTTGAGACAAGCTTGGATGTGGATAGAATAGTGGACGACGACATAGGCAAATATCTAAATAAAGAAGGTGATGACGACATTGAAGATTCTGAAAGACCGGGTACAAGTTCAATGCGTAACATTGATGTGCTGATAGAAGGCGAAACTGTTGAACATTTTGTGAATCAGTGCAATGGCTTCTACGAAGAGATGAAACTCAAAGTCTCATCTCTGAGACGCACGCCTGATGTGAACAATTTGACTGTGAAGCCAAAGAAAAATATGGATGAAGGTGACATATTCAAAAACATACAGCATACCCCAGACGTTCAAAAACGGTTAGACGCTATCAATAAGTTGGATGATGATATTAGAGACATAATAAACACATATAAAGTTGAAAGAGCTGCTAGAATGGAGGCGCAATTGGAAATGTGCAACGAGTTGAGCCAATATCCTGACTGCAGAGAAAGAGACAGTGAAAAGTTTCTAGAAGTGTGCCAGTTTGAGCTATCTCAGTGTGGCAGTGATTCCGAGGATGACGAAAATGGAGGAAGTTTGGAGAAGAGCCAGCAACAACAACCGAAAGTGGAGGCTAGGTTCGTCAGGAGAAATGTTGCACTTGCTAGGGAGGGATACTTAGCTGGGTGTTCTTTAACTGATGAGGAGAAAAGTAAAATTGAAGGAATCATGACTGTAAAAGACGATGATAGTGACGGGAAACAAAAAAGTAAAACTCACTTTACCAATGCTAACAAGACAACACATGAGCAAACCTACACTAATAATGCTTATAAGTTTGAAGTTGACCAATCTCAAAAAATGAAAGAGATAGACACAGAGTTGGAAAAATTCGCCTTGGATGAGAAGAATACTGAGAAATACGTCAGTGGGCTTCCAAAAAGCTACGAAGAAACAGGAAGTATATGTCTATTGAAAAAAGAGATAGCTATTATTGAAGCGAAGTTGAAAGAATTGAGGAATAGGGATGGCGAAGAAATGGAGAAGAATAAAGAGAGGTTTTTGGAGTTACAGAAGAAATGGAAACAGGAAGACGAAAAAGAAGAAAAGGAATTTGCTGCTCAAGAGAAAAAGAATGATGAACTTGACGCGATGTTAGAAGAATTAGTAAACAGAGAAGAGGAAGGGATAGAGAAGGACAAAGAACGGCTATTGGAGTTGCAGAAAAAATGGAAAATAGAGGATGACAAAGAAGAAAATGACAAAGAGGCACAAGAGAGGCTGCTGGAGTTACAAAAGAAATGGAAAGAGGAAGATGAGCGAGAAGAATTGAATTTGAATACGGGAGATGCGGCTGAGCAAAATGAAGTAGAGAATATTAGTGAGGCAAATATTGATGAAGATGAACCGACGACAGGAGAATATAGCAATGCATTTCAACTTGTAAATTCCGCAGAAGTACTTTAGGTTTTTTACTTGCCTATTTATTATTTTACGGATTATACTAATGAATAAAAAGTAGAAGTCCCATGTTTCTATGTAATACCGAATCGTCTCAAGTCATCTCATAAAATGTTACAAACTAATTGACTTTCTGACCTCCGCCCAATAGAGAATTTAGGATTGTAATGTCAAAAGAAATATAGATATCGAGTTAGTAACTAATGTCTTACTTTGCATCTACATCTTGCGCCATAGCATTCAGAGGAGACCGATCCTCTAGGGTCACAGCTACACGGTATTTCTGTTCCTGTATATGTGCAGATGCCACCATTTGCTGGGTTTCCTTCGTAGCCCGGGAGGCAAAGTTCACAGTTGTCTCCAGTTGTGTGGTCTCTGCAATTCTGCAAATAATAATTGTCATGAATGCTAGTCCTCATTAAAATTAAAATCATAATTTATTTACATATGAATCGTTTCAAATATCTGCAATCCACCCTTGCTAGGTCTTCAATTACTCACCATGACCTCTTCTGGTAGAAGGAGAAAGCCTACGATTTGTTTGTGTCCAAAATATCAGTTTGTAATCAAGATAAAGGTGTATTCTACAAAAGGACTTGACATATGTTAAATGTTTTGCCAGATAACGGTGGTGTTATACGATTTCAGAACATGATACTTCTTGCATAATTTGCAAGGAGCAGCACAAGTCTAATGAAGGTAGATCTTTCCACCAGTAAGTATTATTTTTTTATGAACTGCTTCTGGCAACATCACATACATTATCTGGATCTAGTAGGTGAATAGTCACACCATTTTTTAGGCTATCACATCAGACACTTGCTTCTTTGGGTCCTTCGTATCCTGATATTCAAACCAAATTAACCTTGTTCTTGTTCCCAGATCTGTACAATTAAACAGTTTGTGTTAAAAATTTAATGCTTTGTTGGCTACCTGGCTGTCTGAGCAGATGATAATGGAGTCATTTGCGACCCCAGCTGTAAACTTTTCAGTTAGTCTTTATTAGCACGGCCAAGCAGCAAATTGAGAAAGTAGCATTATTAATTGTACGGGCCAGTTACCGTAAAACATTTCAATTGCCATCAATCTCATAATGTGCGGTCGTGTGAGTGTGTGTCTTTTAGGTTAACAGTCACAGTATTTTTTCAAGTACCTTTATATACATGTGCGCAGATCTCATCGCGCTAAAACCCACACCGCACATATGATTCCTTATGATACTTGTCTCCAGTTTTGGGACTGGCTTCAAGTACGAAAATAAAAATTATAAAAAAATGTCACCCTTACCAAGCATATTCCGCTTTCAGCATCACACTCGTCAGAATGTCCGTTGCAGTTGCACTGTTCACACGTACCAAGGTAGAGTCCCTTGGTGGTGCGGGAGTACCCGACGTCGCAGTCTTCACAAGAAAGGCCAGTGTATCCAGGAGGACAGTGACATTGCTCCACTTCTAATGCTCTTTCTGTTGAGCCGGTGTTTCTGTCAGTTGCTGTGTCTAGTTCCACCGATATGAGCCTGGATAGACAGAGGGGGAGGGTAAGATGGTTTTATATTGATTTATGAATAGGACAATTATTGTTAAGGTCTTCGATCATGTTGCGTGCATTATACAGTGAGAACTCTGGGCATACACTACTTTTAAAATGAGCTCCTGGCTTCAGTATACCACGCAGATACTTACGATGATTCACTCGTCTGGGTGTAATACGTGGCCTTGATGTAAACGTTTTCCAGATCTGCCAAGACCATCAGCAAGTGTTCTCTGTCAGCTTGTTGACCATCTGACCTTTGCCAGTACTGTTCAAGCAACGGCACAACGAATGTTTGAGGAGAGTTCGAGGGATAACTTTGATTTCGGTTGTAATACAGTAGATTTATATTGTTTCTCTGAAATAAATGTGCAAGATGGTTAAGGTCAATAAATATACTTTTTCGAAGCATATAGTCTTGTTGAGATTAAATGATGTATTCATTCCTAAAACTATATACTTACACTTATCAATTCGACATCTGCAGCAACATTCCTGGAGCTCTGACCTCCCGGCACTGGGGCATGTTTGAGTGTGTACCTCAAGTATCCTCCATAAGAAGTAATCTTGTTGCCCAAATACAATGAGGGAAGTGACCAATAGTAAGCATTTGGTGATGAGAAGTCACTGTATGAGATAGATTGGTCTTGCTGATTGAGAGTGATACCTTCGGTTATAGGATACTCTCTGTTAAGATTGTCGATGATTTTGAAGTTGTTTGTTGAACTGGTGAAGTAAGTCGCGATCTGGAAGATATCAGGATTAACGAAAAGGCTTCATTAAAAGAAAAAACTGACTTATGTACCAATACTAACTTGGTGACAGAAAAAAGAACACCCAGTAATAATGAATGCATTACAACGATTTTCTAGCTATACGTTCGTTTAGGTTAGAACAAAAAACGATAAGCTTTTCAATCATATGCATAAAGTGATGCTGTTCTCCAAAAAAAAGTAAGACACCCATAAGTGGGCCCAAAGTGTGAGACCAATAGAAAGGGTATCTTTTAGTCACTACGTTTGTCATGTATCATTCACAGGATTTTTCTATAGATCTAGCGATCTAGCGGAACATTTGGTTTACCTTATCTCTGTACCAATTAGAGCTGGAACATTGCATTGAGACGCCCATACAGAAGCATGAAATGCAGCCAAACTGATTCTTGGAGCTCAAGTGGAATGTATTTGCCTTACATTGGTTGCAGCTTGATCCTTCAGTCAAGTCCTGAAAATTGTATGACAATTATTGTATAAGAAAATAGCGTCAGCTAAATTTGAATCTACAATAAACCAAGATGCCTCAGATGGCTCAACTTGGGCCATTGGGAAGAGATAAATTTGGGAAATAAAAACGACCTCCCAGATATTCTGTAGCCTCACCTTGCACCTGCACTTCCCATAAGGATCAGGTCTAGTGTCCAGAGATCCAGACAGGTCACAGTAAGGTTCAGGAGGTCTTCGATCAGGTATGCAGGAATCTCCGGGTATCAGTGGGTTACCGATATAGCCTTCTGCACATTGTTGGCAACGGTTGCCTACGTAGCCAGGGGGACAATCGCAAACTACGTCACCATCGGAGCCTAGGTGACACGTCCTGCCAAATCTATTAAGAAATAAAGAAAAGTGTGAGTTCCTGTTTGATCGTAACCAATTACAGCTGGCTACATAAAAACTTTAAGCGATAGTAGAAAAAAGGATAATCCGAATTATGCATGAGAAATGGATTCAAGAAATATAGAAATGCAATATCACTAAATATACTTCTCGTATCTATTTATTATTTTCGATTAACATTATCATAGTGACCTTTTTCAACATTTCCTAAAATTCTACAATAACTTTCTTATACGGATGCCGATTTGATATAATTGTGGTTGAAATTTTTCCAACGAAAAGGAGCCCAGACTGTAACATAACCTGATTGCAAGATTTTTGTATTTGTCGAGATCTGAAGGGTACTTGAAGTAATCAATTTTAGCTACTTGAAGGATGCTGATAAATGTAACTTACTGATTGCTTGGATTGGTGTGAGGACATGGACATATCTGGCACTCTCTTCCATCGTTGTACATTCCAGGAGGACATGATTGTTGTTCTTTCAAACATTGTCCTAACCATGGGCCTGTCTTGCGTCGTGCAAATCCTTCAGAACACCTCTGAAACAAAATGGTATAATGATTAAGTCATACGTACTTTATCTTTGAATCGGTCTCTTGAATGAAAGCTTTGGATATACCTTAAGATGCTTTTTAGGTACGGCGGTTGACATGAAAGATCTTACAAATTATAAGTCTTGAAAGAATAACTAGGAATATTCAATAGCTGTAATGGAGAGGATGGAAAATACCATTTATGGAGAATACTTGAAAAAAAATGTTGAGAAGTTATAAAAGATGGTCACACAAACATTTTTATTCAAAACGGAGAGTCCTTCAGTCGACGAATCAGCATCAGCAAAAGCCACTACAGTTATGAAAAGGTATTTTAAAGGAGAAGATGATGATAATGAATGAGACGAATGAGATTTGCTTACCTCACAAGAGCTTCCACTGTACCCAGCTGGGCAGCTACAATCCTCAACGTAGCTAGCAGGTCCTAGGCCACTATCAGGTGTCGCAGCACTGTCCATGGCAATGTTGGTCAAAGTGGTGTTAAGCACACCTGAGTTGTATTGCAGTTTGACTAGGATGTTATCCACATCTTCCAGGACCATCATGATCTCTTCCCTGGTGGCTACAGATTCTGGAATACTGGGAGATTTCTTGTACCATTCTCCTTCGAAGAAGCGGACTTCGAAGTTGTCCTCTTGGTAGAGGGTGGGGGTTTTACGAGATTGGTGTTGGAGGATGTAGCCATTGCCCTGAAATAGGTGTCAATTACTCATACTATCTGTCACATATCGGAGTATCGAGATTAACAAGAAGACAACTTCTTGATACGAGTTGTAGTCAGTAAAAATGGAGAAATCATTGATACTTTTATTTAAGATTTATTTAGCATGATTGCTACAATTACATTCATCTAAAAATCTAAACAATTACATAGCATACAGATATTTAGAAAAAACAAATTTTGCATATCTAAGATTTTTCACTGTCCATGAAATATTCCTTTCATTGTCTTTTAAATATCTTTAAATTACAAGTAAACTTTATATCACTCTTTAGTTTATTAAATTCTAGTAATCCTGTCTGTGATACTGATTTGCTAGTTATATTACTATTGTAATTTTGTAAATGAAAATCTATATTTCCTCTTGTATAATAATTGTAGTAATGATTATTTAAATCTATGTAGTGTTCTAAATGTTGTGGCTAAGGTTGATTTTTTATTTTAAATATAAAAACAAATACCAAATATGATATGAAATTTTTTCACATAGATTTTATTTTGATGTACCTATTTTTATTCAATATTCTTCTCATAGCTTTATTTCGCAAGACTTGTAATTTTGAGAATACAGCTTCATTGGCAGTGAACAAGATAGTTGAACAATATAATAAATGCGGTAGAATAATTGTATTATAAACTATTTTCTTGGAATATGTACCAGGACTATGAGAAGCCCTTTAAAAGTAATTTTTTTTGGAAATTTTTGAAATGATGTATTCATAGTGATCCTCATACAATATTTAATTGATTCAACATTTTCAATTATTTCTCCATTTATCCTAACTGTGATAGTATTTTCATTTAGGTATTTCCCTATTAGCATACATTTTGTTTTAGAAGTATTCAAATTTTAGTTTATTTACATTTAGCCAATGTACGATTTTTGTCAAGTCAGAATTTAGAATTTTTAAAGCAGTGTTTATATTTTCATCTGATATGTATATAATTGTAACATCTGCAAATATCTGAAGTTTACAATAATTTAGAATATTACAAATGTCATTAATGTATAAAATAAGTAGTAGTGGCCCTTGTGACTTCTATCAGTTAAATAGTTTTGTAGAATTTTGAATACGGATCCTTTAAATCCGTAGTGCTGCAATTTTGTAAGTAATTTGTCCCTGTCAATAGTTTCAAACGCCCTTTTAAAGTCCAAAAACACTGTTGCTGTATGTTTCCTATTGTCCATACATCTCCTCCACTCCTCTAAAACCATTTGTGTTGCCGTTTCAGTTGAATGTTTATTCCTGCATCCAGCTTGAAATTTGGTTAAAATGTTATTTCCCTCGTAAATAATTTCTTCAATAACTTTTTCAACATGTAGCAGAACATTGATTGGCCGTATATTAGGGTAGAACACTTCAGTTTTGTTGGAAATTCGACATATTTTAAACAGTAATTTATCAGGATTAATATTTTTGCTCCAATAATATCAAAACGTTCATTAAGCACACTTTTAGGTAAATCTCACACTCATTTTGATTTGATTTAATTTTTGATATAATCTTCTTGAGACGATTCATGTTTATTGTTCTAAACTCACTGAAGGATGCATTATAATCTGAACTAATGGGACATTGGTTAGGATTCCCGTTAATAATTTATTTTACAATGCGTTGACACTTTCTATGAAATAGGTATTCATTCGATATGCTATTATTTCTTCATTTGTTATAACCCTATCGTCGAATTTCATTTAGTTAATGTATCTTTTCTAATTGGAGAAGTAATGTTTTTCAACGTTTTCCACATATGTCCGCTATTATTTTTACTCTGAACAATTTGGGCATTGTAATATTTGAGAAGATGAACGCACGTATAGCCCGGTTCAGACCCTTGTTATATAATTACAATCGCAACCCCCAGATTGCAGTTTCTTAGATTCAATTGCTCTTTGCTGACCCAACCAATACCTTTCCGACTGATGGATAGCATACGTCTCTCGCAAATTGGAATGAATGATAAAATATAAATCTGTATGAACAATTAGTACCTAGTTCAAGTTTTGCAATCGCAAATTTCAGATTGCGATTTTTTACGTAATAAACATGCCTTTGTATATAACAAGACCGAGATAGATTCCTTACCGAAATTATCACGTCTGGACCAGGACTAGGATAACCTCTGTTGGAATGTGTCACAGAGTATCTGAGGAATCCTCCGTAACTCTTCAGCTGGTTACCATGGTAGTTTTCAGGCATAGCGAAGTATGGCCACACGTCTGGTTGATTCAGCTCGTTACTATCTGGACCAGCAGCATGAACACCTAGAAATTGATGAAGCATGATAGTATTGTTATGAGCTGAATATGTTTTGTTCGAATATGTTTGAAAGGCTTGAGCTGTTGCTACAAAATAGGTGTTCAGAGAAGAACAACCAGTATGATGATCTACCTTTGGCTCCCGCTGGAGTAAGATCAGGTTGAGTTCCTCTATAGATGGGCTCATCTCTGATATCGACGATACCTTGTACTGGATCCACCCGGACTCCCAAGAGTTTTAAAGAGTCGAAAGGCGGTTGGAACTGAAAACAACATTTGGGGTAAGAATGTGGCATCTCAGAATTTATATAGTATTCGGGTAATCTCGATAATGTATCGGTAATATATCTTACTTGGTAGATGAATAGATCAGCAGATCGGCAGGTACTGGTCTGGCCGAAGCAGAAGCACTTGATGCATTCCCTCTCATTTCTAGCTTGAACATTAAAGTATCCTGGTCTACATAAACTGTTTCGATTGACCATCAGAATCGTGTCAGGATGAGCAAAGGTCACTCCCTTGATGTTGATCGCTTCACAAGAATACGCTCCCTATGAAAAAATAACATTTGTCACTATAATGTCACTTACAACGAAATGTTATACTTTAGGTCAACAATTTAGAATGTATAGTGAAAAAGCGATGTTAGGCATACAGATTATTTATCATCAAGAAAATGATTTTACGGTATAAGTATCCAAGGTGCTCTCGGGAAAAAAGTCGGGTTCCAATTATACTTTTTCTTGTATTACCTGATCTTCAACTTGTATGTTCTCGCACACCAAGGTTCCGACACCGTTTTCGCTGTGTGATCTGCATTTGGCGGGTACGTGTCTCCAGTTCAATCTCCACACAATCAAAGGTGTTGGAACCCCAACTGCGGTACAATTGATCTCAAAACGGTCTCCAACCACCAGGTTGACCATAGGTGGTGGAGGTCGGTACACCACAGGTTTGACTGAAAGAAGAGTAGCGGTTCAACACCCGTACTATCAGTATACACTGAAAACCAAATACCACTGACGACGTAATGTGTACCAGAGATAAGCACGTGTGTTAGAAAAATATAAAAGCACTCGTTCTAATATACATAATGGACGCCTCCCGCGCTTCTTTCTTGTACACATTACGACATCATGTATATGGAAGAGAGTAGTCTAACCCTTCCTATGCCACAGTTAACATGGTGTGCCTTTGAGTACGGTGAGAGCTACACACACACACATACAACAAGGCACTTAAAAAAAATACTGGTGCTGTTTACCTAAGAGGTAGCATACATATCACTCCCCGTTAGGAGATTGATAGAAACCAAAGCGCTTTAAAGTAGATTTTGGAACTTGATTATACAGGGTGGCCAATATATAACTGACTGATTAAAATTGCGCGCCATTTTTGATACACGCGTTTCAGTAGGTGGCACCGTAAGGGATATGTGTATCCAATTCATCATGGAGCGCTACACGATCCCACAACGCGTCCGTATTGTTAAAACGTTTTACTTAAATAATGAGTCGATTGTTGCAACGATTCGGAAGCTACAAGATTCAGGTCCTAATAATATGCCCAGTGTCAACAACAATCGTCAGCTGGTGCGGAAATTTGAGCGAACCGGTGAAGTTAAGGACTTGCCAAGGTCGGGCCGTGTTTGAACTGTTCATACTCCGGAAAATATCGAGAGAGTTCTTGAAAGTGTAGTGGAGCGTGCTGAGACGTTTTAACCTGAAAAACATGTGGTTCCAGCAGGATCGAGCAAATTGTCACACAACTAGGAGAACAATGATTCTTTTGCGAACAATATTTCCGGGACATTTAATTTCTTGATTTAGTGATGTCAACTGGCCACCAGGGTCACCGCATTTAACGGCTCCTGACTTTTTTTGAGGATTTTTGAAAAATAGGGTTTATGCCAACAAACCAAATACTGTAGAGCAGCTGAAGAACAATATTACGGAAGCTATTGAAAATATTCCTCCCGAAACCTACCAAAAAATGATGGAAAATGCGCTGCTTCTAGAGGCGGACATTTATCTGATATTATTTTTCATACATAATTTTTAAGTTTCAGTAAAAGATTAAAATGAAAAAAATGGGCGTATTTTATTACCTTTCACAAATATTCAAGATACCAAACCAGTCAGTTACATATTGTCCACCGTGTAGTAAAAGCAAAGAGTGACAACTCACCGCATCCAACCTCATCACTTCCATCTACACAGTCCTTCTCAAGGTCACAATGGTAGCTTCTGGGAATGCACTGGTTACCAGATCGACACTGGAACTGATGGGCAGCACATAGAGAACCAGGTGGCGCTGAACCACAGCCCTCTTCATCACTACCGTCACCACAGTCGTCATCAGAATCACACCGCCAGGTCTTCAATACGCACTTCTTGTTCGCACATTGGTATTCGTTGGGCTCACAACCACTTGGATCTGTATTGATCAGAAAAGTTTGAGTTATAGGCATTTTGATAATTATAATCTTAGAATTTTGGTTTGATCAAATTTCACGTGATAATTTAGGGTAGCAGACCGATTTCTGCGAAGATCCAGATAGACGAGGCGAAAACGTCGCGTTCGTGAGAGAAATATGTGGATTCCATTTGCTGGACACTCTTTAACATGAATCGAAAGGACTCTAGTTCATCTAAAACATGTGAAACATATGTTTTTTGTCTATGGCCAAGTTTTTTACGGTTTCCAGATCATTCTAAACACAAAGTTCCCTCTGTAAGTTTTCTCTGAAGTTCGCTATTTTGGAGTTGTAGGAAAAGTCTGGAAGCCCTTAATATAACCATTTACAATATTTAGAAATCAGGTTTGAAGTTACTATCTTTGAGGTTAGCAAATGCCTAAGCTGAACTTTCTGACCTTCCTTACAAGACCCCGAAAAGTATTTTGTTAGTAGGAAAAGGTTTAAGCCCTAATTTAGATACTTCAACAACTTAAAAATCTCTTTCTTATGTGCTAAGAGTTTTCCGTTCATTCTTCTCTTTGTGGATGGTGGATAGAATTTAGGTACTTACTGCATCTGTTTTCGTCTGATCCATCTCCACAATCAAAGTGACCATCGCAAACTTTGTTTTTCGGGATACAATCTCCATTGGCACATGTGGCATCGAATAGCCCACAAGCTGTTGGTGGTCGCAAAGATGGAGGTGGGATTCCTAAAAAAAAGAACAGTTAATTTCATACTTCACACTTTGGGGAAATTTATGATAAAGTGAGCTTTGCCAGTATCGATGTTCCAACTTTGTTAAGTCCATATACTGAGTAAATAATTCTGATAATAAGGTGTAAGGGTAGCCCCAGGATAAACTTAGCAATATAACATTGTATTGTACTGCTATTAGTGAAAATGTCTATTACAGTTTATAACTCACCGTTGATCGACGCAGGTAGCAGAATAAAAAGAAAATACATAGATTTATGAGTAGAATATTTTAGTTATGGTTTGCTTTAGATATACATGTTACCTGGTCCATGATATTCCGTGTCAATTTGTGGGAGGTTTCCAAATTTTGAGAGAGTTGATGGAAGATACATCCCCTTCATTTTAGCTGCTTTTCCAAAGTTTGCAGTAAAGAAATTTATTAGTTTGTTAGGTAATTTCTTGGGAAAAGGAACGTAATGGCTTTAAGAACATTTCATTTCAATGCCTTAACCCAGATACCCCTACCGTCCGTTATAACAATCACCTAATATTTCGCTTCAAATTTGAAACTCTGTACTCCGCGTTAGATAGCGTTGGGTTATTCGCTGTTAGAAACACGTGTTTAAGCGAAATTTATTGTTCTAACCTCTTAAAGGGAGAGTTCTGTATGCGAGAAAGTGTTTGGAATAACAGGTGCTTAGTTTGTTGTGAACAATGGATAATTATAGGTGAGTATGCTGATAAACTATTCATATTATTTTTCCATCTTGTGAATAAGTAATTTTAGAAAACATCAATCTTTATTATTGTAAACAAATAAGTTAAAAATTTGCATCTCACCGGCAAAAATATAACCTCAAATACCGGTGTCCGTTTTAACGGACAGTAGGAAAATCTGGTATTATTCGATTTTTTTTCTTATATTTGCAGTTATTGGAACTATTGGAAGCGGCCCATGAAACTTCATGAACTCATGGCAGAAATTGAAAACATTGATGACGATGAGTTGATTCCTGATACTATTGCCGTTCTACCGCCAGTTAACGCAAATGAATATAACACTGATGAGGATTCCGGCGACGAAAATGAAGTGGATATAAACAACCTCCCTGGAAGTCAGCTGATGACTGAAGTTGAGGTTGTATTTGAAAACAAGGGATCAAACCAAACTACAGTTGAGAGTGATTTTGATAGCGACGACCTTTGTCTACCTTTCTTACGAAAAAACGACCAAAATTATCAAAACCAAGTTACTCTTGGAAAAAAGGTGACATCAACCAAGATTTTCCAGAATGGGTAAACGCAAGTGGTACAAAAATTTTTTATCTCCTTTAGAACTATTTTTTCAGTTTACAGATGACGAAATCATTGACTTGGTTGTGAACTGAGGCCCTTGTTTTCTACTCTGAATGAGAAATTTCAGTCATTTGCACCGCTTGAAGAGTGCCATAGCGTGGACGAGTCGATGGTACCCTATTACGGCGGTCATGGATCAAAACAGTTTATCCGAGGAAAGCCCATTCGTTGGCGTTATAAGGTATGGGTGGGAACAACTAAAAAGGGGTACATTGAATGGTTTGAGCCGTATCAAGGGTCCACAACTATTATTTCTGAAAAATATCGTCCTCTTGGCTCAGGGGCTAGTGTTGTACTTCAGTTTGCTGATATTATTCAGACTCAATGTGAAAACGCTCCTTTCCATATCTTTTGTGACAATTTTTTTACGTCATTACCTCTGTTGGCTGAGCTGACCTCCAGGGGGCTCAAATGCTCAGGACCTCTGCGAGAAAACAGACTATCAGATTGCCCTCTTGAAAAATCCAGTTTGTTCAAGAAAAAATCCCGTGGTAGTTTTGATTATCTTTTGGAGGAGAACCAAAATAATATTGTATGTAAATGGAATGACAATAGTGTTGTTACAATCGCCTCAAATTTAACATCTCCTTTTCCGACACAGCAAGTCAAACGCTTCTCTCAGAAAGAAAAGAAAATGATACATGTTGAGCAGCCATGTTTGATCAAACAATACAACGAAAACATGGGCGGTGTTGATAGGGCTGACCAAAATATAAGCCTTTACCGCGTAGGAATCAGGGGAAAGAAGTGGTATTTTTGCTTGTTTTCACATGCTCTGGATATGGCAGAACAAAACGCATGGCAACTTCATAAACATTCTGGCGGAAAAATGGACCATTTGCGGTTTAGGAGGTGTATTGCTGCGGGATTATTAGAAACCTATAAGAAAGAAACAAATCGGGGGCCATCTAAACCAGGCAAATACCTGCATTATGAGTCCAGATATGATCGGATGGATCATCTTGTGAATTATCAGGAAAAGCAAACCCGCTGCGCATTTTGCCACAAACAAGCAGTATTCAGATTCCAGAAGTGTGATGTTGCACTTCATCCAATAATGTGTTTTTTAAGTTACCATACTAAAAACTAATCTATTATTATTGGTTTAAATTTTTTTTTTCGTTTCTAAATAAAGTTTTATAAGTTCATAAGAATATTGAGTTTTAGTACCTTATATTGCTACCGTACGTTTAAACCGACGGCTTTTACAGAAAAACCTAAAAGCGGAACTAAAAAATTTTACTAGGAAAATATGTTTATATTAACCCAATTAATAGGTTTACAAAAGTATATAACAAAAAACAAACATTAAGAGTTTCAGGGGTATCTGGGTTAAGCAAGGCTCTTCACATATACAGGGTGTTCCATAATTATTGCGACAAAATGATAGGGGTTGTAGAGGGCATCAAAATGAACAATTTTTCCTTATAAACCCCTGTTCGGAAACATGCCGTTTGGGCTGCAGCAAAAAAAAAAGATCAGTTTCTTGAAACAGCTTACCTACAGTAATTGCTCAAAGTGTCCTCCACCTTGCTCAACACACACCTGTGCACGATTGTTCAATGATCGGCGAAGTCTGTGGCATACCCCCGGTATGTCCTGAACATGTGCGGACGCGGCCATCACTCTTCCCAGTAGCTCTTGTTGGTTGGGAACAGGAGTTTCGTACACTAAAGCTTTCAGATAGCTCCAGATAAAATAATCCAGTGGAGTCAGGTCAAGTGACCGCGCAGGCCAAGGCACAGGGCCACCTCGGCCTATCCACCTATTTGGAAATTTGTCGTCCAAATACTGCCGCACTTGTGAAGAAAAGTGGGCTGGACCGCCATGGTGTTGAAACCACATGTTGGCTCTTATATTCAGTGGCACATTTTCTAATAGTTCCGGTAGCACATGCTGTAAGGATCGACCATAAGCATGCCCATCCAAACGTGGTGGAAGCAGATATGGCCCGATGATATGCTCGTCCACAATGCCGCACCAGATGTTAATTGAAAACTGATGTTGGTCTCTATGGATGGCTATGGCATGAGGGTTTTCTTCATCCCAAATGTGACTGTTACGGCTATTAAAATAACCGTCCTTTGTAAAACAGGACTCGTCAGTGAACAAAACGTAGCGACCAAAGTTTGGTTGCCTCAACTCCTGCTGCAGCCACCAACGACAAAAACGTCGACGCGGCAGATAGTCTGCTGAACCCATGGCTTGGACTTTTAAAAGGTGGTACGGGTGTACGATAACAAAAATGTAAACACAGCAGGCTTTTTCTACAAACCGGCGAGACCATGAAATGTGCTAGACGAACATTTTGCAGCTGGTGAATTTTTTGTTTCTCCTATGAGCTCTTAAGGTAAAATTAACTGTAGTGCTCAAACGGCATATTTACGAACAGGGGTTTATAAGGCAAAATTGCATATTTTTATGCCCTCTACAACCCCTATCATTTTGTCGCAATAATTATGGAACACCCTGTATACCTAACATTAATTTGCCGAATTTTCTACTCATTTTTCTGAACCACAATTGTTACATGATGATACAGATTCAGTATTGGCAATGTGATGGTTCACAAATTAGCAATACCTCACTCATTGTTTTGCCATGAATATTTTACTTTCATAATTACCTATTGTTCAAAATACGACATAAAAATACATTTTGCAAGACTTCTATTAGATTGTGGCATATATTCCTGGTTCCGTTGGTCAACTAACGAAGCTAGATATGTAGGACTAAAAGATTTACTGTCGCTTAGGCCACCTCTGTGGTCTTTTTTAGTGGACAAAATACGGGATAAAACACGAGATGAATAAGATTAAACCTTGTCTTAGTCTCAGAATACTTATCATTAAAACATAGTACTATTTTTACTAAATTGACACAGACTCAGTGGTGAAAATACTGTTTAAGATAGTGGCATTTCCATTATTTTGTTACATATACTCACTTTTGGTGACTTTAAGCTGTACTGTAGCATCAGCTCCAGGTGTTCCTTTGGGATACCCTTCGGCAACGCAAATGTAGGTGCCTTGGTGCTCTAGTTGAATGTTGGGCATCTCCAGCCGTCCATTGATGTCAGCTGAGCCTGGTGGAAGTGGAAGGCCATTTTCACGTTCCCAGTGCACACGAACTCGTAGTGGACCTTCATCTCTGCATGTGAATACTACCTCTTGGCCTATGGAAGAGAATGGTCAGTCATTTTGATAATGATAAAGTTGCAAATTAGTTTAATTTGATCCAGCGTTTTTGGTGAAATTCTTGTAAAGTGTATTAGGCTGTTAAGCTTTGGCCATTTATTCTTGATCTAGCACTATCTTACTAAAAAGTCTTCAAATAAATTGATTGATACAATATATAATTTCGTTGATGAAAGTTCTTCCACCATGATCCACTGAAAGTGTAGAGGGGTGAAGGCTGAAAGGAAAAGGAAGGTTTATTCCCCATATAGATACGATTGTAATGGCATTCAGATAGTACTGCAACCAGATGTCAATGATCTATTAATTAATTGTTATGAAAAAAACTGTAACCAAATTAGTTATCGATTATTTACAAATGCCTGGAATACATAAATGATTTGTGAATACCTGCCATAACTGCTGTTACTACTGATTGGTTAGCAGAGGCAGAAGTATGTATTTTCTATGAAGACCCAGTACAGAGTTCGATAGGTAAGGTGCTTAAGGTATAGATGTCGAGGAGGAGTTCAATTCAACCTCTGAGATCAATGGTTCCTTTTCTATTTCATTTCACCGAGTTATGAGTTTTTTATTGGATGTCCCGAGGTGATTGTAGAGTTAGACTTTCTCACGTTCGAACAAATGATCGTTGTTCACTCAAATTACAGAATAATGAACTTTAACATGATATAATTTCGATGTTTACCTCCATATAAAATTTATTTAGAGAAATAGGAGATTTTCAACCTAGATACAATCGAATTTTGAATAACTGAAATCAGTTTATGCTTATTTCACAAGGTTGACGCAACCTATTCTCGCTTGTGTGTTGGGCAACAATTGATTTGAAATTGTTACATTGAAAATTTTGATTCCTCGGTAGTTAACATGGCCACACATTTCATGTCAGATTGTTAACATTAGGATATAAGAGTTATTTTTCTTACATTTGATGGAAGCTTAACTTCTAGAGCAGAAGTAGGATCATATTTTGTAGAACGAATGTGATGAAACTCAAGTTACGGCTTTGACGCACAATTTTACGTTTGTACTTTGGAGGCATATTTCGCGAGGATATTTTTTTAGGTAGACTACGACATTTAGATTGCTACTTGCTTCATGATATATATGTATATTATATGTCTTGTGTTGGAATGTCTGAAATCATGATTATATGAAACAAAATGATGGATAAACGATCAATGTAGTTTAGTAGCACTCCAGACAAATCCGATGTCATTATTCCAGTCCAGATGAACTATTTCTATAGCCTTCAGTACACACCACCCTGTAACTCTAAAAGCACTTACCAACTTTATATAAATCTGCTCCACGGTTGATTTACGAAAAAACAGAAAGTAAGCATTAGTTACTAGGCACAAATATGTATTATCACATATATCCCTCATAGTGGTAAACTTTTGACATATTGTGGCAACAAAAAGCACGAAGTAACATCTATTATGTGAAATTTTTCTATGAACTAAATATTAGTTTTTGTTTATGAATCCAACTTTGTCTTCCAAAGCTCTCCTTGGGGGTATCTGGGAGAAGCAGCTGATCGGGTAGTGGAAACGTAGTTTATCAGCAATACAAGCAGGTAGCGATTCCAGCATTGGCCCCGAATTGATGAAGCGCATTTGTAGATGTCAGACCAACATTGCTCTGAGCAGCTACTAGACATGTAGACGTTGACGGAACTCACAAAAATGTGATTGAAGAGGGTATACGATCTCTTAGCTTTCTAATTACGATTCTCACAGATCACTGCAGATTAAAGAGACGTCTGCTCCTCAGGAATGATTGTTTCAAGAGCTAGGAGGATAAAAAAACATTGTCTCACTTCCTAGGTAAGTATGTTGTGGATTCGCCAGCCTTCAAGCAGAGGCACTTAGCTAAAACATTATTGAGGAGTTTCAATGAGCAGACTGGTTGAACATAATGATGTTGAGGTTTTGCAACCACAACATTAATAATATTCCATTGTCAACCATATTTGTTTCTGGGTCGGAGAAATTTTGTACATGAAGCTTTTTCTGTCATATCAGCTTGAGGCTTAAGTTATATTATGATTGAAAAAATACACAGACCCTCGGTAATTAGTCAATGAAATGGTACTATATCGTGATACAGACACTGTGATACCCTGTTTAAAACCTTCGTGCCCATCGATGTCATAATACGTGAATATTTACGTAACAGTGACATATTGAGAATTAACTACTTACGTTCTTTCTGCTCTTGAGCATCAGGATAAGTATGAAGGTCGAGCCTTTCCCTGTTGTAAGCTGAAACAAGTAAAAATATTTAATGAAAGTTTCATTTAGGAGTGTTTATCATAACATGATTGTGATTTATAAGTTAATCTGAAGATTGTTATCTCAGAAGGAACGTAATAAAATTATTACGTATCGGCACTTTTGCTGAAATTTGCCCTCTTTTGCTACCATGGTTTGTGGGTTGTATAATATATGTAGTACATCTGTTCAAGGCAAGTAGACCATTTATAAACTCAGCCAGAATCATCAGCCATCTAGCAACATAGCTATTAAGCTGAAACTGAGATCTTCGACAGTTCCAACTGTTAGCAGCGGTACGCGATCGATTCTGATGCGACTGATGGCGCTTTGCGCTATCTCATGCATATGTAGTACATTTCAAGCATATATCTTAAAGACACAGAAGATTATTTTAGTATTACTAGACAAAATAAACTTAACTGGAGAAGGCCAAATATGCTGCAGATACACCTAGCTAAGTGGTAAGTATGATATTTCTATATCAATATGCTGTGACTGTCTCATTTCATACATTACACACATTTTATATTGTGTTGCCAACTTATTACATTTGATTTTCAGTTTATTTTTTCTATCATATTTTTTTCAGAATATTGGGGCTCACCACCAGCACGCCAATATTAGAAGGAAAATGCTTTCGCTTGTTCATTTTAACGTTCGTTCTCTTTTCACAAGGTTTGACTCTTTTTCTGAATTTATATATGCAACTACTCTGTGGTTGGACTTTCAGAAACATGGTTAGACCAATCTGTCGGTGCCGACACTTTTAAGCTGCCTGGCTACAATTTGTTAAGAAAGGACCATACTAGGGGTGGTGGGGTTGCGTTTTTTATAAAAATTGCTCTTAATATTCTGAAGTTGACTCATCAGCCTCACCCGACTTGGAACAGTTGTGGATAAAAATTAGTAATAAATCGGTTTATTTGGGCACACTATATCGTCCTCCTAATTAGCCATCAATATACGAGTAGCCACTCAACTTGATGATTTTTTAGATAAATATGAGCTCTTTCAGAGGTAGTATAATAGATTTATTCATTATTTCAAACGTTGCATCTCATTCTGTTATTAACATGGATGAGATTTCCGATCATTCCTTATTTTTTTTATACTCCAACTACCACGGAGGCCTAAGGCCTAAACACCCATTGGGTACCATGGGGCTATAGGGGAATACAGGGGAAAGGGGGAACGCCACACGGACTCTGGCGAGGGAACACGTGTGCATGCAACATGCACACATTCTGGCTCCGCCTACGAGATCCGGGTGGTACCTCCACGTTCGTCAGTCAGAGACCCAGAGACCCTCTACCACCTACGGTCAATCACAACATCAATAGCCAAGAGAAAAATTTCTCCTGGGACGGGACTCGAACCCGCACAGCGCACGGCGACTGATCAGGAGACCGAAGAGTCTACTACTGCGGCCACCGCTGCTGCCTGATTTGTCAAGGGAGACAACTTTTTTCGACCAAGTGAAAAGACTACGATAGTTTTTTTGCTATTTGTATTAATTACATATATTATTCTAATTGTTAGATTAGGAATTTTTAGAATAGTATTATGTACCGGGGTTGCATGGAAGAGCAACGATGTTGAATGCCGCTTCCCTCACCATGTGAGTTTTTTTGTTTGTACTTTTAATCCAAAAATAAAGAGCAATTATTATTATTATTTGTGGGATAATATTTCAATCTCGGAGACAATGACTATGTTGACACTGTAGGTAGACAAGCGCTTACATAGGCACAGCGCATCATAGTTCCGTGCTTAAATGCTGCTCTGGGCCCGTTTACTCCGTGTGCCACCTTTAAGCTCTTGACTACTTAGGGCGTGAACATGGTTAGTATCAATTCAAATACTTACGGCATCCATCCTCATCAGAGAAATCCGAGCAATCAGCAGTTCCATCACACAATTGATCAGCCCTAATGCACTGCCTGACCCTCTTGCATGGCCTGTAGCCTGGTTGACAGCTGATTCCTGGAGGGGTGGGAGTAGTTGGTTCCGGTGTAGTGTAGGAAGGAGGAGAAGTTGGGCAGTTAGCCTCGTCACTTCCATCGCTACAGTCGCGCCATCTGTCGCAGCGTCGTCGACTGTCAATACAGCGGCTTCCGTCTAGACAGGGGAATTGGTCGTTCCTGCAGGCTGGAATTTGAAGATTATAATTAGATATCTGGAGGTTATCGAAGGAACAGCAGAAAACTTAAAAGCTATCGACATTTTTATTAGAAAATCCTTGAATAACAAGTAACTTACGGCATCCCCGCTCATCAGTACCATCAGGGCAATCCGGTCTTCCATCACACTGCCTGAACGTTGGCACGCAGCTTCCATCGTCACACCTGAGATATATAAGTCGCAGTCAATTATATATGTATTTTACATGTTACAAGTTATAATTTAAATCGTGGTGGAAATAAGGTTAGTGAATTCTTTGGTCTAAATCTGCCATTTTATCCAACGGCCAGGAGTACATGCAGATTAGTCGCACCTGAGTTCGTCTCTCGCACAGTAGCCAATTGGAGGTAGAGTTGTCAAGTTGCAATCCCTTTCATCTGAGTTGTCTGCACAGTCAGAGCTGCCGTCGCAGATCAAATTGCTATCAATGCACATGTTGTCTGAGTGGCATTGGAACTGGCTGGTACTGCATTCTGAAAGAAGAGAAGGGTGTTAAAAGCTCCAACATTATTGCGAGAACATGTTTGTTCTAGTGGTGGTTGTTTGACTATTATTCTGTAAGGAAGCTCGTCTTAACCTTCTAGCTAAGGCTATAACAACGATAAAAGACAATGCCCACCTTCTATGCGATCTTGGCTAAATTAGACAATCGAGTTTTGGCCCAATAATTTGGTGCTCAAAAAGGGGTTGCCTGGGAAGGTCTGGGGATATTTGATAGACTTCGATTTGTACATATCGAAGTTTTATTTTGCTACCTTACCATTTTTTGTACGACTAACTACTTCAGTTTACCTAGTATAAGTATACAGGAAATCGTTCATTACTTTAGGTGGTTGCACGTGCAACGTTTTGAGAAAGCTTAACAAATAATTAGTTTTCCATGTTTTGACGTGTTCTTTCCAAATTTTCAATTTACTTTCTCACACCATCGCCTGTGACATCCCCACAGTGAAAGAACGGTGCCCACAAATATAAGGAGCAATTTTCGTAGATAAGTTGTAGTAAATCGAAATCCCCATGCTTTTGTAGGAGGGCATACCCAGTACCCCCAAAAAATTAATGTATTTTAGGAAACAAAGTGATTAGGCCATTGCTCATTAATACAAATTTGAATGAAGACATTTATTTGGATATCAGTCGGCTTATCAATAAAATCATTGAAAACCAATCGAAGAAGATGGAAACGCTATACTTGAGGCTGAACTATATTTCCAGCAAGACGGCGCTCCTCATCACTATGTTCTTCCTGTTCGGAATGGTTAGTCGACGAGTTTCAAGATAACGGGATAGGGCGGAGAGTGCCTATAGAATGGTCTGCTGGATCTCCTGATTTGACGCCATTAAACTTTTTCCTATGGGGTCATTTGAAATCTATTGTGTTTAATCCCCAACCTGAAAGTTTGGATGAACTTCGTCAACGCATCATCGAAAGCTGTCATGATATCCCACAACATGTTTTTGAAAACTTTGAAATCAAAAGTGATATTTTCGTAAGTTTTTGTTTTCTGTCTGAACAAATTAAGATACAAAATTTTTTCTAATTTTCTTGAAAACGAACCTGCCGATCAAACGTCAAGATGAAGGACTTCGGAAGACCTTTCAAACAAGCTATTACTCGGTACCCCCTGCCACTTAAAATTGTTAGGGGGATGACCCTGGGGGTAGAGGGTGAAGGGGATGAATTAGTTTTTTGTTAAAAAGTTGTTTTTGATAAATCAGTGGTGAGAATTTTCAAATGAAGGTAATAAGTCAAATATTGAATTTGAATTTTGAATTTGGAAGAGTGCGTCAAAGTAAGTACAGTATATTCAGATAAGAGATAGACCGGATGTAAACAAAAGGTTCGGGTGATTTTCACGCTAACGCCGCCGTCTCGACGTAAAACAGGAGCCCTCATTGGTCAATTCGCAATTAAATGCCTATGCCGAGCGGCAGAGCAGTCGTATCAAGGCAGAGTCACATTCAGGTTCAGACGTGTTACGTATGTCGTGTGCATCATTGCAATTTGATATTTCTTTGGACGTTTTCGTTTGTTATCTTATTAAGTTGTTGAGTTTGTCGTTGTTATCGTTATACCTTGTTATTGATTGTTATTGTTATCAACTGCTTGCGCAAAATGCCCAGTAGTACAGATACTGCCGATGAAGTTGTAAACTCCTGTAGTCCACCTAGGAAACGCTCTAAAAAAAGACACCTGAGTGCAGAAATGAAAGAGGTCATTTGAATATACGGTGAATATAGGGTGGCCAAACACGTGACGTCATAAAAAAAAAATTAGATTCCCCACATCGAGAGGAACCCAAATCACCCCCATATATATGGTCCGATCTTGTTTAGTTTAGGAGTTATGATTTTTTTTCGGATTTTTCGAGAATTTTTGAGTTCTGTGTTTATTTTTACCATAACTTCGTTAATAATTGTGATAAATGCCTGCTTTTTTCACGATTATGTAGCTAAGACCTAAGGCTTAACTATCATATAATCATTCAAGTCATGTAACTAATACTACTTTTTAATTTTTTTCAAAATCTTCGAACATAACAAAAAAGTGCAACAACTTTGAACGTTTATAAAAAATTGAAAAAACATGTTCTTACTATTCGTAAGTATCTTAAAAACTTCCTTACGGTATCAGCTATTTACCGTAAAAATTTCATCAACCTAGCTTTACTACATGCTACCGTAATTGTGGCTCAAATAGAACCGAACCCAAAATTGGATAACCCTCTGCTCAATAGAAATTGTTAGTTTCGGAAAAAAAATTTGCAAAAACCACAAAAACACGTTTGATTTTTACTGAACAGCAGATTATTATTCATTTATGTTATTTACAAGAGGTTTTCAAAATGTCTGCCTCTAACAGAAATGCACAGTGTACACCTACGTATGAAATTTTGTTTTAAATCTCTAAATGCTTGTATGTTGTTTTTCAACACATGTGTCGCTTCTTGAATTTTGTTCCTCAATGAATTTTCATTTGCACATTCTTGGGCGAATGTTATGTCTTTAAAATATCCCCAAACAAAAAATCAATGGGGTTGAGGTCAGGGGAGCGTGGAGGCCATCGTATCGGTCCGTTTCGTCCGATCCATCTGTCTGGGAACCTTTCGTTTAAGTAGTTTCGCACGATCGTTGCGTTGTGCCATGGTGCACCATCATTCTGGAACACCATGTTCCCTCTGGCTTCCAGGCTTGAATCTTCCAGCAATAATGGTAGGCTATTTTCAAGGAAGCTTTTGTAGGCTACCGAATCCAACCTTGACGGCAGTTCAAATGGACCGATAAATTCCATATTGAATATTCCTGACCACATGTTCACACTAAAACGGTGTTGAAATGTCGACGGCCTTGACTGGTGGGGGTTTTCAACAGCCCAAGTATGTAAATTATGCATATTGAATATCCCTGTTCTTTCAAAACGTGACTCGTCAGTCCATAAAATTTTATCAAAAAAATCGGGATCCTCTCGTTGTCTTCGCAGCATTGTCTCGTAGAAATCCACTCTTAACTGGTAATCTGAAGGCATCAACGCTTGAACTCTTTGAACATGATAGGCATGATAACCTTCTTCATGAAGAATATTTTGTATCGATGTTCGTGGTATTCTAAGGTTTTGTGCCATAGATCTCGTACTCGTTGAGGGATTCCGGCTAATTTCTTCAAGTACTACTTCTCTGCGATCCGGATCAGCTGTAGAATATCCTTCATTGCTTCCTCGTCCTGGAATGCGGCCTGCCATGAAAGTGTTATGTGTGTTAATAAAAACACGGTGGTCTGGGTAATGCTCAGGTTGTGGTCCGCCTCGGCGTATAAGTTCTTCCCGGTACAGCTGAGCTGCTAAAGCGCCGTTCCTTGAAAATAGCCTACCATTATTGCTGGAAGATTCAAGCCTGGAAGCCAGACGGAACATGGTGTTCCAGAATGATGGTGCACCATGCCACAACGCAACGATCGTGCGAAACTACTTAAACGAAAGGTTCCCAGACAGATGGATCGGACGAAACGGACCGATACGATGGCCTCCACGCTCCCCTGACCTCAACCCCATTGATTTTTTTGTTTGGGGATATTTTAAAGATATAACATTCGCCCAAGAATGTGCAAATGAAAATTCATTGAGGAACAAAATTCAAGAAGCGACACATGTGTTGAAAAACAACACACAAGCATTTAGAGATTTAAAACAAAATTTCATACGTAGGTGTACACTGTGCATTTCTGTTAGAGGCAGACATTTTGAAAACCTCTTGTAAATAACATAAATGAATAATAATCTGCTGTTCAGTAAAAATCAAACGTGTTTTTGTGGTTTTTGCAAATTTTTTTTCCGAAACTAACAATTTCTATTGAGCAGAGGGTTATCCAATTTTGGGTTCGGTTCTATTTGAGCCACAATTACGGTAGCATGTAGTAAAGCTAGGTTGATGAAATTTTTACGGTAAATAGCTGATACCGTAAGGAAGTTTTTAAGATACTTACGAATAGTAAGAACATGTTTTTTCAATTTTTTATAAACGTTCAAAGTTGTTGCACTTTTTTACTTTTTTGTTATGTTCGAAGATTTTGAAAAAAATTAAAAAGTAGTATTAGTTACATGACTTGAATGATTATATGATAGTTAAGCCTTAGGTCTTAGCTACATAATCGTGAAAAAAGCAGGCAGTTATCACAATTATTAACGAAGTTATGGTAAAAATAAACACAGAACTCAAAAATTCTCGAAAAATCCGAAAAAAAAATCATAACTCCTAAACTAAACAAAATCGGACCATATATATGGGGGTGATTTGGGTTCCTCTCGATGTGGGGAATCTAATTTTTTTTTATGACGTCACGTGTTTGGCCACCCTGTATATAGGATCGAGCGCGAGGAGAACGAGGCATCAACCATCAAAGAAATTGTTGTGAAGGTTTCTCACAAAGTTGGGGTGTGTCGCGCATCAGTGTTTAATGTGTTAAGACAATACAAAAAAAATCACACCTTTTCTGAGCCAATGACCAGTAAACATCGCAAAAGTATTGTTAAATCATTGGATGAAGCTGATAAGCATGCGATTAGGACGAAAGTGCATGAATTCTTCTTTAGGAATGAAATACCTACTATAGATAAAGTACTGCAGGAGGTAAATGGAGATACAACGTTGCCAAATTTCAAACGATTAACTTTCCATGCGTTACTGAAGCATTTAAATTTCAAATGGAAAAAACGGGGTCGTAATAGTTTACTACTGGATAGAGAAGAAATTGTGCTATGGAGGAGGGATTATTTAACAAAAATTGGGAAATATAGAAATCAAAACAGGAAGATTTATTATCTTGATGAAACGTGGGTAAACGCAGGACACACTACAAGTAAAGTATGGGGTGATGATTCTGTAACTTCATCCAGGAGGGCCTTTCTAGATGGACTGTCCACCGGATTAAAAAATCTAGCAGGTAAATACGAGTAATAGACAACATTCGGATGTTTTTCAAACCTTGGGAACAAGGTTCTAAACATTAATTCCAGGGGGCAGATAAAACATATTATAAGTAACAAAACTTTTATAACTTTCGATAAAATGCGTGGATGATGTATTGTCATTTTCATTTGTTAGAACTTTTTTAAGTCATGTTTTTATGTGTTTTCGATATTTCAATAATTTTTTAATATAATCTTAAAATATGTCGAATATTATAAACTTAAAAAAAGTTACTAAGTTTTATATTGTGTACCGTTCCTAATATTTCTAATCATTTTAATTCATACTTTAAGCTTTATAAAGTTATAATTTGTTAATATTAATATTTGCGCGTATTTCAGGTTCCTGATCATTCATTTTTTAAAGGTTTATAACTTTAAATTAAATTGTGAAGCGCTGAGTAATCATACGACGTTCAATATTCTTTCTTTCAATATGACTAAATAATCCCAATTATAGCAATCTGATACTCATGTCTCAATGTTTCTTCGCTGAATGTGATGAAAATATTTGACAAAGGTTCGCTTATTGAGATAAATCTACACCAGTTAGTACTTCGATTTCCAGGTAAAGGGAAAAGGCTCATTATCTGCCATATTGGCAGTGAGGATGGATTTGTTGTTGACGGTCTGTGGTGCTTTGAGTCTAAGAAAACTGGAGATTTCCACGAGGAAATGAATGGCGAATCGTTTGAACAGTGGTTTTCAAAAATTTTACCGAACTTAGAGGAAAACGCAGTAATTGTGTTGGATAATGCGCCTTATCATTCTCGAAGAATGGAGAAGGTCCCAACAACGGCTTCAAGGAAAGTTGATGTTCAAAATTGGCTCCGCTCGAAAAATATCAACTTTGAAGAAGCAATGCTGAAAGTACAATTATTAAGAATTGTCAAGGATCACAAGGCGGAATATCAAAAATACGCCATTGACGAAATGGCAGCAAGTCAAAATAAAACTGTGCTCCATTTACCTCCATACCATTGCGAGCTCAATCCCATTGAGCTCATATGGGCAGAGGTTAAAAATTATATAGCTAAGCACAATACAACTTTTAAATTTTGTGACCTCATAGGACTTTTCAAAGAAGCACTAGAATTAATAACAGCGCAAAAATGGGAAAACTGTATTAAGCACGTGAAAGACAAAGTTGAAAAGAGAATGTGGGAACTGGACAATATTTTAAAGGAACAAGTCGAGCCATTCATTATTGACGTTGGTGCTTCAGGCAGTAGCGATGATGAAAGCTCATCAAGCTCATCTTTCCAATAAAAGATGTCGTTCATCAAATTCGGTAAGTTATAAGTAATTATAAAGCTACTGTATTTTTTAATTAATTATTGACATTTTTGAACCCATATTGGCAAACCTATTCAAGAATCTACTTTCTGACAATGTTCAACCATGCACATTTTTTTACGTTTTGAACGTTTTAATTTGGTTACATATTTACCTAGAAATCAAAAAATATACTAATCAATATCCTAAAAGCAATTTTAAGAGATATACGATTATTTTTAATTTAGGCTAATTTAAACGCCATTTTGAGATTATATTCGCATGTATTTCACCAAACATCAGGCGGCATCCGAAGCTGGAAATCGAAGCGAAAATTTTGAAACCCTTATGTATATTTACATCATTATATATTTCTTACCCCACCCCCACATGATTCTATATCCATCACCAATCGTATACACATCGAATTGTGCTAATTTACTACAAAGTTACGCAAAGCAGCATCTACTATCTAAAATATGTACTGCGTGACTCTTAATACGTCCCTGCCGAATGTTACAGCGTTCGATGATCACGTGGTCTTGTTTATGTCCGGTCTATCTCTTATCTGAATATACTGTAGTGATTTCTAAAACTCTCTCAAAACGTTTATGGCGAAACTACCAATTCGGTGAAACAATGACTGATTAGAGTACACTGTATGCCATTTTCTGTAGTTTGATTTGCCATTATAGCAAGGCAAAGAAAGAAAGGGTACAAGATAGCAAAGTGATAATTTAGAAAAAGTGCATTAGAATCTATTAAGATATTACCTTTACAAAACTTTCCGAATACTTTCCTACCTAATGATTGGACTATTTATGTCCATTTCCAGGATCGGTAACAAGAGAGATACTACTTGGAGCCCTTACGTTGTAGTTTAAGCTTCAGGTCAATCCTCAATACAGTCGGGATGTCAAAAAGTAGGTTAGAACGAATTGATCTACTAACCAATATGATTTTATGAGAACTAATTACTAAGATACTTACTGCAGTCTTCTTCGTCTTTTCCATTTTTGCAATCCTTGAGGCCATCGCAACGGTAGGCGTTCTCAATACATTCATCGCCACAGTTGAATTCATCATCTCCGCAGACTAAATGAAAAAGTACTAAGTTATTACCTACTAATAAGATTTATATTATAAAAATTATATGTACATTAATGTAAGTTCGAAGTATATGATCGTACATGTATCCTGAAAATATATACAGTACACTTAGACCATTTCAAACGCTAAACCTGTCAATGATCAAAACCTATAAAGCGGATTGCTTAAGCTAGGTATACCAATATTTCGGCGCAACCGCTGTAACTTATTCTCTACCTAAAGCACGCCAAAGAACATCGCCTTCATCATTTTGGATAGGATAACGGATTATTTCAGGATGTAACATCTTCAGTATGATGACATATCGAGGTATAAGGTACATTTTGCTAGATTTTACTCGAACTACCTTATAGTGTAGGGTCAAGTGGTGCAAAAATGAGACAGCCGAAATTTCGGTCAAAAACAAGACATTCAATTTTTCCCAATGCAAAAAAACAATAACATTGTAAAAAATACGTTACAAATTACTTCAACATATATACAATTGAAATATGTAATGAATACTAAATAAACGTAAACACAAACCTCAAGAAAAAAACTATCGCATCTGATTGTGCATTTTGCTTAAAAAATATTTTAAATTGTATTTACAAACTTTTCCTATTGCGCGACTGTACGTGATCGTAGAGACTCGGCAAGTATCGCGTTTTCAAAATAACAAATGCAGCTATGATATTCCATATCGAATTTAGTCTACTTTGATTTGTTGGCAAGCAGGCACGTCGTGAATAACAGGTGCAAAAACGAGACAAAACACAGTTTAAAAACAAGACACCTGCCAGGTAAAAAACAAGACAGCTTTTATACCTTGGATAATAATGCCGAAGGTTTACGTTCCCAAAAAGCGCCCCTACGACAAAAAGAACATGGAAACAGCCCTAAAACTAATAGATAATGGCACTTTATCTCTTAGAAATGCAGCTAAACAGTTTAAAATTGACAAATCTGCTCTTTCGAGAAGACGTACTCGTTCACTTGGTAAACAGGGAAGAAAAACTTCTCTAACCAAAGAAATGGAAGTAGACTTAAGTGATAAGAGAAAAATTATGGCAAAATGGGGGTTTGCAATCACTAAACCAGAGATACAAGCAATTAAGGAAGGAAAGCCCGGGAAAGATTGGTTTAAACATTTTTGTAAGCGCAACAGACTAAGTCAAAAAAACGCAAAAAACGCAAGTTTACTACGTGGTACAAATCCTACTTTGAGAGCGATGTAGAAGTAAAATATCTGAGGCGCAAAGGATTTAAATTTATTTTCCCGGTCATTGAGGAAAAGTACTTCATCGACAAAAGTGACATAGAAATGAAACTTCCCCAACCAGAAATAGAAAGTAAGACCTGTCGTATCTCTCAGTAATATTGGTTTCCTATCGTCGTTCAATAATATGTAGTACAAAATGCGTTAGAATAATAAGTTTTCTACTTTAGCTCTTAAAATCCTATTGAAAATCTTGTTTTACCCCTTTATTGAATTAGGTATGGTTTATTTAACTTGTTTTTGGATTTGTTTTCTTTTTAGTTTAATAAACATAGTTTTGTATTTAATTATGTGAGTTTTCTTTAAGGACGTTGTCACAATTTAAAACCTAACTATGTTATTTGACTTACTAAACGCTTTGAAACCCTTGCAGTGTGTCTCGTTTTTATTCCCCAGGGTCTCATATTTTGCCACACTGATGTAAAATGACTAAAAGGCCAGAAAATACAGTGTCTTGTTTTTAACCTCTCACTGTCTCATTTTTAGCCTAAATAGTGGTTAAAATCGAGACACGGTTTTTTAACAAAAACGCCCTTCATTATGAATATTATGAACTTTTTTTAACGTGAGGTATATTACATGGCTTTCTATATACAGGGCAATATAACAAAGCCTTAAAGTCCGGTTTTTTGTTGACACAAAATTAAAAGATTTAAAATCGTCCCGTTTTTACACCACTTGACCCTACTGTGTTAATGTTGTGAAATGTTTTAAAAGTAAAACGCACTGGTATGCGTAGTTGCATACCAATGCGTATTTGTTGTTACATATTATAAACCTAAAACACGTTCAAGCATACTCTTATCATCATTTTAGACAGTATAGCGAATTATCTCATTATATTTATAATCTCCTCAGTTAAATATATCAAGGTATAAGGTACCTTTTTTTATTATTTTTTTTTATTTTTGTAAGTAACTTATGGTGTAGTGGGTTTAACTGTATTAATGTTGTGTAACTTGTAGTATCCTGGCCAATATTGAGCGGGTTATTAATGTTAAACCTACTGATATGCGTAGTTGCAGGAGAAGCATTAGTTGGGCACCCTCTTTCATCGCTACCATCAGGACAGTCTGCGATACCATCACATCTTCTGTTGGTGTCTACACAAACAGCACTGCTTTGGCAACGGAACTGATAACTGCGACAATCTTGGACTGGTTCCCCAAAAGAAATTCGTTATTTGTTACTTTCAGCTGTTATTTATAATACCACTTTCAAAGAATATCTTTTTATGTCATACTGAAGTAAAGCAACGCGTTGTAGGTCGCTGTTAATGACGAATGTCTCTGAATACTGATGTGCAACTCTCTGCCATCTTGGTACTTAAATATAGCGGTTTTTTTTTTCAGAACTAGCGCTTACTAAACTTTGAATTTGGAAACTTTCTCAGAAAATACAGACATAAAAAATATTCTTTGTATCAGATTTTGAATTTATTAAAATCATTGTCTTTTAAGTTGTTAGTTGGAAAATTAGATGTTTGGCATGTAATTTAAATCATATGACAATTTTGTTTAACGTTTAGCTGTATCTACGTCTTTCAGTTAAACAATAATCATTCGGTGGTATATAGGGGACGAGATTAAACAATAAACCGTATCTTAATTTTCCAAGTATATTGATAGATTCATGCTTCTTATAGGAAGCCAAGGCTTATTATAATTGGAAAGTAGAGTTTAATAGCTTGACGGTTCAATAGCTTAAGGGTTCAATAGTTTCATACGGTTAGTAACATTATCGTTAAATCACTTCTACATATCATACTGTCCTTTTCAGTATAAACCGTGCTTCAAATTCGACCCTCACCATTGGGATCTCGGAAACTGTAAGAGATACGAAGTCACTCAAGTGAGGACAATGTTACGCATTTGGGTTATCAACAAAAAGCCGCTTAGAAGGTTTCGAAATTTAAAGTATATCCGTGGAGAGACGGAAAAAAACGAATTTTTCCCAAAATCGTTTTGATTTTTTAATGACTTTATTTGTGGTGGGATTTTAAAATAAATTGCACATGTTGCCACTGTTTCTCCTCTACAAGGTGGCACAAGCTTTTAATTTCGGATTCCAAAAGTATAGAATTCGTCATACATTGACGTTGCCAAACCTTAGTTATTTCAAAAAAGCAGAAATTACTAGGTAGGCCTTGATAATGTCAGTCATTTGTTTCGCATGCCAGATTTATCCCAAAATCAGTTTTACTTTTTCCTGAAATTATTTGTGATTGGATTCTTACGTATTCTCCTCTACAAGATGGCGTAGTCCAATTTTGGACATTTCTTCTTTTGACTTCCATCACCAACTTTGTTTTTGCATATGGACGCTATATTGGAATTTTGTACATTTAAATGAACTTTTACTTCGAAATTAAGTGTTGTAATTCCTTCGTTAAAATAATAAATACAAATTTTATTGATGGTAAAAGTGTTCAAAATGTCCGTTATTTTGTAAGCAAAACCTGACACGTCTCTGTACGTTGTTCACTGCTCGATTTATTTCTCTTCTTCTAAGTTTTCCAAACTCTGTGGCTATGTTTAATTTGAGGTCTGAATCAAAATTCAAAACTTTATTCATCTCTGCAAAAATCAAATATGTCGTCTCTGAGAAAAAACAAGGTTGATGCTGGGGGACAAGAGACGAAACGTCACATTGAAATTCTAATTATGCCTTCTTGCAGAGCCTAAAATGTGGCAACATTAATGTGCAATTTATTTTGGAACCCCAACACAACTACTCAAGAAAAATTAAAACGATTTTGGAAAATTCGGTTTTTTCTGTCTCTCCCCGGAATAACTTTAAATTTCGAAACTTTCTAAGCGGCATTTTGTTGATTATCTGAATATGCAACTTTGGCCCTATTTAAGCTTCGTGTCTCTTACACTTTCCGAGATCCCAACGGTGAGGGTCGAATTTGAAGTTTGGAGATCGTGCTGGCTTTTTTGGACACATTACTCCGATATTACAGACAATCTGGAGGCCAGATCACATCTCCGATCAATACTTAAAACAGGAAGAAGAAGAAGGAACGAGCACATGCGAGCTTGTCAGGATCAATGGGAAACCTAAACCAAACTGTTAGCCACACTGCAGAGGAGGAAAATAGACTCTCTAGATAGATTGTGTGGATCGCTGGTCATCAAGAAGTAAGTATTTATACGTTCCGTATCTGATAAAGGGTAAAAGGCATGTGGAAATACATGGCAGTCGATCATATCGATCTGTGTTGCCACTAGCTGGGTGTTTATATATAAGAGGAAGTTTAAGAGCTATCGGTACTTTTACCAGTAGTTCAAAAGGCGTTTTTGAAAATTGAACAATCCCATTTAAATTTGACTTTTACTTCTTGTAGTGTAGTAAGTATGATTGGTAGTTATAGAATACAGTCAAACATTGTGCGTCTCCCGTTGTTAGATTCGAATGTAACGCGGTATACTTGTGTAATTTGGGACGCTGATTCCGAATATGGCCATCAGAAAATGCTATGGGGTCGCGAAGCTCTGCCTTGAGCAGAAAAGTAGAACTTTTGGACCTTTCTGTCAATATGAACGAATTCAGACTAGCTAGAAGGAGTCAGTCAATGATTTGTTTGACTCCTGACTCTCATAGTCCTATCATTAAATCTGTATATTTGGTGTTTGTTATTTTTTGAAAGCGCACAATCCTAATGAAGGAAGATGCTTCCACTAGTAAGTATTATTACTATGTTGAGAGAACGCTATCATTTTGGTTGGCATTGACAGAAAAAAAGAATCAAAAGAATGCACTAAAACTACGCAATTTTGACGAAAACCAATGCATTGCAAACATATAGGCTTGGCTTCTATTAATCTATTCGAAATCGTTGGTCAACCTGAGCGAAAAGCTTACATCAGACTCGTAATCTGAGCACGCGATTTTCCCCAGGAACCGGTTTTGATCGAGAAAAACAAAACAGATTTTGACCGTGATTACAAGAACTTTTGAGAATTTTCTTCAATAGTATGTCTTTAAAATTTCATTTTGATGTTTTTGTGAGAATGCCCTGAGCTTCGGCAGGATATACAATATATCTGGAATTTAATGAATCTTGGTGACCAGTTAGACCACACAACAACCATCAGGCCAATCCGCAACCGCTGTTAATGCCTCTCCACCACTCCTCAATCAAGGTTAGTCGTATCAACTCTTCATTGCCGGCCTACCGCAGTTGATCTCATCACTAGTATCCCTGCAATCCGGATATCCGTCACAGCGCAGCCTTTCGTCAATGCAGGCACCATCCTGACACCTGAACTGTCCTGCTGAGCAAATTCCTGTGCAGTTCCGCTCATCTGATCGGTCTGGACAGTCGATGTATCCGTCGCAAGTAGCTCCTTGGGTGCAGGTACCGTCGTGACAGCGGACTTCTCCGGCGGAGCATTCTGAGCAATGGGGATAGTCTTCAATATATGTCTAAGACTGTGTAATATGTATCTGGATTATGGGAACCGTAATCTAACACACTTTGTCAGTGAAATATTCCATCATACATACACATAGACAATCTTTAACCTATGACCTAGCAAATATCATACGGATGAGTAATTTTAGCAGTTGCTGGAATTAAAAAGATTGAATACGTGCAACGCTAGAAGCTCATGTGAATGATGAGAGGGCAGTAACACATAAGTCTCCTAAGTGCATGTGTCCTGTCACGTAACTCTCTTATTACCTTACGTGGAAGATTCATCGTTTATTTATCTTAATGTACGGGTTTTATTTAATACCATTGTTTAACTGTTTGCCCATTAATTCAATGAACAGAAGCTAGACGTGTAGGTTTTTACTACTATCGTTCAATGATGGATAAGGCTCATAGTTAGATGTGGATCTAAGATGACGCACACGTCACAGTGTGTGTCGGGTCCCGAAATGTGAGGGGCTCTCACAATGTAGTTGGAGTTGAGCCAAATCGTTCCTAAAATAAAAAGATTGATCCATACTCCAAGGTCCCAATCTCCACAACATAATATTACCTTGTAAATCGTTACTCGTTTGGAGTCGCTGAAATTAGAAGCGTTAGTGCGGGAATCCTTATTATGATAGCTGCAATATTCTTATTCCAAGAGGTATCGTATAAGACAGTTCATTGAAACCCAGTCCGGTTTTAAACGGTAGTATCGCAACAGTCGTACCTGGTTTCAGGAATCGGAACTGAAACCACCGGCATCAGATCGACTTCAGTATAAGTCCTTTGGGACGAACCGAGAGAAGCGATTTAGCTACAAGCAATTGCAGTAGCTCCCGAGTAGTGAACATTTGTGTTTGTCGCTCCTGGACCCCCTTCTATAAAATTTTAGCTAGTCGCATAGTAAAACATGATGTCTGTTATATGACCCCTCCAGCCATAATCTCGGTACATCGAAGATCCTACACAAATTTACTTACTTATTCGATATAGGCTGTTAATTTATTGGTTAAATTCTTCATGCCAGGGGCTTCTCAATCAATAAAAATTGTTTCATAACCTACCGACATATGGCGGATAAGTAGGTTGTGGGCAGTTCCATTCGTCGTTTCCACTGGGACAGTCTTCTATACCGTTACATCGTTTGTAGCCCATTATACAGAATCCCTGAGCGCATTGAAATTCTCCTTCTGGACAGTGGGCTCTTGGACCTGATGGTATCAATTTCAATCGCGGTGAGAAAGTATTCACGAGTGAAAAACGAGCAAAACTGTCTACTCTGTGGTTAAGTGTGTTGAAGGAAAGTGATAGCATAACAATTGAAATTTCTATTTCACTAGTGATAACAGTGAACAGAGTTAATACTGTTTCACTGTTACAGTCCAAAGAGGCAATTTCATCTAATTTGAAGTTTTTTTTTATATAGTCCAACTACCACGAAGGCCTAAGGCCTAAACATCCATTGGGTACCGTGGGGCTATAGGGTGATGCAGGGGAAGGGGGGAACGCCACACGGACTCTGGCGAGGGAACACGTGTGCATGCAACATGCACACATTCTGGCTCTTGCCTACGAGATCCGCCGGATGGTACCTCCGCGTTCGACAGTCAGAGACCATCTACTACCTACGGACAATCACAACATCCATAGCCAAGAAAAAAGTTTCTCCTGGGATGGGATTCGAACCCGCACAGCGCACGGCGACTGATCAGGAGATTGAAGAGTCTACTACTGCGGCCACCGCTGCTGCCTGTTTTATGGACATCAAGGTCATGGGTGCATGAATTCGACGTCTTCAGTTGACTGTGGATCATAAGCATCTCAGCTTCCGTTCGGTGCCCTGCCTAAGGCCAGCCCTACATCATTTTCAATTTCACAGAGGTGCTTTGTGCTGTTGATTTTGATAGACCTTATACTTTGTATAGATGATAGTTGCTCAGCTTTCTTTTTGTTGTCTTACCTGACACCAAGCCTCATGCTGAGGAGTTGCCACATAGCATGAAACAACTGTCCATGGTTGGTCGTCTGTGGCTGGATGAACGAAAGCTGTATGTGTACTATTTTTTATCTGCTTAGAGTCAAATGGATGTACTCGTATTTGTGAAATGTGTAATGATAGTTGAGCTAGAAGTATATGGAACTGGATGTGTAATTAGAGTTGATAATATAATAAAAAATGTCAATGGCGATGCTACGTTGATAAGCTCAGATATATTATCGTTACATGTATTTGATGTTTCTGGTAGACAACTTTCCTAGTTTTTCTTAAAAAGTGCCATCATTTCGTGCAGTTATTTACTTATCTGATACCATTTGTGGCAGTCACAGGTCAAGATGCAGAGTGTAGTCATAGCACCACATTCCAAATCGTTATCCTTTTTCTTTGCATGCTAATAGGTTATAAAAATAAACTGCAAATATTTTTCCCCAGTACTCCATCATTCGTTATTGTTAGAAGTGCATTTGTAAAGTGACAGTTCGACTTTGCATTTCTGGTGCATTTCAACCACCTCCGCATGCCATTAGTGTCGCTGTATTGTAACACAAACTTTTGTGTATGTATGTTGTCACGTAATATGTTGGACCTTATCATATATACCACATATGCTATATGTAGATAGAAGTAACTATGTATATGGTTCCATCGTATCTCTTATAAGAGACCCATCCGTTTTTAGCCATGCCGTTAGTGACTTTCTCTCCACAAACAATCCATTTTTCATTAATATCATTTTGTGTTATAAAGAATGACGCATATTCAAACAACCAAATCCATATTTCATTAGAAACTAAAATAGAGGTAGGTTAAATGTGGGAAGAACAAAATATCTGCCGCTGTATATTATCGTCTAGCTCCTTTATAACTTTAGGTTGGTAAAAATCTTTTCAATATGCAAGAAATATACGCAGATTTGGTGGAATCCGAGGATCTTTCATGTTCATATCGATTTGGTCGATTATGGTATTTCCATGCAATATAATACTTAAAACATCAGCCACATTAGTAAAATATTCTCAAAAATGGAGCAATATAGTAACTATTTTACCAAAACCGCCACTTCGCTAATATGCTCTCATGTTGGCATGTATAGTACAAGTATGATTGTATATTTACATTTATCATAGCGTACTCCTTTCATATGGTCATCAAAACAGAATTTAAAAACAAAGATCATTGTGCAAAATACTGCAAAAGCACACATGTAAAGCAGAAGCATTATTTAAAGCATAATACATACCTTTACTCTACCGCTAACTACTGCTTAACATTAATGTTATTTACATTTGTACACATTAAGGACAGAGACAAAAGACACAAGATGTATATTGGAATTGAGAAACTATGAATGTAAGACTGAGAAAGAGGCATCATTCAGAAATGAATGACGGAAACACCGTTGGACACTAGAGAAACGGTACATCAAAAAGATGAGCCCAGAGACAAAATTACATAGGAGAAAGTGAAAGAGGAAGCATGTTACTATTTCTGAAATATGCGAGAGTTGCGGCTTTCATCAAATCAATTGCAAAAAAATGGACACTGAAACCTGATTTTCAGATTCTGTGAGAAAAAACATGCCAGTGTTCAGTTATTCCACCATCGGTATTATAACACTACCAGGTGAGAAGGCACTTTGTTCATACGATGACAAGCGACAAACTTCTGTATTAAGTCCATCAAGATTAGACAAGGTCTAGGCAATAAAATATTTGCCTTCTAACTTCGATCTGACATATCAGTGTCGAAGCTATAGGGTAGCTTTGCTTTTCTACGGTCGTCATAAGATCAGCTCCGCCAGTTTTTCAGTAATTTGGGGGCGAAAATATATTCATTTTTGAGGACAACGTACAGGGAGGCTAATCAACGCAACCTTGCCGTTTTATTATTTGAAATAGAGGAAGCATGATTTAAATGACACGTGCCATTGCAAACGTACCAAAGTTCGAGTTCACTTTTTGCAGCTGATATCGAAAGCCCAACATCATCTAGAAGATTATTGACATACACAGACAAGAATCTACCACAGAGTACCCCAAGAATAGTAGTAATATTTTCTTACCCTTGTGACAATTTGATTCGTCAGAGTTATCGTAACAGTCTTGCCGACCATTGCATCTGGCAGACTCAGCAATGCATTGACCGCTGGCACAAGTGAATTGGCCCGATGTGCATATGACTGTATGTGATAGACACAGAATTAGATGTACTTCAATAGCTCAGCCAATGAAATGTAAGAGATTCACACAGCAACATAATTTACTAATAAATAATTTACTTTTAAAAAAAGTGCAAAAACTGTTTTTGATTTCTTGTCCTATCATTGATTATTAATAACATTGTGACAATGAGAGCTACTTGTAGTATATATAACTGATAGGCATGTCTTTGCCTGATTTTTATATTTTCCCAATAAAACTTCTTGAAATGATCATAAAATGTGTAGCCTTCTGTTTCTATCCAGCATCTCTTCAAGCTAAATCGACTGAGCAGTTAAAATAAGTTTAGGAGTCCAACGATATATATTACCAAGACTTTCCACAACTTTGCTGTTTGTTCTAATAATCGATAAAATCGTTTAACAAAGGATCCATATCATCTCAGATAATAATCGTTACCATCTATTGAAAAAAATATAACCCTTTGGTCGGCCGTAGCATGAACATAGATAAATGAGGCTGTCAGTGTCGGTATACACTGTTTTGGAAAATATATAAGAAGTTTCACTGAATATGGGTTCCAAATGGCATATTACCGAGATACAGGGAGCAATAGTTATAAATTCCGAAGTTGGAAAAAAATTATCCGGAATGCATGAAGTGGACGACTTGAACATCATCTAGTAAGAACAGCTTAAACGATATACACAAAAGTGTCTGATGGAGAAGAATTATTGCCAGAGCCTTCTTTTGGCATGATCCATTTCTTGTACCGCGAACATCGTAAGAGCACATCAGCGGTATCTGCTTTAGCGGAAGTCCTTAACTTATCCCGTCGCAATAGTCAATGCCATGCTAAGGATCCAGTACTTCCCATCCGCGTGGAAGACTGCTGAAGTTATAATGATTCCAAAGAAGGTGGGTTCGATATTTCCCCAGGATTGTCGTCCCATTAGCCTGCTGTCAGCTCCGTCTAAGCTCACTGAAAAGGTGATTCTACGTCACCTTAAGAATTTATCGTCAGATCACCATGTGATTCCTGACGTGTAATTCGGTTTTCGGTCTGAACAGAGTACGGAGCTACAGACGGTTAGGCTGGTGGAACGCGTAACCAGAGGATTCACCCTTAACGAAAGTACTGGCATCTTGCTTTTGGATGTCTTAAAAGCATTTGACAAGGCGTGGCACGCGGGCCTCTTGTATAAACTAATCCAAAAGGGCTTCCCTTTTTGGTTTATAAAACTACTGAAATCCTTCCTTGAAGGTAGGAAATTTGGGATCAAAATTGACAACGTCCTGTCGACAACACGGCTGATTACATCCGGCATCCCTCAGGGTTCGGTCCTTGGACCTATCCTTTACTCACTGTACATCCATGACGTCCCTAGTCCCAGCAACTGTGAAGTCTATCTCTATGCTGACGATACTGCATTGGTGGCTCAGTCGTGGTCTGGTGACCTAGTCCATGACAGGCTGCAAAGGGCGGTGGAGGAAGTATTAGATTGGACGGATCGGTGGCTAATTAAAATAAACCATTCGAAAACGCAGGCAATCTACTGTACAAAACGACGTCGCGGCATTCCGTCTGAAGTTTCAATTAATGGACCTCGTATACCATGGGAATCCTCCGCTAAGTATCTCGGTGTCATTCTGGACAAAGGGATGACTTGGCGGAACCATATAGAAGCGCTAAAAACTAAATTCCAAATTACCCATTATTATGTAAGCGTTCAACATTAAGTTTGATTAACAAGATTCGACTCTTAAGGTGGTCATAAGACCAGCAATGACTTACGCATGTGCGGCTTGGTGTTTTATTGCTAAAACACACATGCGAAATCTGCAGGTTTTGCAAAGCAGGAAACGGCGCACTATTGCTGATGCCCCATGGTATGCCTCTAACGAAACTCTACATAGAGACCTCGTTGTCTCTTACCTAAAGGACTATATTAAGCAACAGGCGCAGCGGCGCTACAGCCTAGCGGAATCGCACAGCAACCCTCTTTTGCGTGAGTCAGTGGACTACATAGTCGAGCAAGTTCGCAGGCACAAAAGACCGTGGCTCGCA